CAGGGCGCCCGAGTCGGTGGCGAGGAGGAGGGCCTGGGGGTTGAGGACCGAGAGGAGGGTGGGCGCGTCGGCGCGGCTGGTCGAGGAGGGAATGGCGAGCTTGGAGATGACGGCGCCGGTCTGGGAGTCGAAGTGTTTGACGATGGAGTCGGTGCCGGCGGAGTACATGGCTGCTGGGGGGTTAGTGATGTTCCGTGGTAGAGCGGTGGAAGGACATACCACTGCCGTCGTGGGAGTAGGCCAGGCTACGGCAGCTGCCCTTGTGTCTCCGGGTCTGCCAGACTGTGTCCACCATTCCCTTCCCGTCACTCATGATGCTCGTGTCGCCGTCGGCGCTGTCATCGTCGGAGCTGCCGCTGGCCGTGGGGGGCAGGCGGAAGGTCTCGACGTGGCCGCTGGAGAGACCGACGGATAGGAGAGGCTCGGTGGGATGCAGCGCGGTCGTGAAGACCTCCGCCTGGAGCGGGAGAGTGCAGAGATTCTCGAACATCTTCGGCGAGCTGGGATAGAGGGTGACGGTCGGTTGGGCGAGATAAAACTGTAATCTTGAAGATGGAAATTTTCCCAGCCTCGCCGATCTTCAATTTTTTTTTTCGATTACTCGAGCGTAGGTGTCGCAAGTCGGCAGGATATTCAGACAATGGACATGATAGATTGGGCTTGAAACGATGGTAATTGCCCTATAATGGGACAGAGATCACGCCAAGCAAGCAAATAAAGACTGTTTTCTGATACATGGAAACAATTCTGCATCGACACGTCCATCAAAAGGCTGAAGCTTTGGTGGAGCCTCCGATGCGGCGTACCGTGTCAAAAACTCCCAATTCGCACATGCACTGTGCCCCTGCCCAGAGGCTTTGTGGGACGATTCACCATCAGCCATCTCCTTGGACGAACTCGAGCAGTTGTGAAAACAAAAAAGAGAAGAAAATTCTGAGACAACAGGTCCGATCTGGGCTCTGTCTGACTCTGGATGTGCGCCTCGAACTTCTCACACAATCAAATTGTCGTCATGTTCGGCCGCGACCGCTCACGGCGTCCTCCATTGCAGGACGAGCTGAACACTCATTTTTGTCTTCCGTCTCCTGCGTCAAGGTCCGATATCCATCAACGATGGATGTCATGCCAATACCACAGAGTGTCCGATACAGTCGTCGGGGAGCTCTCCGGGCCCTGCAATGATCATCCTGCAGCTCTCTTGCAGATGCTGAAGTGGACGACGGCGAGGCCGATCTGGAGTCCCAGGCTTCGACAATGTTTATCATGCATATTGGAGACACATGCTAATCAAGAACAGAGAATTTCACGAGGATGAATCTATTGGCGAGCTAGCTGGGATTCACTCATGCTCGCCAAGCTCTTTCCGTACTCCCGTCGGTCGACTCACTTATCTCATGCAGCATCCCGCCCAGCTGGGTCGATCGATTGATAGTTCCAGCTACTCATTTCGTATGCCGGCGAACTCCTACGAGCCAGATGCTCTCTGAGGGCTGGCTGGCGGCGTGCACCGGTCTCCAGTACACCATTGATAGAGATAGCGATGGGTTCCAGCTGTGATTCCCCCACAGCAAACGATAGTGATGGGGCTTCAGCCGGCTATCTTATCAGAGGCCAGCCGAGAGGGAGGCTCCCTATGATGCGATCCCAAGTCTCGGGGATGCCTGGCAGTTGGCTGCTATGGAGGGCCGTCTCATGCGTACGCCCGCGTGGGAGTAATGCAATCGAGTAATATCCAGCTCGTCCTGTGGAGCTGGGGCACATCAGCCAGATCCAGGATCCCTTCTCACCCCCAGACCATGCGGGAGCAGGCCTGCCACCCCGAATTGGACGCTTGGGGACTGGGGCTCAGAGATAAGAGAGATGCCCACCGCGGATACCACGCGATTGACACACACTTCTCTGAGAAACCGCGTTAGCGCAGAGCCAAAGTCGGACCAGACTGGGGAGAATGTGAGGTGCCCCACTGATAAGCTTCGAGTGTGAATAATGGGAAAATCATTTGCTTCTGAGAGTGATCGCTGGGGGTGCCGGCCGAACGTTATCGCGACTCGTGAACCGCGGGCCAGAGTTTCGAAATGCCAAGAGACTCCGAACCTGGTTATTTTATAAAACTCTGCGAGAACGTCACCCTGGACGTGCAGTTTCCGTTGTCGCTCAGCTTCATTTCCTCTCACCTGGGGTTGTCAGATCAGTCCTATAAGTGATCCCCGTTGCAACATACCCCGACAACTTGCTGCAGTAATCATCGTCATACCGCCCTGGTCAATTTGCTGTTATCTCCGTTCTGTGATCCCTGAAGCTCACCCGCTCACTGTCGCCCTCGCACACATAAACGAAACGCACACACGCACACAATCACACTCACACTCCTCCACACCATCTCCGCACGTGGCTTCAGCAGGTTCGCCGTATCAATAACCGCCGCGCCAATCCAACCAGTTCTTCTTAGGTTCCTAGTTTGGAATTGAGCCAATTCTGTTAGCGTTTCTACACCCTGCTGAACCGCTCAACCTTATACCTTATTTATAATGGACGAGCCTTTGTCAGCTACCCTTCCAGGGGCTCCTGAGAAGAAGCCCATCCTCAAGCGCATTATCCGTTCGGTTACCACTCGAGATGGCTTGGTTGGCGACTATGACTATGCCGCTCTGTTCCGGCCAAACCTCCCCTTCATGGGACGCAAGGGCGTTAGCACTGCTTCGCCCTTCTTTGGTCTCAATGACAATATGCCGGTGTTCCTCGCCCTGTTGCTCGGTTTCCAGCACGCATTGGCCATGCTGGCAGGTGTCATCACGCCGCCGATACTTCTCGCTGGAACATCCGGGGCCAACCTGAGCCAAGACCAGCAGCAGTACCTCGTGTCTACCGCTTTGCTGGTCTCTGGTATCCTGTCTGCTGTACAGATTACTCGGTTCCATATCTGGAAAACTCCGTAAGCCACCCAACTTCACATTGCTTCTTCGTTGTGCCCCCTCGTGAATACGGAAACTAATGGATATAGTTACTATATCGGTACTGGTTTGCTCTCAGTGGTTGGTGTCTCTTTCACAATCATCAACATTGGTCAAGGAGCGCTATCCCAGATGTACGCCAACGGTTTCTGCCCGACCGATCCAGACACTGGAGCCAAGCTCCCTTGCCCTGAGGGATACGGTGCCCTCCTCGGTACCTGCGCTGTCTGTGCCCTCGTCGAGATCCTCATGGCCTTCATCCCGCCTCGCGTGCTGCTGCGCATGTTCCCTCCCATCGTCACCGGCCCCACTGTCATGCTCATCGGTGTCAAGCTTATCCAGAGCGGATTCAACAACTGGATGGGTGGAACCGGTCCCTGCTCCAGTGCCGATACAGCTGTCGGCATCTTCGCCAAGTGCCCCACCATCAACGCTCCTCATGCTCTCCCCTGGGGTTCGCCTGAGTATCTTGGTTTGGGATTCTCCGTCTTCGTCACAATCATCCTCTGCGAACGATTCGGCTCCCCCATCATGAAGTCTACCTCTGTCGTCGTTGGCCTCCTGGTTGGCTGCATCATCGCCGCTGCCACTGGCTACTTTGACCGTTCCGGCATTGACCGTGCTCCTGTTGCCTCCTTCATCTGGGTCAAGACATTCCCTCTCAGTGTCTATGGGCCTCTGGTCTTGCCCATCATTGCTGTCTATATCATTCTTGCCACCGAAGCTATTGGCGATATCACGGCCACCTGCGATGTGTCGCGCCTCGAAGTCGACGGCAAGGTCTATGAATCTCGCATCCAGGGTGGTATCCTTGCTGATGGTCTCGCCGGCTGCTTGGCGGCCCTTATGACCATGACTCCCATGTCTTGCTTTGCTCAGAACAACGGTGTCATTGCCCTCACTCGTTGCGCCAACCGCAAGGCTGGTTACATGTGCTGCTTCTTCCTCGTCATCATGGGCATCTTTGCCAAGTTTGCTGCTTCCCTTGTCGCGATTCCCTCCCCAGTCCTCGGTGGAATGACCACGTTCCTCTTCTGTGCTGTTGCCGTCTCCGGCATGGCCATTATTGCTAGACCCCGCAACCCCTTCAACCGCCGATCTCGATTCATCCTCACGGCTGGTCTTGCTCTTGGATACAGTGCGACCCTCGTCCCCAAGTACTTCAACAAGATCTTCTCCTACAAGGGCGACAACAAGTCTCTTTTGGGTTTCCTCGATGCCATCTCGCTCATCATGTCGACTGGCTTCGCCGTCTGCGCTGTTACCTGCATGATTCTCAACCTCATCTTGCCCGAGGAGACCGATGACGATGCTCTCAGCGTGACCAATGTCGAGGCTGTCAGCGCCACCACCACCGATACCGTCCCTGGCCGCAAGGAGGAGTCTTCCCCCCGCACCCATAGCGATGAGATTAACACCGCTGGCGGAAGCTCGAGCGCCAGCATCAAGGCTGAGAAGCAGACTTGAGTGTGATGTTGGATTCTTTTGAATCAATCCTGGCAAACTGTGAGACGTCTTCTGAGTTTTCGTTCATAGGTGAAAATGTATATGTAATGATACCCGAAACAATTAATATTTATACCCTCCAAGTCTCTTCCCCTGAAACGTGAAATGAAGTGAGGTCAAAATCACATGGCATTGTTTGATCAGAATGCCTGTGGCAGGAATAAGCTTCACTGGCCACACACCCTGCGCATGGTATGACTCGGTAGTATTCCTTGCCGATTAGTGCTTCTCTCTTATTTGACCACCTGGGTGAGAGTTGACCCATCCAAACCTTAAAGCTTTCCAGTTGTTGGAGAACCAGAACGTAAGTGGCTCCTTTTATCAACTCCTCATTCCATCCATCGCGAAGGCTATCTACATTCATCATGCCCCAGCCCATATCGATTTCTTCATTTACCAAAATGAACCCAATTCCTTGAGTCAACGGTAGTTTTATCAACACATACTGGCTGACTCCAGCTTCAGGAAACGAGGGACAGGGGACTTCCAGTCGACCTTTTCATCTACTCCGTTGCCTCCTACATCCTCTCGGCGGTGATGGAGATGTTCAAGCCAGCCCTGGCTGCTGAAGCGCTGAGGCCCTTCTTTGAGTCCAGAACCAGGGTGCACATCTCCCGCATTGGCGACGGCCTCTACCTCTCAGACTGGATCGCGGCTCGTGACTACCGAACCATCCACCTTCACAACATCACCGCGGTCGTGTCAGTGACCAATGCGAGAGACCACAGGTGGCGGTGGCCCCAATATGAAATGCTGGTGCCTCCGGAGCATCATCTTTTTATTCCGGCGTTAGATAACCTGACGCAGGATCTCTTGGTTCATCTAGAGGAGATATGCGACTTCATTGACTGGCATCTAGCCAAGCCGCCTGAACCTGCTCGGATCCTACCCCCGGCGAACCGCATTGGCTCGGTTCATCAGCTGGAGCATGATCCCAACGTCGAGGTGCTTCCACAGGTCCTCATCCATTGCCAGATGGGCGTCTCACGCTCCGCCACAGTGATGATCGCGTACCTAATGAGGAAGCTTGGCCATTCTATGGCGCGGGTGCTGCGGGACGTCAGAAGAAAGCGGAACATCAACCCGAACGTGAATTTCCTGGAGCAGCTGAAGGTTTGGGAGGATACAAGCTATCAGATATGGGCTGACAAGGACAACAAGGTCCCGAAGGAGGCGTACAGAGTATTCCTGCAAGGAAGGGCCAAGAGGCTGGAGGCGAATGGACTGACTGGCGACGAGCCGGTCTGCTTGTTCTAGAACAGTCAACGAACACCAAGGGAACGTGTTCACCTCTCTAATGTTCACAGTCACCTAGTTCATAATAGACTATAATTCTTCTTTAATTAGTTGGTGGTTTGGTTTCGTATTCTCAAATACAATGTGCTCTCGCCTCTTTCTCTAGATTTGAGTATACATTCGAAACAATCGCTCATTGTTTACATCTAGTTGCATCTAAATCTTGGTCTTCTCGAACAAAGAGTTCTTAGGATCGGGATTATGCCGCAGTCTCTCCCTATCAGCAATCCACTTCTCCGAATACCCATCTGGCTTCCTGTCTGCCGGGTCCCGTCCGTCGTTGACCCATTTCATCAACCCCGCGGCATATTCCAGATCCTCCCCAAGCCTGGCGTGAAATTTCTTGCCAAAGCCCTTTGCCTTGACTCTTTCGCTATATTCGGCCCTTTGAGCCTCCACTGACGGGAGCTTGGCCTTCCCTGACAGGAAAGCGGCGGCGGCTATAGCCTGAAACTCGAAGAAGGAGAAGGTCGCCGTGTAGAACGGCACACCGATGAAGATGAGAGTGGGATCGGGGATGTAGAAAATGTCTTGGTGGAGGTTGTGGAGCTGAGTGCCATCTGTAACCAGCACTTTGTCGTCTGCGTCGGGGGCTTTCACGTCATCTCGGTGGTACTCGGGCAAGAAGGGGAGCGAAAACTGGTACCCGGTTGCCACGACGATCCTGTCGATATCCTTGATAACAGTGCCGTCTGCCAGAGTTGCGTTTCCGATGGACCCCTCAGTGGAGTCCTGCCCAGGGGGGTGGAATTCGACGACTTCTCCGATCCTCTCCACTCCATCTGGTAATACGGCGACGGGGAGGTCAAAGGCGCCGCCTCTGGTGGACTGCCATACTTTCTTTGCTACTGGGAGAATCTCCTTGACGGCGTCGAGTGACGATGCGCTGCCTCCAATAACGAGCACGTTCTAGAAAAATATCAGTGATTGTTTAGGTAATGGATATTTCACTGGTTAAACACCTGGTTCTCGTATCCGTTGGCGTTTCTGTAGCTCTTGGAGTGCTGGATCCTTGATGGGAATTTACTCTTCCACTCCGACAGGCCGCGGATATTTGGGACTCTTGGTGCGTGGTAATGCCCGGAGGCTACAACAACTGAATCAAAAGCCTTCAAGCGGTCAGTATTGTAAATCAAAGAAGTTTCTCGCTGAAAACATACCCATTCCTTAGACACCGCTTCCCCCTTGGCTTCATCCCACGTCGACGATAGGAGCTTCCACTGGTCTCCAGTCTTAGAGACGTGTTCTACTCTGGTGTTGAACTGTGTATTCTTGGTCACTCCGGTCTTGTCTGCAGTGTCCTGTATGTAGTCTTTAAGGACATTGTGCAGCACGAACGACTCCGTACCAGGTTTTAACGGATTGAGGGTTGTTTCCAGCAACTCCGTTGGAACATTATTCTTCAAGCTATCGTATGCAGGACTATTGAATTGGTCAGATATAAATAAGAATTATATTACTGTAATCTTCCTGTTCTCTCCATAGGTTGCACTCACGTTGGTTCTGAGAGCCACGCCTTCTTCTCGCCATTTGTTGCGCTCTTGAAGAAAGTCGATTCCGCGACGGACGGCTTTGCTGACGGATAGGTAGGCTCGTGCGGTACTCTGGATTCCCAAACCCATACGCCTCCTGCTACCGGCGCTCGCTCAAACACGGTCACGTCCAGCCCCTCGGCGAGCAGGTGAGCGGCCGTCACGACGCCGGAAACGCCGGCTCCGATGACACCTACACGACGATTTACTGCGGAAGGCATTGTGAATTATGATTGTATTGAGTAGAAATTACTCTCTGATAGCACACGATCTTTCTATGGTGGTCCAATTCCTAAGTAAACCCGCTTATAAATACCAGCTCCCGTCACACTGAAGCGCAGCACAATAATTCACTCAAATTGCATGATCCCAATGTCAAGATACCACATTGTGAAAGGGGGATCTGATTCGTATCCATTGAAGTGGCTGTTGGGCCGGGTTCATTGGTTACCGGCGGATTGTGGGAGCGAACGAGGATGACGCCTTTGTGCTATATATCGCGTCATCCAATGGCAGCGACTAAAACCCGGGCCTTACCGATGAAACGGGCCATTTATGCAGGTCAACGGCCTGTGTTTTGCAGACGGCGGAGTTACGGATTAATAAACATTGCTCAGATGATCTTGTGAGAGACAGGCTCTATTCACGGGGTGTGTCAATGCCGTGGTGAGATATCCCACATTGAGGATTCACTCGCTCATCGATTACCCACGCCCTTCACAACTTCTGCAGCCCGCACAAGTCAATGAACCTCTCGCCAAATCCTATATGAGCTTTAAACTCATCTGATGCTCACAGCCGTCTCCAATCCCTCTCATCCCACTCGTCCCATCGAATCTCCCGACACCGGAGCCCGCATAACTCGGCCTGTGCCGCACGATGGCGCGAGGCTCTGCCCCGGTGTTTCCCCAGAGAACCCCGAGGCAAGCCAATCATCTAACATGGGTCCTGAGCTCGCCATCAGATTCCGGCATTGCGCCTCCAATATTGTGGCCTTATCGTGTTGCCAGCTCTCGCCGGGTGGGAGAGGTGGCCCTGCATGATGCGGCACGTGTGAATAGATAAGAGATGAGATGAAATGAAACTATTCCCAATTGCCATTCATTCGTTTTCTCCGAGGCAACCCTTTCATTCTGATCCAGTGTTTTGCCAAGTAATTCAACCATGGGGTCCAACGTCGAGCCCGCACCGATCGAGATCGCCATCGTCGGCGGCGGTCCTGGCGGACTTGGCACGGCGATCGCCCTGTCAAAACTGCCTTTTGTTCATGTGACGCTCTATGAACAGAATTCAGAGCCTCGAGAAGCCGGGGCCGGGCTAAGTCTGAGCACAAATGCTTGGAAAGTGCTCGATATCTTGGGAGCTGGACAGTTGGTCAAGGGCGGATCCAAGAAAAACACTCACCAAAGGTTTCAAATATTTCCATCAGATTCTTCATATTATTTCGACATGAGAAAAACTAACTAGTTTGATAGAAATGCTTTCACTGGCAACATCCTACACGTCACGAGGTTTCCAGAGAACTCGGATGCAGACAACCGTGGCTCAGTAAGAGCCCGTCGGGTCCGGCTCCAGTCAGCGCTGCTCTCACAAGTACCCGAAGGGCTCATCCAATTTAACAAAAAGTTAATCTCCCTGGAAAATCTGGGTAATGGGAAAGTACGGCTGGAATTTAAAGATGGGACAGAAACAAAAGTCGACCTGTTAGTAGGCGCCGATGGAATCCGATCTGTCCGTATTTCCTCAATGGCCAACTCAACTCAACTTTACCCCTGTGTTGACTAAACTCCCTAATGCAGATCACACGACGAACTCTTTTCCCTGACCACCCGCTCAAATTCACCGGCGACACTCAATGGCGTACCCTCGTCCCCAGATCGTCGCTGGACCATCTCCCGGACGTGACGCACGCAACCGGCTGGTGGTGGGGAGAGACGGGCCATGTGTACTTCTCCGACGTGGATGATCTCTCAGAGACCTCCGACCCCTACTTCGAAATCACCGTCCGGTCCTACCATGAGCCTCATGTTCCTGGTGAGACGGTTGTCTGGGGCGTACCTGCTACCAACGAGAAGGTGGCATCACGAGTCGAGGTACGCAATGAGAAAACTGAATTAAAAATGAGTTGATAATGACCCCCATGCAGAAATTCGACCAACGCATCAGAGATGCCGTTGCTGTCGTTCCCGAAGGCCAATGGAGAGAGTTCGCCTCGTTCGCAGGCCCTCGTCTGGAAACACTCACGGCATGGGACAAGGTGGTGCTGATTGGGGATGCCAGCCACCCGCTCTCAGGTACGAGCCCTCTCCCTCGTCCTGGATTCTCATATTTCTAACATTGTTTTTCTTCACAGGTGCCTTTGGGTCCGGTGCTACTTTCGCCATGGAGGACGGCTGGATTCTAGCTCAGGCACTCCAATACACCAAGGGCTCGCCACATCAGATCCGCGACGCTCTAGAGATCTTTGAGCAGATCAGAGCGCCATATTACGAGAAGATGTAAGTAAACGCACAACCCAAAACTACAATTTTGGTCCGCTAACGTTGACATAATCGTCAAGGTACGTCCATCTCGACGAAGTCAAGGTGAATCTACAACAAGCGCAGGCAAAAGTGTCAACATTCGACGAGAAGCTCCAGCTAAAAATTGACCATTTCCTCCTCGGAGATAAGGACTTCATCTACAAGAATGATATCGGCAAGGTCTGGGAGGACTACGTATCAAAGAAGCAGGCTCAAATCTCAGTTTAGACAAAGAAAGCAACCAATGTCCTTGATCAATTCTCGACCTCCAGTGGCCCGAGAGAACCCTTCGTCCGTGCCTACCCTAGAGTAGCATGTTCCGGGCTAAGTTGATGCTATCACCAAATTGCCAATGTCTCTCTGTATATTCTTAGGACATGCTCTTTTAAGCAGTTGGTAGTTTTGAGCAAGATCTCATGTCAAGGCTTTTACAATGCTTTGTATGAAGATGAGTGCTCAGCTTGTTGTTCAGTGTTTGGCTTACCCAATTGATGTATCATAGAGTCAGCGTCCATTCTGACGAGAGAACAAGTAGATAGCATTTCGTGTCGTCACAATGTACAAATTAACATAAGTACTACTTAGTAGCTGTGTTGTATCCTCCTTTTGTCCCAAAAAGCACCGTCGGCCCTTTCAAATTCAAACCCAAGATAAATTCAACATGACGCTGTGGAGTGGTCCGCGGCCGGCGTCGCGAGAGTCTTGAACATCACTCAATCGAAATGAGGTTCAAGATCGAAGGTAGAATCCAAATAAAATCCAATAACCCAGCAGCTCCTCTCCAATCTCTTTTTGTTCTTTGTCCCACCAAAAGCTAAGAAACGTTCATTACAGTTAGGAGAATAATAATACTAACGCCACCTCTCCAGTCGCCCATTCATCAATGAGAGGAAGAAAAAGACAAAGGAAATAAATGGACCCAAAACCAGTTAAGGAAGCTCTGATAAAACAGATGGGCATGGGGACCGTAACCCTGGGACGCTTCGTATAATAGGATGATGGTTTATGGGAAATCGCGAGCCTTGCGCGCTAGGATTCTCACGTTGTTCAAGAAACCCTTGACTAATTCCTCATACCGATGTGGCGAGTTGTTCATGGCTCTCTGACCTTGTTCAACGAGAACATCGGGTGATATCTCGATCTCAAGCTCGTGCTCCTTTTCGGAACGAGTTGCGCCCTGCTCAAAGTCAGCATCATTACTTGTTAAAATGATTCGAAAGTGTCAACTTACTCCAGGTAGATTAACCTGCTGAGTGACCTGAGTCAGATCGACCTGGTAGTGGCCATGAGTATAACTTAGTCGGTCCTTGTTTCTGTTGGGTTGCCTTCCTGTTTGGCTTGCAGCAAGCTGCTCTAGTTCTTTCGTAGAGCCGCGCCAGTCCATTTCAAGATTGACACTGATGCGACAATCCATAGGACATGTCGGCATATGAAGGTCAATGTCGGCAACACGTGCCTTCACAATAGTATTCAGAACCTGTCCGGTCTTTTGGTCATGCGTGATCCGAGCCCGGACGTTTTTGCGACCAAGGCGAGAAAGCATACAGCCAGGAAGCTCATCCTGAAGCTCACGCGGAAGTTCAACGAAGCTATCGACTTCACGACGATGCTTATAGTGAACTTGAACTCGCTGCTTGCCGGTGTTGGGGTTGCGAGGGTCGGTTTCGATGACGGTCTGGTTGAGAAATTCATTGAAAGCCTTGTGTTGTGCCTATGTATAGTTAGCAAACCCGCAGTTTTGAATCATAGGCCAAAAGCAGAAATGTACGAACCTCGGTCATACTGCTCCTGAATGCTGTTCGATTGTTGCTTTCCAAAATGGCCTCAGATGCAAGAAAGCGGTCGACCCGGTGGTTTGTGTCCTTATCAATCAGAGTACCCAACTTGGCCTCAATCTCAAACTTTATGCCGCGATTCGTTATCTCTTGAATATCGGAAGCTCCAACAATGTTGACAAAAAGGAAATCTGCGATCACGCGTGGTATTTCTTCTATTGGCTCCACTCCTGTGATAGAATGCTCCCAAGCTCCGAGTATATCTTGGGGGCCAGGAGAAGGGGGAGCAGTAGTCGTTTGGGAATGACGAGGAGGTTGCGACTTCACGACTTCGGGAGTCTTGGGAGCTCCATCTTTAGATGCTCCGTTCACGTGGTTGTGGGCTCTTTCATGAAGCACGAAATTGGCGTTTTGTGGCAAGTTTTTGCCCAAGCTACGGATGCTCTGAGCCCAAATGGGTTTCTCGGTCCAATTAACTCTTTTTTTCCGTCGTTCGGCAGGAGATTGCGTCTTGGGTGCACCTGGTAATGCAAGAGGTTTTCCTGGAACATGTTTCCCGTTGATTTCGCCAGGAGGTGGCCTGGTGTCTTTATGCTCAAGCTCCCGGGGACTCAGATCTCTGTCGTCAAGCTTCCGCTTCGCCGGCGTCGTTGCGGCCTCGGTGTCGATCATCATCTTCACTGGAAGCGAAACAGAGTTGCGCTCCGAGTTGCTATGCAGGGATGGCACTCGCGTTTTGGGGCTCACCGACAGGCTGTGCTCTCGATCGTGAATAGATGTTGGTCGGCGATGGTGATCAATGGCAGGTGATTCACCGGTCCGGTGGGCATGATGTGTATCGTTTGTGCCGGGGATATGTTGGACAGGTGGGTGCGGTGGCTCTTGTGACCGGGCTTGTGGCTGTGGCGGTGAAGATTTTGTTTGCCCAGGAGAGGCTACCGGTACCGAGGGTGTTCTTTGTTGATATGGGCTCGAGGGCTGGGTCTGTGGCTGAGATTGCAGTCCAGATGGAGGGAAAGAACCTGGAGGACCAGGTTGCCCGAGCGCGACTGGTAGAGGCGGACCCAGGGGCGTCGCGGGTTGGGACTGCTGACGACTATATTCAGCAGACGGCGGAATCTGGTGGGCGCTCACCGGGCTGCCGTGGATGGGAGGGCCATAATGGTGCTGGCTATGTGCTGATGTTGGAGTGGGAGTCGATTGAGCGGATTGGGAGCGTTGATGGATAAAAGAATGAGGGCCACCAGGCGCGGCAACCGGTGGAGTCTGCGAAATTACAGTTACGGGATGGTACTGCCCAGGCCCAGGACCATGGGAATAGCTGTCTTGCCGTTGCGGCGGCGGCTGGGCGTGCTGATATTGCGGAGGCAGATGGGTTTGTTGCCGCATGCTTGGGCTCGTCATTTCGCTCGGCGGTCCATGAGTGGGTGGGAATGGATATCCTCGTGCCGTCGAGCTCGAGGCTGTAGGGGTCGATGCTGCTCGGTAGGCGGTCGGCGACGGAGCCGGCATAGGCGATCGAGGGTCGTGGAAGGAGTTGGTAGGCTGGAGAGGAGGAGGTGGAGGTGGTCTATTCGGGTATGAGGCTGCTACCTGATAAGGTGATTGTGGGTGAGATGGGTAGGAGGCGCCTTGTGATGCCTGGTGCTGAGGGTGCTGCCCAGGATGATGCGGGTAGTCCTGGATGGGAGGCTTGCCGGGCGACCGATGCGGTTGAGCTGGATGGCCGTACTCGCTTCGATAATGGTACTGGGTAGGACTCTGCTGGAGGTGAAGCTGGGCGTGCGGGTGCTGCTGCTGTTGAGGAGTTGGAGGCGCCTGGGCGGGCGGCGCACGATCGCGGTCAGGCTGGCGGCCGCGATCGCCGTTGTCAGAATTATTCAGAACCGAACGGAGATCCATGGTGCGAGATGAATGGGCCAATCGCGCAGGTTACAAAACGATACGGGGTAAAAAGCTGGTCGGAGTCGATGCTTGGCCAGAAGAAAAGAAAGATGACGGGCCCATCTGCTTGCGTCTGCTACGTCGTGACGCGGTGGATGTCGAGGTCGAGGTCGAAGACAAGCTCGAGGCCAGGATTAAATGGAAAGCCTGGCTCCAGCTGAGGAGCAGATCGAGGTCGAGCGCGCGGGCGATGCAAGAAGATTCGGGTCGCAAATAGGCATTGTCGCGCTGAGACCAGCTACCGCACAAAGAAGAGGAGATGCGCCTGGTGCTGCAGTGAGCGCCCAGGGATGGATTGGAAGAACGCTGAAGACGCTGGAAGAGACAGCTACGACATTGGGAAGAACAAGGGAACGGGGGAGCGGTGCAGCGGAGGCCTACTGGCGGCGGGATCCCATGGTCCTGATGGGACGTGTTGGCCGTCGAGGATGTTGATGGAGGTTGAGGACACAATCGCGATCGAAGCTGGACTTCCGACTCATTGGGCAACTTAACTTTTTTTGGGCCACTACTGCACATTGGTAGCTGCCAGGTGGGAAAGGCACACAGCCGCGTCGTGCAGGCCGCCGTCCGTTTCCATCCTAGTTACGGGCTTAGTATCTATAACGGGGTTTCTAAGATCTACAGTGACAGCATGCACCATTTGCTTGTCTGGTTTGGCGAGGCGATATCGTGCCAGAGACTGCGTTATTGCTGGCTGCTGCTTCATGGGCTGCTGCATCCGTAACCTGAGCTGATGCCTGCCATCTCCCGACGCCCAACCACAGCTGCTGCAGCTACCAGGAGGCTCGTGCGTCAGCACCGGGACCTGTGGCAGCTGGCCCAGTCTCGATGCCCTGCATGCATCCTGCCTTCCCGAACCCGAGCCCTAGCTCTGTAACTATGTGCTTATCGCTCACCTGGCTTAGTGCTCGGTGAGGCCCGCCTGCGATATCCACACGGGAAATATGATATTACGGTATTACCCCGAGATGAGATGATGATGCGCAATGTAGCCGATCAAAAAGTCCTGACTCCTGCTGCTAACCTAAGCACCCAGACTCGCCCGTCACGTGACATGAGTAGTCCTTGCCCAGAGCCTGTTGGACCAGTCTTAGTCAGCATACGCCGGCATCCGCTACGGGTCTCCGCTCAGGTATCTCGTGCTCGCTGATTGGTCCAGCGTGTTGCAAGACGGCGAAGGCAGCTGTGCCTGACGTGGATCAGCTGCAGGCAGTACGTTCCTTGGTCGTCGTCGAAACCACACAAGCATCATCACTCCTGTTTCCTTGCATCCATCCGCTTCACCCACGATACCTCGTCCACCTGGAGAGCTTACTCTCTGACCGTCTCTACTGCCACACCGTTGTGGCCGGTTTCTCCCTCCCTTCTCTTGTTTTAATTCGACGATTCTCCGATCAGTAACTTGTTCTGTGGCATTCCACAACGATCGCCGCACTCGCAACATAATGCCTGGGTTGGTTTCTGCCACAGGTGTCCTGGCATTTCTTGCCGAGGAGGAGCCTGAGCTCAGAGTCTTCGCTCTGCAGACCCTGAACGACGACATTGACACCGTTTGGACAGAGGTTGCGGGTGCCTTGAGCCAGATGTATGATTAGCCCTCCCTCTATTCGAGTAACCGTCCCAACTAACCTTCTGTGTGTAGTGAGGCCCTCTACGAAGATGAATCCTTCCCCGAGCGACAGCTAGCCGCCTTGGTTCTTGCCAAGGTCTACTACCATCTCCAAGCCTACAATGACAGCATGGTGTTTGCCCTCGCTGCAGGCGACCTGTTCAAGCTTGATGCGCACGGCGAATTTGAGGAGACCATCATCTCCAAGTGTGTCGACCAGTACATTGCTACATCCGCCGCGAAGAACCCTGGTCCCAAGCCCGCCAAGAGCACCGAGCTTCCTGAGCTTGCGACTACCTTCTCCAATGTCCCTGATGGGGCTGTCACCTCACCCACGACCCCCTTCTCCCAGACGACACTTCCTCCCAAGTCTCTTCTCTCTCGCGATTCTATCGATGAATCTGTGCTCGGCGCCACCTTCCAGCCTATTGGAAAGAACGGGCGTTCTGGCTCCGTTGCCAACCTCCCCGACCAAGCTACCGAGTCCGCCCTGCAGAGAGTCATCGAGCGCCTTTTCGAGAGCTGCCTCAAGCAGGGCCGCTACAGACAAGTGGTTGGCATTGCCATCGAGGCCAGGAATCTTCAGGTTCTTCGCAGTGTCATTAAGCGCGCTAGCGACGATGCTGCTCGCTCCAAGAACAAGGTACAGGACGGAACCCCCGGGCCCGCTGAAGAGTTGATGGAGTATACGCTCAGTATCTGCATGGATATCGTCCAAGAACGTAGCTTCCGCCACGAAATCTTGCGTTTGGTCCTAGACCTACTAAACGAGATTCCTAACCCCGACTATTTTGCCATCGCCAAGTGCGTCGTCTATCTCAACTCCGACGAGGAAGCGTCTCGCATGCTGCAGACCCTGGTCGATAACGGTGATCGTACCTCGATAGCAAATGCCTACCAGATCGCTTTTGACCTCTATGACAATGGGACACAGGAATTTCTGGGCAAGGTCTTGGCCTCACTCCCATCCCCTGGTCCCGACCCTAGCGAGGCGGCTCCCGAAAAACCCGCCAAGGCCACCGAAAACAAGGATGCTGAGACTGAGCCTCTCCTCAAGGAGGAAAATGACGAGGAGGACGAGGATGAGGACGAGGACAAGCTTCCTGAAGAGGTTGCCAAAGTCTGGCGCAACATTCGTTCCATTCTGGATGGTTCCAAGACAATCCAGCTCAACCTCGAGTTCTTGTACCGTAACAACCGAACCGACCTCAGCATTCTGACAAAGGTCCGCGACAGCCTCGAAGGCCGTAGCTCTATCTTTCACAGTGCTGTCACATTCTGCAATGCCTTTATGAACCAGGGTACTACAAACGACAAGTTTTTCCGTGACAACCTCGACTGGCTTGGCAAGGCCGTGAACTGGTCCAAGTTCACGGCGACCGCCGCCCTGGGTGTCATGCACAGAGGCAATCTGAAACAATCACGAAAGCTTCTGGAACCCTACCTCCCTAGAGCCGGTGGGTTGGGCAGTGGCTCCGTTTACAGCCAGGGTGGCGCCCTGTACGCCTATGGTCTGATCCATGCCAACCACGGTGCTGGTGCTCTCGAGTACCTCAAGACCCAATTCAACAACGCTGAAGATGAGGTCTTGCAGCATGGTGGTGCTCTTGGTTTGGGCATTGCAGGAATGGCGACTGGTGACATCGGCATTTTCGAGAAGCTCAGGGACATCCTGTTCCAGGACTCGGCGCTCAACGGCGAGGCTGTAGGTCTATCCATGGGTCTGATTATGCTAGGTACTGGCAATGTCAAGGCCATCGAGGACATGATCACTTACGCCCACGAGACGACTCATGAGAAGATTGTCCGTGGTGTGTCTATCGGTATGGCTCTCATCATGTACGGCCGTCAGGAAGGAGCCGATGTCTTGATTGAGGGTCTGCTGAACGACCCCGACCCAACTCTACGATATGGCGGTATCCTTACGGTTGCCTTGGCCTACTGTGGTACCGGAAGCAACAAGGCTGTTCGTAAGCTCCTTCACGTTGCTGTCAGCGATGTGAGCGACGATGTTCGTCGTATTGCTGTGATGAGTCTGGGTTTCATTCTCTTCCGCAAGCCCGGCAGCGTCCCTCGCATGGTTGAGCTTCTTTCCGAGTCATACAACCCTCACGTGCGGTATGGATCTGCTATGGCTCTGGGTATCGCCTGTGCTGGAACCGGTCTCGATGAAGCTATTGATCTCTTGGAGCCGATGATGAAGGACCCAACCGACTTTGTGCGACAGGGAGCTCTGATCTCTCTTGCAATGATTCTGGTTCAGCAGAACGAGGTGATGAACCCCAAGGTCGCATCAATCCGCAAGACTTTAAAGAAGGTTGTTGGAGACCGTCACGAAGATGCCATGACCAAATTCGGTGCTGCCCTGGCCCTGGGTATCATCGATGCCGGTGGTCGCAACTGCACAATTGGCCTCCAAACACAAACAGGTAACCTCAACATGGCTGGAATCGTCGGTATGGCCGTCTTCACGCAATACTGGTATTGGTTCCCCTTCACCCACTTCTTGTCCCTGAGCTTCTCGCCCACTTCAATCATTGGACTGGATCACAACCTCGAAATTCCTGATTTCAAGTTCCACTGCGCCACCCGCCAGAGCCTCTTTGAGTATCCGCCAGAGCAAGAGGTCAAGGCCGAAGAGGGCCCAGCCTTGATTGCAACCGCCATTCTGTCGACAACTGCTCAGGCCAAGCGACGGGCCCAGAAGAAGGAGAAGGCTCAACGCCGCGAGAGCATGGACATTGACTCCGCTCCTGCCAGACCTTCGGTGGACGCCATGGATATCGAGGATAAGAAGAAGGACGAAGGCGAAAAGGAAGAGAAGGAAGATAAGGAAGATAAGGAGAAGAAGAGCGGCGATGATAAGGAGTCTAGCCCTGCCGAGTCCAAGAAGAAGCCCGAAAAGGAGAAGGTCGGGTTCGAGATTGAGAACATGACCCGTGTTCTCCCTGGCCAGCTCAAGTACATCAGCTTCCCCGCTGGCAGGTACAAGCCCGTCAAGAAGGTAAATTCCCCCCCACCCTACTGGTTTTATCCATCGAAAGCTAACGTTCATTGTCTGAAGCCTACTGGCGGACCTCTTTTACTTGACGACACACAGCCCGATGAGCCCAAGACCTTGCTTGAGGAGAAGCTGAAGAAGGTCACAACAGAGCGGGCACCCGTTGCGGGAGCTGGTACTCAGCGGGGTGGACGAGGAGGCGGCCGATCCATCCTCGACGGACTGGTGGACCCAGGTCGTGCCTCAACTGGCAACTCGATGGTGGACCAAATCCTTCGAAATGCACAGGGGCGGAATTCGCCTTTGGCCAGCTTGTTGGATCTTCCCTCTACCCCTGGAGCACCAGGTGCGACGGGAGCTGCTTATGTCCCTGGATTGGAGGATGACGACGATGACGAGGATGCCAACGTGCCGAACGAGTTTGAATACTACTCCGACAATGGCAGTGACGATGAGTTGTAGATTCATAATGCGTCAGCCAGGCTACCGCCACCTCGACTTCCCTATGCGCCCTCGGATGATGAAGGACAGGGCCAATCTCTTGTTAGGAGACTCAACGAATGGGCTCTGCGAGTGGTTTTGGATGGAATTGGCAATGCATGTTCAGAGTTCCGTCGTCCAGCTTGATGGCGGCCTCTGCAATGCATCGGCCACTACACTCTTACTCTCAAGCATATAATTACCAATATGCTAATGCATGCTTCTATGTATTATCAGATATACAGCGTCGGCGGGTTGGAGATGGGTATGCAGGTTAAAGGGAAAAGAATAGGAGGTAAAGGCGCTCTAGGTCTGTGCTATAGTCGAAACGGAATAGATTTGTTTTAAAGCCAGTACAAATGATCCCCGAGACTTGCTCGAGGTTGATACCGCCGCTTTGTGGATCTGCCATGTACACACGCACTGATGACTTGAAAGGGTTCGACATGCTAATCATTAAGTTCAATTGAAAGATCATTACAAGGGGTATCTGTCATTAAAGTACGCTCCAGTACAATCTAATAAATTCCTTTTTTTACGTTCCACGTCCCGAAGGATCAGTCCTGCTTCTGCTGGCCCAGGCAGTCAGTGCAGACCCGCACACGGTGCCAGGCGGACGCCAGATTGCCCCTGATATTCCACGTCGCGGCGTGGCTCTCGGGCTGGGTGTTGTACGTCTCGTCGGTGGCCTTGACGACGACGGTGGTGCAGACCCGGCTCTCGGCCGCCCCCTTGGTATCATCACCACCCTCCTCCTCGCCCTGCTGGGCCTCATTTTGCTTTTGCTGGAGCACACCGGCGGGGACCTTTCCCTCGAAGCGCCAGCGCTTCCAGGCCCAGAACCCGTGGCCGCTGCAGGGGGACGAGCCGCCGCCGGAGGAGCAGTCGGGGAGCAGCCGGGCCTGGGACCAAGTCTGCCCGCCGTCGACGGAGACGTCGACGCGGATGATCTCGCGCCCGCCGCCCGAATAGGCGTACCCGCCTAGGGAGATGGGATACGCGCTGCCGTCCTCGCCACCGGGCTCCTGCCCGAGCTTCATGGCGGTGACGGCGCTCTGGACGGGCATCTCCTGTATGGCGGGCGCTGCGTCCCAGTCGACGCTGGTGGTCTGGTTGGGGCCGAAGCACTTGTAGTCCCTGCGCTGCCACTGGCTGGGGCTCTCCTCGTCGCTGAGGGTGATCCTGTCGAGCCACTTGACGGAGCGGGCGGCGACGTGACCGGGCACGATGGAGCGGAGGGGGAAGCCGTGGTCGCGGGGCAGGTCCTGGCCGTTCATGCCCCAGGCGAGGAGGACGTCGCCGAGGGGGTCGGCGGCCTTGCGGATGGGGATGCTGGCGGCGTAGGCCTCCATGGCGGAGAAGTGGACGTGCTTGACCTCGTCGTCCTTGTCTGGCTTGAAGCCTGAGTCGGCGAGGACGTCGGCGAGGAGGACGCCGTGCCACTGGGCGTTGGAGATGGCGCCCGTGTCCCAGGGGAGGCCGTTGGCCTTGCGGCCCGACTCGCGGCTCATGTTGGAGCGGCGGTTGCCGGAGCACTGGAGGGCGGCTGTGACGGTGCGCTGGGGGAAGCGGGTCTTGAGGTCGTGGAGGGTGTACTTCTTGGCCGAGCCGTCGGGCAGCTCGACGGTGAGGGTGTGCTGCTCCGGGTCGGCGACGGTGGGCACCCACATGTGGTTGCGGACATAGAAGAGGTCGTTGGGCGTGAGGAAGCTGGCCTCGAGGGCGTAACCCGGGGACTCGGCGTTTCTGGGCTTGAGGGTGCGGGTGATGAGGTCGGCGTGCCTGGCCGGGTCGTCTGAGAAGGGATCCTCGACATCTTCGCTCTGGGCTGGCCGGGAGCCGTCGGGGGTGAGGTCTGCCGAGTCCACGTAGCCGATGAGGTACTGGGAGAGGATGTCGTAGACGTACTGGGACTTGTGGATGGCGAAGATGTCCCAGTATCGGTCAATGGATCCGCCGGCTGCTCGGAGGATCACGTCGCCTCCTGGGTGTGCTGGGACCCAGTCAGTTATGTCGTAGACTTTGGTGCCGTGGACGATCCATGGGTTGCCGGATGAGCCGTTGTGCTTGCGGATTTCAGAGAGTCGAAACCGGGGCAGGCTGTCGTCTGTCTGGGAGGAATTCTCAATGACTTGGGAGGCATCGAGAGATGCGGGAGGTATTTGGGTGGTGTAGAAGGCAACGATGGAGACAAGAAGACCGGCGGAGGCAACCCAAGGAGTAAGTGATCGTTGGGTCTGCTTCTTCTGGCTCGCTGGGGGCGTCCGTGTACTAAGTCCGCGGATTGGCAATCGCAGAGCAGCATGTTGGGACGAGTTGCATATCTTTGGGGTAGGAATCGCTACTCGTGAAACCGACCGCAAGGGCCTTGGTCGGGACAGTATCTGGCAGGTCTGGAGATGCAATCGGGGCGGCATGGTGAAGGAGGATGACGATTCATTCAGGAGAGTGGCAGGGACGGGACAAAGAGATGGAGGTGACAGAGATGGGAGATTCAGATCATGGCGAGAGATGTCGACTGGGAAGCGGAAGAGTCTGGTAGATGGTCAAACGCAGGTGGGAGTCAATGCGATAACGGCGGTCACTCCCAGTCCGTGCAGATAAGAAGCAGTTACACGGCAGAATAGATCGGCGACAGTGGGAAGGACGAATTGGGAGTGAGACATTAGTAGATAGGTAGAGTCAAGTAGGAGAGAAGACGACAAGGAGGAGGACAGAGCCCCTTCCCTCTTCATCGCGATGGAGGCAAACCCCGAGGTCAGCTGGTCTCTGGCCGCCCCCAGCACCAGGCACAGGAGAGACAGAAGTACGTAACGAGATACGCAGCTAGCTCTTCGTATTTAAGAACAGCCGCTGTGCTAACGCAGCCAAGCCGAGAGCTACGGCTAGCAAAAGTCTGGGGAAAGGGTCCGCCCCGTCACTTCGTTCGCCGAATGAACCGGGATCCTACGTAATGCAATCTAGCTACCCTGGATCCCTGCAGTCAATCGCCGGTGCACCCCTGTCAGACTGAGATGGACGATGCTCGGGAGTCGGTCATCTATGAATCTAGTTTCTTCATTTACTAGGCCAGAATTAATTATTCTCATCTTTGTACTATATACAGCTGGGTACAGGGATAAAGGTAGCACCAATGCGTTATGCAATGCTCGAAACCATCCCAGTATCAAAACAGAGTACCCCAGGCAGCTATTTCGTTGTCGTGGCAAACGCTCATAAAACAAAGCCGCTTCGTGTATCCGTGCATCATCTCAGAACTACCCCCTAAATTATATGTGTCGATTGCTGTGCGTTAATCCACTAAAGACGTGGATGTCCACCACATATGGTCTATGGTACCTAAGGTAGGACGGCAACAAGACGTCCGGATGTCATCAACTCAAATCCTGAACCGTCGGCCCTACTGCGTTCAAATGGAAGTCTATGTCAATCCTCCGAAAGTAGCTGATGTGGTGTAACTCGACCCAGTACTGCGCAATGCAATCGTGGCTGAGGAGCAACAACTGGCTCTCGATGAACTTGTCTGGAAGCGCAGTTTGTCAGCCGCATGCCTTGCAACAATAGTGAAAATAGAGACCTACCTCTCTGAAAACCTGTATTCGCCACATGGCCTCGGCTCTTTACCGCCCTTGCTCCCTCATAGTCAAACGGTGGACCGGGAGGAAGTTCAATCGTGCCCTCGGGGCCGATATCCTCGGCGACAAAGGTATACTCTCCGCGCGGCACGTTGGCATCACCCGTAAGCTTGATGGCCTCTAGACGCCCGCGGTAGATGCGAGCATCCAACCGTCGCTTCTCCCAATGTGCATCCGTCTCTCCTTCCAGACGCACGAGGTTAAGCTCCTCGTCGGACGCTGGCGGGTCATCTGGCTGGTTGAAGAGGAGGAACTCGCACCCGTGCAAGGAGTAATCACCGACCCAGATGCCCCTCCAGGGTTTGGTGGGCGTCGGGGTGTACAGCTTCGGATCTAGCGTCGAGTACGTCATGACGTCCTCACCCATGTGAATCCCAATCGGAGCAGGGCGGACGAGGTTTGCGGCGGTGCCGGGGTGGCCGCCGCCTCCCACTGTCCTTGCCATTCGCTCCAGGAGAGCTCGCGTGGACGTGCTCGTCCCCAGCATTTCCATCCACCGCCGCAGACGGAATGTTTTGTCCGACAATTCAGATCGCTGGGTGGGTTTGGGAGGTTCTTGCCGACCCTCGCTGTCGTTCGTCGATCGGTCGCACACGACATGCGTGGAGGCGGGTATGGTTGGCGGGGGCCAGATGTGGCCATACGGATAGTCGGCGGCGCGCTTCTGGTTCACAGTCTCCTCGTCCAGGGGCTTGGTCAAGATCAGGTTGCTGTACATGTGCTGGAACCGCTCGTCCAGCAGCACGCTGATCTCCTCGGAGAACTTGTTGCGCTTGAACCTCCTCGAGTACTTCCTGTCGTTGATCTTGAACTGCAAGACGGGCTTGTCGAGGTGTAGATAGACCCTGCATTTGAAAGGTTGGATGACGACACTGGGGTTTGCGTCCCATTGCTGGGCCATGTCTTCTATCCGTACGGCGAGCAGGTCGTAGCCCTCGATGCATCCCCGCCTCGGGTCATAGCGGACTAGGATGAGCTTGCCAGGTAGGCCGGAGTCGCTGAACCAGATTTTATGCTTGGGGAGAAACCACAATGGATCGTATTCTGCGAATAATTGATGATAAGACTTGAACGGCGACGGGCTCTGGAGACGGGCCCCGGGGGCATTCTCCTGGACGAAGGAGTGCCAGAGCATGTCGGAGAGCGCATGGCCGCGCATTTGACGGCATGTTGCGGCTACGGAGACGAGGTCGTAGGGAGAGAGGTGGCCGAGGATCAGGTCGAGAATCTCGGCAGGCGCGCTGAGGAGGAGAGAGGAGCTGGGCTCGAAGGCTTGGTTGAGAGGCACCTGGACGCCATCTGGGGAGCTCTCGATGGAGTGGAAGGAGGTCTCGCTGTCGTCCCGATCATCAGCCACGGCGTCATTGGGGTTGGCGGCCTCGACGGGTAGCTTTGACTGCTCGGATGGGCTTTCATTTGAGGGGGAGATGGGGGCGAGACTAGGTTTGCTTGTGCTTGGCGCCGAGGCTTCGACTGCGGCGGCATCGCAGAGGGAGGTTGGGGTAGGTATATCCGATGGGATTCTGGGCTCGGAGGGGCCTGGCTCGGGTGGAGGCGGGGTGGCGGCCATGTTTGGAGGTGCCAGATGGGCGGCGCAAGTTTGGGGGCGGGTGCGGCAGGTTTAAGTGTTTACTGGTACGAAGCTTATCAGATGCGACGAGGCGGATGGAGATGGAACGAGGGAATGAGGCGGGTGGTGCTTGTTGATCGTGGGCCAGGGAGCAGCGGGTAGTTCGTCATTTGGCAGGCAAATGCGGAGACGATGCTGGTGCTAGTCGATCAAGGCCAGGTGAATAAGGTGTGGTCAAGGGCCAGGCCAAGGCACTACCACTTACTAGGGAGATAGCTGGTGGCACGGTCGACGATGAGATGCTGCCATGGGCGGGGTGATGCAAAGAGGAGACGAGGTGGGGTTGGTTTCTGTTGCATCATCAGCATCCTTCCTGGACAGATTGTGGCATGGCAATGTGGCGCAGAGTCCGTTACGCCTCACTACAATGTGATGGTGGAAGCAGTTCAGATGTCTTTGCGATCATAACTTACTATTGCAGTTTCCTATAATATAAACACCTGGTACTACATAGGTTGTCTATCAATGATTAGTGTTAGTAGGCACCTAAAGTATAAGTGCTTCCACGTATTGCTGCTGTGAGGCGGCACACTTCCTCTCAAAGAATCAAGCAATTGGCTTTATTTTGAACATGCATTCTATAGCCCGAAGAAGATACTCAAAATGATGGTGCAAAAATAGTTCATTAATTTGTAGCTTTAACACGTACTGGAACGGAAGCAGGGAATAATCTTGTGGTGCCTCCCTTCCAATAGCTGTCCCGTCATGCTACTGATACTGCCAACACGCTACGAAACAGGATAGTGCACAGGCAACATGTTGTATGGAAGCTTATCATCTATTTAACAGTGCATTAATTCTCGGCTATCAATGAAATCTTATCCAAGCCTTCCATTTCGTTGAGGCTAAGAGCTGCAATTGGATTATATCGATGTATGTGACCGGTCGAAACTTTCTGTCTTGGAGAATGGTAGCTACAATAGCCATCTTCCAATTCCTTGTCCCCAGAGATGGCAGTCAGGCCGGGTTAAGAAATTACATCCAACTCTTCCAGTATCTCAGGTCTGCATTGGTAATGGAGAGGAGTTGGTCTCATCCAGCGCCTGGGTCCTCTGTAATTAGCACGTGAACGCGCTATCTCCGGGTGCTAGACGAGAGCCAACAGTGACGCACGACGCTAACATCATAGACTTGAGTTCTGCTTAGTCAGAACTCATCGCGTCAGGCATCATGCTCTAATATTTATTTATCTTGTCCATCCATCAATAAGCCTCATGATACCAGTATCCCCAGCTTCGACTCAAACACGTCGGACATAACCGCTCCTCGGCTCGCGTGTCTCATTTTGAAACCGTCACGCAGGGGCTGCAGCTGGGTGTCCCCGGTTGGAAGTTGTGCAACATCGCTTTTGTGACGGTTCGGTTTGCCATCGGCACACGACACAACCCAGGCCATCGCAGAGCAACCCCCCAGGGGCCAGGGAGCACGTCGAGCGGGTTGCGAAAGCAGTTCTCGGGGAGCGGTGTCTTCGTATTACTTCAGCGCTGCATCCCGACTGTCTATCTTGAACTGCTCTCAAGTGGCATTGCCTGAATTAAGCGGACCTCAGTAGCACGCATCCAACTCGGTTGATTTCACCATCTATCTTTATTGTAAGGTACTCGACGTACATCCGAACCGCGAAAATGACTTCCTTCCTGCCACTCATCTCGGAGCTCCTCCCCATGATTCTACCGAGCTCGATTCACGTTGTCCGTGCCAAGGATCTTCAGCCCAAGCACCCAACCGTCGAAGGCCCCGTCCTACAGCGTCAAGCCTTGGTCGGCAAGTGCGGCATGTGCGCCACAGGTGAGACTGTCTTACTCTACTAACGTTTTGTCATGCTGCTGTGGTTTGCTCGAGACCGTTGGGCTGATCTTTAGCAGTCCTCACAATCCGTCCCCACTCAGAGAGTGCAATCAGACACAACAGCGAGCAAGGTGTGTACATGTCCGACTTATACTATATACGCAATGCACCGACTAATCTATTTGTAAAGACGCCATCGTCTTTTTGGTGTCTGGATCCGGGGTGTTCCTGGTCCAAGGCGGGCAGAAAGATGGGGCCCAACGTAATGAGTTGACGCAGGGGGATCTCGTTTTCGTCCCTTCCTGGACAGAGCACCAGCTGGTCAACGAAACTGATGATGATGTAGTGTGGCTCCTTATTCAGAGCGGCTCACGGCCTGTGGGAGCCGACTTGACTGACTGGGGAGGTGATGAGGTATTCACCCGCAAATGAAGTCTCATCATGTGTGTTTGATGCCCGAATCAAGTTGCCCGAATCAAAGTGCTAGATATCACAGCATGAACGGACAAGGTTGGAAACCTGGCTGCTGGATGCTGGGTCGTCGAACACCTGGGCGTGGTCAAAGTCTGAGAATAGTGTCACCTTAACGGCATCCCCTGCATTTGGGGTGGCTGAGGCCTCGAGTCTCTGCGTTTGGAGGTATGTCGCCACGGACGCGACATCGACAATGAGATCGCGGCCCGAAAGAACTACCGTTGCCCGCCTCTTCTTCCCCTCGACCCCTCCTATCCTGGACTTCCCCAGCAGCTCGTCCTTCCAGATTATGTTTTCTCGCCAGAAAAAGTGGCGGCCGAGACAGTGTGCGACTCCCGGGTCGGTGCTGGCAAAGTACCATAACTGCCACTCGTTGGCCCCGTTAGGGACTCGTCGCGTAAAGTTGAAGGCCACCGAAGGCAAATGCAACATCACTGTCACCGGGTCAATGAGAGCGACAGATTCGATTTTGGACTGAAGCTGAGGTGAATGGATGAGATGAGCCGCCTGAACGGAACCATATGAATGCGCAGCAACGGCAAATCTGTCCCACTTGTGGTAGTCGAGAATGGTCTTGATTTGGATCAGAAATTCAGCCTTTCCAAGGGGCGGGGTAGTGAGACGAAACGAGATGGGCAAGAGTTCAATCGCAATGACGCCCACACGACTTCGGTTCTGCTTGCTGGTCGCTGTCTTCAGATCGGAAAGGAAGCGAACATATGTCCAAAGACCGACCCCGATCCCGTGGAAGAAAAGGATGGGGACCGTGTCTTCGTCGCCTCTGTGCGGGGTGTACCAGTAACCAAGGCTGGAAGCGCTTGACTTTCGAGCCAAGAGAGTCTGAGGTCTTGGAGGGAACACTCTGCGGCTGGCTTTCGACGATGAGAAGTATTGGAATCCTTGCGATGAGAGAGTGATGTGTGTGACCATGTCCACGAGGAAAATCACCATATACCAAGCCAGGCTGCGATAGGTTGTTTGGATGTTGTCGAACGTGAGACGGAGGCTCTTGGCCGAACCACGGCCTGCTCGGATCTCCCTCCCCAGCTTCTCCTCAATCTGATCGACATAGTTTTCGAGCTCATCCCCCAGACTAGGGTCAGCATGCTCTTGCTCGAAAAAGGCCCAGAGCAGAAACTCTTGGATATTGTCGCGCCGGATATCGTCTAGATCTGCGCCGAGAAACCAGCCGCGCAAGTAGAGCTCCGGTGAGGATACATTTTCAAGACACCGGTGGAATAATTCCTCTCTCTCGGATTTCTTGAGTGGTACAGGGTGCACGGCTTTCTCTGTGAGACGGGGTTGAAACGACCGCCAAACCGTTACATAGAAAATTGCCTCGGCGCCCAGAAGCGCTGAGACAACAAGGACAGCAATGCGATGCCATGACTGCTGTCCATTTTGGAGCAGCAGGAAACCAAGTGCGGCCGCGTACAGGAGTGGGGTGTACCGAAAGAAAAAGACGAAGAAACGTATAAAGACGTATTCCTCGTGGGAGGTGCCGATCATGGTGGGTGATAATTGTTGGTGAACAGGGGTGGTTGCTTGGTGGATACAGAGCTACACGACCGTATCCCAAGTTTGATGGGATGCAGGTTTGAAGTTAAAATATCCAGACCCAGTGGGAGAATGAATGGCAATAAATATCAAGCCAAACGGAAGAATCAGGCCATGTGAAAACTGGCGATGGCTCTGGCGGTGACCTGCAGCCGAAACCGTTGGGCCGATGGACGCTTGTGTTGTGTCCATCAATTGTGTTGAGGTCGGGAGTGACGTAGTGCCTGATTGATGTGCTGGCCCCAGGCACGTGCAAAAACGCGTCTCTCCTGCGTGTCCAGGGCCTCGGCTCAGTATAGGTTAGGCCAGCGGTGACTGCCTGCAAACCTCCTCTTGTCTCACCTGGACATTCCACCAAACTCCAACGCCAACATCACCACTGACTAGGTAGCTGCGAACATCAAGGGTTGGTCCCGGATAAGTGAGAATCCTACAGCATTCTACATCCACTTATCCGGCGCTGAAAATATCTATTTCCCTGATTTCCTCGCCGCCAGACCAGCAGAGCACGCGAGGTATTGGGTTGGCGCCCAGAGGAACTGGTGTCTTTGACGACATTGCTGCGCATCCGAAGCCTTGCATTTGAGCTATGAATAAGTTTTCCGAAATCAAAGGTTCAGAGAATTTGAAAGATTACCCTACATGCAGGCAGCTTCACCGTATATTAAGGGTGTATAGCATACACCTCGCACGACATCTCTACTGCTCCACGATGGCGACTCGGTCTATCTATGGCGTGCAGCGGCACTGCAGCGTTTTTGGGGCGCCGCCCGGGACTTACCAGAAGCAGATGGAAATGTCTCTCTGCTGCAAGCCGAGCAAGCTGCACGCCGCTTGTCGAGGGTAGACGCAGGGTGAAAGCGCCGTGGCGCTACTGCTGTGCGACGACAACCGCGTGCCTTGCACCACCTGAGTTGTCGCAGAACACGAACTGGGCACATGTAGGCAGCACACGCATCGCACCATGTGAAGAAGGCAAGGGCCCGGGCGAGAGTAGAAAACTTCGTCCCAGCTCGTGGCTCCCATCACCCTCCCCGATCATGGTAGACCCGACCAGAGCATTCATCCCACGGTATCCGTCACCGAATCGCCCATGTTCATTTGTTGGAGAAGCAGACTAGCCGACATCCCACACCTATCACCCAGCCTGGACATCACGCAGCCGACTCTGGCAGCCATGAACCTGAGGGCCCCCGACAGGGCGGTCTACTGCCGCCCATACGACAACTACCACGAGCTCAAGCACTTCGTCCACGGCGCGGCCAGTACCGGCATGACCCTGACCACCAAGTGCGTCAGCTGCTCCAACGACCCGGCCCCGCTCGACTACGCCGACCGCAACCTCTTCTCCATGTCCTACCCGCAGAACGGCCCCGGCTTTCCCTGGCTCGTGGCGGACAGCAAGGCCCAGGGTCAGCACATGTGCTTCATCCTGCCCTGCGGGCACCTGATGGGCTGGTCGTGCATGGAGCGCCACAAGAACGACCACTCGAACCGCTGCCCCCGTTGCCGCACCATCTGGTTCCGCCTCGAGGCCGCGACGCACTGCCAGCACCCCATCGTGGTCATCCCCCTGCGGCAGGCCACCGTCCTGTCCGAGGAGGAGGAGGAGTGGCTGATCCCCCCGGGCGGCTACCTGCTCGACAAGTGCCGCCTGTGCGCGACCGTCGACGCCCTGCGGGACCTGACGGTGTTCCTGAGGAACGCGATCCCGGGTGACGGCAGCTGCTCGTACGCGACGGACGGCACGCTCAACGGGTTCCTCGAGGGTGACGACCTCAAGCCGTTTTCGAACCTCGAGATTGGTATTGAGCCGCCCGTGGTGCCTGAGGGGCTGATGGAGGAAGTAAGGAGGGTGGAGGGGATGATTGTAAGGAACTATGAGGGGCGGACGCCCAAGGCCGAGTCGAGGATGGTGGGCGCCGGCTGGGGCAGGCAGTTTTGCTTCCGAGTCGCCGGGCTGGCGAGATCGCCTAACTAGTTGGTTGAGCATCATATAGCTAGGTAAAGATTTTGAGGGGTTGGTTGGCGAACTCGAGCGTGTCTAAAGGTTCTGTCAGGTCTGGAGACTGGATGAGAAGAGATGGAGGTGAAACGGCGAAAAGAGGAGAGACTTCTTGTACTGGCATTCTCATTTTCATATGATAGGGCTGGCGGAGGGATAAGGAATAGAATTACACAGCAAAGATATGAGCCAATTATGATTTTGGTGATGTAATTTCAGTGAACATCAGTTTATCACTTAATCGCCACCTCTTGAATTGTTATTTGACTGATGTTACTTCCATTTGCTGAAGCATCATGGTGAAGCGCTCATGGGCCAATCGCCTCTCAGATTTACGACGTCATGAGTTTTTTTTCTGGATCCCAATTTTTTTCAAACCCCAACAAAAGAGTGAAGTAGACGGACACTCATCACCAGAATACCATCATTCATCATACATCTCTCAGATTAACCAGGATATAAATTTAGACATAGACCGCGACCTGAGAGCTAGACAAAAACCCAACACAGGGAAAGAGCCATGGCGGACAGATACATCCTGCGCATCACGGCCGGCCCCGACTACGATCTGGCGTCCCACGTCGAGATCCCCGTCAACACTGCGGAGCCGGTTCACATCAGCAGCGACAGGGCCGACATCCAGCTCAACGTCCGCGTCAACGACTACCGGGGCCTGCCGTACGGCTCGCCGGCGACCTCGCCGTACTTTGAGGCGGAGCCGCACAAGTACAACCAGGACCAGTACAGCATCTGCTTCCGCTTTACGCCGAAGCGGCCGGCGGCTGTGGCTAAAACGGATGAGAAGGAGGATGGTGTGAAGGGGGATGCTAAAGATGAAGCCGGGGATGATGTCAAGGAGGATGTTAAAGATGAAGCCAAGGAGGAAGCCCAGGAGGACACTGATGAGGAGGACGACGACGAAGACGAAGAGGTCCTGGGCATCTCAGGACTAGATCTCCAGTTCGGCAACGACTTCGACCGCCCCATCCGCGACCGCCTGCCCCCCGGTTTCAACACAGCCATGGGCATCGTCCGGTGGTGGGTCGACCCAGGCCTCGACGGCGACGCCTACGCCGACAGGCCCTACCTCTACGGGCCGGCCCTCAGCTCCTTCAACGCCCTGCACGTCGGCGAGGGCGAGTTCGACCCGGCCAGGGGCGGCATCTGGGTCGAGGAGGGCGGCGACGAGGACGCACGAGCTGAGGTCGGAGCACCCGCCGACCGCAAGGCGCGCATGAAGTGGGCGCTGGGCGAGGCCGCCAAGGAGAGCTGGGTGTGGGAGTACGGGCGGACGTACGCCCTCGACTTCTTCAACCCGTACCTCGACTTTGCCAACCTGGCGCTGCGGCTGCCGGGATTTCACCTGCCCATCATGAAGTATTGGGACGGCCAGGGTTTGCGGTAAGTTATTAACCTCCTTCACCCCGATGACACAACCCTCGTTTGGTTTGGTTTGCGAGCATCCTGCCCTATATTCACCACTTAATTTGTACATTCATCTCCGTGTGCGTGCGTTTTACTCATACAATATTCTTGCGAAAAAGGTCAACGCCAAAGCGCTCACATACCCTCAGATATGTCCTGCGGAACCGGGCGACTGGCGAGGTGTACATGACCGTCTGCTTCACGCTGTACCTCAAGGAGGACGTCAACGAGGATGGGACTCTCAAGGAGGGCGTTGACGGTTCTCAGACGCCGGTTGTCGCAAAGGCTGAGAGCAGTGGAGACGAGGAATTTGACGAGGAGGCCGCGCTGAAGGAGGCGGCAGAGAAGCTAGAGATCAAGGACGAAGCGACCAGAGATAAAGCGCCCAAGACGAGTTCGGACGATCTTGACTAGGCTATTAGATGGGGAGAGGAAGATACAAGTGTGTAAGAGTTTGCGTGTATGATTTAGTTGGTGTCAGAACTGTGGTGTATGAGATTATGACCTACTCATCCAAGAGATAGAGACAGACGGAAAGGATAAATTGTAAGTTACGTGAGGAGATAAAGAGCTGGGCATACCAGCACAAATGCAGAACAGGCACGTCCACGAGTCGATAGAAATACATGCAATGCTGGGTTTAATTTATTTCATTAATTACAACGCCTCACTGCAGGTCATTATTGCCAACCTCTCGTAGAATCACAGGAGACATGCAGGGCCCGTCGAAGTACTCCGAGCGAGAGGTAACCTTCCCGCCTATCGCGCCCTCCTGCATCTCAGCCCAGTGCGTCATGTCCCGCCGACAGATCGAGTCCATCAGGCAGAGCTCGAAGGTCCTGACGGAGGAGAAAATATCTACCGCGTCACCGCCTCCGGGGTCTCTCATGCTCCTGAGCAGGCTCCGCAGGGGAATCAGGTCCTCCAGCTGCCACCAGTCCTCCCCTAAATCATCCTCCTGCTCCGCTACGAAGTTGGGGTCCTGGTCGCAGCGGTCGGTGGACGCGGTGAGTAGTCTCAGGACTTCGAGTTCAGGGCACAGGTGTGCGACGAAGCGCCAGAAGGTTTCCCTGCGCAGGCCGGGGGCGTAGACCGGGGATATCTTCACATCGAGATGGGCGAGATGTGTGAGGAAAGATGGTCGACCTTGCTTTCCAGTCATTGATCGGGGAGGGCAGCGACCACATGAGTTCGGTAGGATGCATGGTTCGGGTCTTGGATCGTTTCTCCCGTTGGAGGTTCTCGCCGTGCGAGGATACACCCACACCTGATCCGTGCTGCTGGCCACAGAGGAGAGACGGTGTTTGTGTTCCAGAGCTCTGCATGAACCCTGCCATCCAAATTGCTCAACCGCATGCAGCCGAACATGATCAACGTGAGGATTAAAGGGGATCAATTCTGTGGCGGGGTTGCCGTACGCTAGGATTGCTTCTTCGCGAGAGGCCCGGCAGAGCTGGAAGTAGGGTATGTCGCGCCAGGTGCGACACTCCCAAAAGACCAAGCTAGGCTTGGAGGCAGCCTGTTCCATCTCGGGCTCTCCCCAGTAGAAGACCCCATCGAGAGTATGTGATTCAGAAGCGGAAATAGCCAGGCGGAAGATCTCAAGCTGGATCTCGGTGGGAAGGTCGGAGAGTCGGAATCTGTGGATGGTGCCCGATTCGCCTGCAGATGGTGATAGTTCGGCGCCGTTTACTGGAGCGACACCACTGCGGGTGGTATCACGATCCCGTAAATAGCGGACAGGAGGCCAAGGCCTGCCGTTCTCGTCTTCCGTCTTGGATTTCACGCAGCCGCTCCGGCAGGCCATGATGCGTTGCCAGTGAAGCGAGATGGTCGGCCATGGGAGCACGCTCCCGGGTAGCAGCTTGCGATTGGCGACGAGCGAGCAGGAGCCGTCTGGGTTGGTGACGCGAATGACCCGTGCTTTTGCCATGGTAGTGGTCTCATTCTATGCATGTTCAATGTTGGAATGTGTCCGGCGGAGGTTGAGGTTGTTGACCTGGAGTGAGTTTACGCTTGGTTCAGGTGCTTCTTGTGCTGGAGCGGGGTTTGGTGAAGGCAAGACCAGCCCAGCACAAGACCAAAGAGCTCTGGGCGGTGTCGCTGTCGGTGAGGCTGTCACACAACCCAATCACCAAAATGCCCTGCTGGCTCAATAAACCTTATTTTGCGATTGTTTGAACTAGGAGCTACCCGTGTTTGAACTTTGTATGTGCCTCGTCTCACCACTGACCGACATCAATCCCATGTGTCGCTGGGCAAACCATCCTTGGCAAACATCGTCAACTCTAGAATCCCTCAAAGACACACCCAACCTAGATATAAAAATTCGTTCAAGGCCCTATAGAAGCACCTACGGCGATTGAAGAGCCACCCCGCTGTATTCTTGGGTACTTTACTCATCCTGTCCAAGTTCCTTCCTGAGATCTCCCACCGCTTGGCTCAGCTCACATAGCTTCTCACGTATCTCTGGCGGCGTTTCTTCTCGGTCGGAAACACTCCCCAAGAGTTCTTCTATAGGATCAACATATACTTTCACCAGTATTCGTAACGTGTCTCTCTCCGCTCGTATCGAGTCTCGTTCTGACAGCAGTTGTTGATTGCTCCGCCGAAGCCTCTCATTATCTACTGTTAAAAAGTCGGGACATGATAGCTGCGTTGTGCTGAAACGAGTTTCCGTCGATGTGGAAGACATGGTGTGAGACGCAGACCCATGGTCGTTATCAGATGGAGGTGGCCCTGTGACGGGTATTGCCCGTGAACTTCCAGTGGAAGAAGATGGTCCTGCTTGGCCGTCTTCCCCAGAAGAGCTGGCTACCGCTGCGATAACCACCGACTGATCTGTCAACGCATCCGTAGGGGCCGCCGAATTCGCTACGTGCTCCCCCCATGAGTTCGACGAAGGAAACATTGCCTCCGCAAGTTCCTCAGGTCCGATGAAACTGCGCCAGCACGTTTGGTAGCGCAAAGAATCGTGCCAACAGAAAAGATGAGGCCTAGCTCACTGGTCAATGGCTGCCCTGGTTTCCGGGTTCTGAGCGACACAAACTTGGCTCTCGAGGCGATTTCTGCCCCGTCTGTTGAATTACGTCCGGTCGGTATGAAACACGAAGGACATCCAATTTGATCCTGCTTATGATATGGGCAGGCATGCGGGATTCGCAAGTCAGAAGGAGGTGAGGTACAGCCACCATTCTCGCGATTTGTAGGATCAAATGCAGGCAGACTATCATAGTGACTGATAGCAGATAACCTCGCTCGCTTTGCAACTTGTGAGATGTTTTCTTGGGGGTGGTTCGCGTGCTGCTGCAGCCGACGTTTCTTCGGGCTCTGCGCCTCGCCAGATACTGAGGTGGGCAAGCCGCCCGAGCTGGCAGAGTGTGGGGAGTTGTCGGCACAGATTACCGCCCCTAGATGTGATTCCTGTAGAGATTTTGTTCGCCTACTTATGGACGAAGCTTGGGTGTAATCATCATCATCCTCAATCGACAATAGCACTTGAGAGGTTTGGGTTCGATTATTCACATCGCTAGGCGATTGATCCGAGGCCACACATGGTTCAGATAAAGAAAGGGAGTAGGAACCTAGAATATCAGATGCGGGAGCCATCATGCGAAAGCTACAGACGAAACTCTTGGGTTGGGTGGCATAGGGAAAACCAGCTTTTGTGAATGAGGCTTTCTCTTGTCAGGTTGAGATGGAGCACAGGTATGCACGCTGGTCTGGATGGGGACGGCAGACAATCCAGGTACTTGATTTGCGCAACGTGAATGTAGGTAATCACAAAATATTGCACTTTCACGTGCGGGGGAATGGGCACAGCCAAGTGGCAGTGATGGTAGGGTGGTATCATGGTGAGCTTTGTTAGTGCAGATATCTCATCGTGATTGGCCAATCCCGGCACATGTCAGTTATCAAATGAAGCATGAAAGGACAAAGTAATCAGCTTAACAATTGGTTAAAAGCCCGTGTAGTAATCCGGGATCCTGGGCTTAGCGGAGAGGCTGTCTCAAGCTGGGATGATTATCGGCATTGGCCTGCTCAGCATACACGACCTAGCCTTCTAATTCAATAATGGGAGGGACAAACCAAGAAACTGGAAAGAAGTACCCAAAGAAGACTGACAATCAGCAGTATTTAGGCCACAAGCTGCTTTGAAACACCATGGACATGCAAAACTTCGGAATAGCTAGAATCCGGAGTATGTTAAGAGAGTGCAGAAGAGCGATGGCGTAGGTTAGTGACCGGTTGAGGGAGTCCAGTCTGGTCCTCAGCGGCTATATATATCCTGGCTGGGAGGTGACACTTTCATTTCATCAAAGTGAGGTGTCTTATAGAGATTGTCGGTGATGAAAGATCCGTTTCTTAGGCTTTCAGCAATCCATTTGACACGAGAACCAATGCTAAGTGCCCTATGACGGAATGCAGGACTCAAAACACATTGCACAAAAGGAACCAGCCCCCTCCAAGCTGGAGCCTGCGCGGCAGTTGATGCGCGGATAGGAGGTGAGTGTCGAACAAACATTGCGGGAGTGTATATGAATAGGTAGGACAAAGGGCAGGTGCTTGGCTGGAGGGGAGGGGCCCTTGCCACAGATGCCGAATGGAAAGAGCCCCTTAGGTCTGGCTTGCCAAGAACGACTTGAGAAGAAAACATACTAAATTCCAGGCTGCCAGAAACTGATGGCGCCAACAAAGAACCAGCTCACGCGAATGAGGGTCGATGGAATGCCCATGCATAAACCCATGTGGAGGCAACATTACCCCTGGGCCAGAAGAAGATCAACGCAAGGTAAGCACCAACGATTTGCAAGCAGTGAAGCTCCGGGTCTCGCCTAAAAACGCGCTTGGAATGCCGACTGGTAGATTGCTGCTGCGTAGCACAAACTCGGTGCTCATGCATGCCTTTTGCGGGATCTGTGTTCGGCCCTTGCCAGTACAATCCGCCTCGGACCTACCTCCTGACACTTGGCAAAGTTGAAGGAAAGGAAATAGTAGCCGCTTGGCATGTTTGCCGGAGTAGTCTTGTTTTCTGGATGAGGCTAATCGACACTTGCTAGCTCAGCTTGGCTGTTGCGAAGGCAAAGACTAGATTTCCTCCAATTTCGAGTCAGGCGGGGTCACTGAGAGATCAAATGGCGCTTCCTTCTCTTCCTCTCTTCAAGTGAAGGACGAGAAATTCCATGCTTCCAAGGTTGTGGAAGAAATATTCCATCTGAGGTTACAATCGATCTTCAGACCTCTCACTCGGGACCGATATCTGCCAGTGACCTCTTCCTCGGCCATCGCGGCCGGTAGCCGAGGAGAACACGGAGCGAATTAGCCCGAGCTACTAGGAGAAAACCCCTCGAAGCCAACAAACAGCGGCCCCAGAAGGATGGTAACGGTGCTTGGTGCTTAATCTTACCGTCACCGGGGATTTCTTGCCGGGCTGAATCTTCCCCACCGTGTAACGACTGCATGGGGTTTGATCACCTCGCAGTAACTTCCGAGCCTTGCATCATATTTGAGAGGCCTGTAATATGTGATAAACGGTCAACGGCATCGGCACGGCTGGGGAGGTATCGCCCTGATTCCGACCCTTCCTTGTCGTGCCGCCTCTATAATAACGCCAAAGCCTGCCAGGAAAGAGTCTCTCCATCAATAACAACTTCTGGATTGTCCTCAACCATATCGTAGGCGCCACCAGACAGTGACAGGGCTGGTATTCCTTCGCTCTAATAATAATGAACAGCCACAACGTCCAGGCTGTCGGTAAATGAGTCGAGTCTTTTGGGCATGCAGAGGAAAGGAGCCTTGTTGGCCGACTGCGGAGGGTTTCCTTAGCCGGCCGCGCAAGGCATGGCCTAGCTGGGGTAAGTCTAGGCATGAGGCAACAGAATATCAATGATCCTTGCTGATCCTCTCCACGGAGCGGTGGGCCTGATCCCCAAGAGGAGGGCCGCGAGCATCCCGTCCTCGACGACGATCATGATCTACCACTGCGGGGAGGTGATTTTCCCAGGATGCAATCTCCCTCTCGGATCATCCTGTCACATTCGAAAGTGGCTTGACCAAGGATAAGGATACTATGCCATAATTGAGCATCTAGAGGTTTTAGATTCCAGAACGTGGCATAACGCGCCAAGTTGTGGGCTAGCAAAAACACGCGGACCATCAACTAACGCTTGATCAGGCCAAGCTTCTTCGCCCCCCTCCGTGATAATTCAGCGAGACCCTCGACAGCCAGGAACCGAAGGACTATCCATTGAGTTTTGAACCCTGGGCCAAGGAAAATCATGACTAAAACCCTGCTCCCAGCTCATCAACCTAGTGCCGATGAGGAATGCAAACTGGCAGCGGCGCCAACCACCACGCACAACACTTGGCCTCTGAGGGCGAGGACGGGGATATCCTTGCCTTAAACCTGAGCCTAAGGGCTCTCTCACCCTCTCAGCCCCTTCCTTGGCCATAATTTGAGTGGTCCCGTGTTGGAGAAAGTCAACATGGCTGCCGCCACGCCGTCTGCCACGAGGAGGCTCTCTTCTTGATGGGATGGAACACACACTAGACTGGGACACTAGCAGTGTTGGCAAAGCCATATATTCAAGGGAATCGTACGAGTTTTCTCGAGGCCCGCGTCCTCAGTACATTCACCGAAACCAATAGTGCGTTTCTGTTCGCTGTGCCGCCGACCGATTGCTACTCGCCCCTCACCCAGATCCCAGGAAGAAGTGTGGAGGCTGATCTACGATTTTACCAGCTATATCCTGGTTGTCGACAGCGGGTACCTGGCATACATCTCCTTGTTCCTTGCATATGTATAGAGGGCGTTAAACCATCACATTCTTTCCTTTTTCTCTTCCGGCTGTTGATGCAAGTACGTTACACTTGCGTCGATATACACCCCCGTCTATTACAACAGCTCCCTAGGCCGGAACTCGCCCAGAATGAGCGACCGCGGAACGCTCATCCCAGAGCACTATGTGCATGTTGTCCCGACGGCAGAAGAGATCGAGCTGTCATGTATAATCTGGGGACTGTCTTTGGGAATCTCTGTGTACGGCGCATTTGCCGCTGGGAAGCAGACCTTCAAAGCATGGAAACGAGCAAAGAAGGTTACTACCTACATGGCGCTCATCTGGTTAGCCTGGATTGCGAGTACGGTCATGGGAATCGTGAGCTGGGCCTTCCTAAAGGGATCTATCAAGCCTGGACTTGAATTTTATCTAACCATCTGTAAGTGATTCTGTGTTAGAGAGCATGGTTGGCGTATGTTACGGCAGCTAACAACAGTCAACTGCTAGTGATATCTTGGTTTTTCCAGATCCATACACTCTTTCAAATCATCGTCAACCGAATCGCCGTTCTCTCTGTCCAATCAAAAACAATCTTCCGTCTCAAGTGGGGGATCTTCTTCCTTACCTGCCTCATTAACATCTCCGTCGCCTGCATCTGGGTGCCGGCCTCGCTGCAAATCAACGAGACCTTCATTGCCGTCAACAACGTCTGGGACCGTCTTGAAAAGGCCATCATTTGCGTGATGGACACGGGTCTGAACCTGTACTTTATTTACCTGGTTCGCTCGCGCCTCATTGCCAATGGTTTGACCAAGTACGATCGTCTCTTCAACTTCAACTTGGCTATGATATTCGTCTCCGTGTCTCTCGATGTAAGAGATCCCGCTACCTATGATATTGACTATTTGCTGAAATCAGCCTTAGATTCTCATTGTTGCGATGATGTCTCTCCCAAACAAGTTTGTGTAAGTTAGCCAACGTCTCCTGCGTACAGTCTACCGACCCTAACTCATCCCTGCTTCCAGGTACCTCCAATTCCATCCCGTTGCATACCTTCTCAAGCTCCAGATCGAGCTTGGAATGGCCGACCTCATCGTCAAGATTGTCAAGGCATCGAACCCTACGAGCCACAGCTCTGGGCCGTACAATCGAGGCACCGAAACCCTCGGCATCAACGCCCAGAGCCACACGGCTGGTAGTAGAGCCGATCCCTGGGGCAAACCTCAGCAACGCACAAGGATCGAGGGCGGCGCTGACGAGGAGGCGATGGAGATGGAGATGTACGGCAAGGGCATCAAGAAGACTGTCGTGACCGAGATTGTGAGCCAAGACGAACGAAGCCTCTCGCGACAGGATGATGCCGCGATCGAGAACGACCGGGCTAGCCACAGCAGCTCGACGAGACAGCTGAAGGATAGCTCGAAGCAGAGCCTCTAATGAAAGAACGGAAGAGATGGGTGAGAGAGAGTGGATGTGGTGCCCTCGATATAATAGATGTACATAACCGCCCTCGAGGGTTAGGGACAAGTCACGCCGGTTAGACATTGTACGTACCTTTTTAATTATATATCTTGCATTATTAATGAATAATTATATACGTGGTATTTGTTTGTTCTGTTCGGATGTAAGGGTGCACCAATACGGGACAAGCCGTATTCCGTGATCAAAGAAGGGCCTCTTTGGCACACCTTTAGTCTTGCCTGGCGAGTGAGACATGGGACAGGCCTCTTTTTTACCTTCTTTTGCTCTAACGCTGCTAGTATGCAACAGAAGATGCCCATGAAAGAGACGGAGGCGCTGTCAGAAAGCTTTTAGTCCGGACCTCTTTGGTTCGCACATTGCCGATTTGAAGATGACCAATTTTGGATAACAGCCGTATTCGCTCACTTGGAGTATGCACTGGCCACATGCTGCACTTTTCCGCGGCATGAATGATCAGTCGAGCCTTGATTTTTCGCTCTACATTAAAGTATCTGGTGGGAAGCCGGTTGGGTGATAGAAAAAAGTTGACACCAGGATGTAAGCAGATCGCTTTGAACGATGACTGACTAGAATAACACAGCAGTATAAACCGGTATTAACTAACAGTATTGATCATATTACCTCTTCAGATTCACTATTAGTCCTCGATAATCTGACAGTACCCGGCGCGGACTTGGAAATAGGAGTATATTGTTTGAGTGTCTCAGAATCAATGTCACCCGCCTGGTGATCACACTCAACGACAAACCCTTTCCCTTCCCGAGTATGATTCACTGCACAACCGCATAATGGCAGTGACGGCAACAATATTCTTGGAAATACTCTGTTATTAGGTCTAGTGCTCTTGTCGGAAGCCCTTGATACTTGCATAATGGAAGCCATCGCATCAAACAGAGCTCCGAGGAGAGCGCAGGTGTTTCACAGCCTCGCATCTTACATCCAGCATACTGTCTGCCCACCTAAGCACCCAGGCACGAAGCACAAAGATCACGAAATATCATCCGCCTCTTTTTCAAGGGAGCGAAATACGTATCTGGGCCTTGACTCTCTTGACATGTAACTGAGAGCATCTCAAGCCTGCCATCGTAAGGCTTATGTCCATTTTCAACCCTTTCTCAAGCAGCGTCGACCCAAGATCCTGAAGATGGACGTCACAGCGACCGTCGAGACTTTCACCAGCGGCTCGCTTACAATCCCACACATGACGATGACCGCCAAGGATATCCCATGCCCAGCGCCGGTTCTGCTGAAGAACTTTGACGATTGTCATATCCCTGGGGGGACGGACCTGTGGGCCAGTGATGGCTTCTACTCTCCCGGACGCTGCTTCTCCGGGTATGCGGGCATGTGTACGCAGACGGCCCCATTGTGGTCGTTGGTAGAGGGCGAGACTGCCGTGCGCTGCATCCCATCGTCAGTAATATCCCCCGCGCTGCCATGATTATGGCATCCGCTACCCCGTCACTTCGATTCATACTGAAATTCTTCCCAGTGGCTACGACTGCAATTCCCCAGGTGCGGATCCAAAGTACGCCATCTCTGAATACGATGATCTTGTCCTGTCCGCGCCCGCGTTTGAGATCCGGTGGAGGAGCGAGGACGTGAAGACTCTGACGGGGTATCAATCCTCAACAACGAAGTCCGGGTCGATCGTGAAGCATGGGCGGCCGACTACATTAACGACAGCTTCGCAGACGAGGACAAGCTTAGCAACTTCCGGGACATCATCTGGCATCGCGACGCCCAATTTCGGGCAGGCCACGTCCGTTTCTTTGTCGGAAACTTCTGTGAAATCGAATTCCACGCAGCCCAATAATTCTCCTTCATTGAGTTCCATCGCAGGAATAGTGGTAGGTGCTCTTCTCGGAATCCTTGGCGTGGCTCTGATTACGGTGTACTTGGTCTTTCGGATCCGAAGGGCTAAGCGGGATGCCCCATCAGAGGACAGCTCGGCGAGCGCAATTCCTCGCGGGTTCCTGGAGTCAACGTCCGAAGCTCTAGGTCTGCGAGGACCAGCAGAGCTGGGTGACGAACCCAAAGAGCTCGCGGCCCATGCATCTCGCAGGCCGTTGGGTGAAGATCCCAGTTTGTCAGGAGGTTCTCACCCCGGGATTGTGTCCTTGAACCAGTTCCCAGCCGAGCTTGAGGGACATGCTGCAGGCGGGGTAAATACGGGAGAGAAGCCGAGACCGTCTTGAGTTCGGAACGTCCTCCTTGATTTGGCTTTTTGTACATTTTTTCATCTCGCTAATGTGCCGTCTTCCACACCGCTCGTATCCGAGGGGTTTATTAATAGCCTTGAGAACAATCGAGAATGTCATTTCCATGAGGTTAGTGGATAGCCATGAGCCCTGGTTGAAAAACCCTCGTCCTAGCTGCAGCGTCATCCCAGTGGATATGCCAGATCTAAGCTTTCACGTCCCATATCCTGATTATTCCCAGATCTTAGCCCCTTTATATGTCACCCAATCTCAAGCGAGATTTGCTGGAGGGGTTGGCATGTGGAGCCAGATGAGATCCCTCCCCGCGAAAAGACCCGGGAAGAGAAAAGTCGTTATTCCCGGTCGACCGGCAAGGATGATGTGTAGCCGTCAGTCGAGTTCTTCGCTGATGGCATGTCATTTTCCCTTCCTTTGATCGTCATCCGGCACAATGTGGTAGCTGGAGCGCACAAAATTTGCCCGCAAGGATAAAATTGAACATAAGAACAGGTGCCGACCCTCTCATGTCGCAGAGCATGCAGCCGATGGTTCTGTTCCTCGATCCAACATACCCACCAAATTCGGCCTCGAGCGATGGAGGCACTTGAGAGCACTCTTGGCCCGACTGCTGAGATCGAGACCTCAATTGATCATGAAAAGGCGGAGAAGCATCACCGACATGGAGAGAAGGGCGAAAATGAATCAACAGGCGCTCATACCCGATATTCGGAAAACGCATTGGAGGCGCAGCCAGATGCAAACACCCCCATCACCTATCTTTACCTTGAATTCGAGACGAGTCTCCCGACACTTCCACACCTAGAGTACGCAGAGAACCTGCCGCCGGTACCTGACCTGAAAAAATTTAGTAATCCGAAAACATGGTCTCCGATGCGAAAGGTGGTACCGCTCATCCTTTCGTGTGTGGCAACCTTCTGCACCGCCTACTCAGCTGGCTCTTACTCTCCCCCGTCACGTCTGATAGCGAGCGATCTAGGAACCAGCCACCTTTCTGTCCTTGTGGGCATTACTACCTTCTGTTTGGGATTCGGCCTCGCCCCAATGGCGCTTGCTCCCATGAGTGAGATCTGGGGCCGTTACGTCGTCTTCGTCGTCGCAGGCATCGTATTTGTCGTATTCGAAGCCGTGTGTGCTCTCGCGCCAAACTTGGCAGGTATGTTGGTTGCGCGGTTTCTGGTCGGTTGTGGTAGCAGTGTGTTCTCCTCTGTTGTGGGTGGTGTGCTGGCGGATGTGTACGACAAGGCCGAGAGGAATACGCCCATGTCGTACTTTAGCTTTGCCGTGATTTCCGGGACGGGGGCAGGACCCTTGGTGACAGCCGGGATTGTGAACTCGATGAGAAGTGGGACACAGGCGTGGAAGTGGTCGTTTTGGCACCAGGCCATCGCTGGCGGTGTGCTCCTCCTTGCCATTATCGTGTTTTTCCACGAGACAAGAGGAAGTGTGCTGTTGTCACGCCAAGCTGCTACTTTGAACAAGTGGTATGAAGCCTTGGAGGAGCGAGGCCATTTTGGAGTTGCTGTAAGAGACTCCCTTTTGGAGGAGATCGCTCACCCTTCAGTCGCATATACCTCATCGTCGAGTGACCCGGAAAGTGATGGTAGCAGCGATGGTTCGACCATCCGACGAGTACGCTGGAAGGTTCAGGCCGACGAGGAGCGAGCGTCACTGGCCACAATAATGTCGACGTCCATTCGGCGACCCTTCTATCTTCTCTTCACGGAGCCCATCGTCTTCGCCTTTTCTCTCTGGGCTGCCTTCGCCTGGGGTGTCCTGTACCTCGCTTTTGCCGTCGTGCCCTATCTGCATGGGAATGACTTTAATGCATCGATGAGGACCTATATTGCGATGATAGGTGGAAGTGCATCGGCTACTGCCGTGAGCATCTGGCAGGAGGAACTCCTGAAGCATCCGAAATGGCGACCGGAAAGCCAGGATACCTCCAGGTTCTGGGCATTCATGAGACGGCGATTTCCCGCTGACTCGCCAGACGCTCGGCTCTACTTTGCCTGTATCACGGCTTCCTTCTTACCTGCTGGTCTGTTCGGCGCTTTTATGGCTCCTAGCACAGGCCAAGACGGCGATAGAGGCACCAACTTGGCGGTTGGGATGGGATTCGCTACTTGGGGTATTTACTCCGTGTACCTTGCGAGCTTCAATTATCTGGCCGACATGTACCAGATATATGCGTCATCGGCCCTTGCGGCGAACAGTTTCTGTCGGAACTTGCTAGGAGGCGGTTTCCCGCTCGCCACGGCTGCTATGTTTAATAGGTTGGGAGTCAAGGGTGCTGGAGGGTTACTCGCCGGTTTGGCGACAGTGTTGACTGTCATTCCTTGGGTGCTTGTGTTCTGGGGTGATCGCATCAGAGCTCGAAGCCATATGGCCCTCGTAAGTTCTTCCCCCCCGTCAACCTCCAACGTCTTTGTTTCTGAAAGAAAGTTGCTAACGATTGGAAAACAGTTGCTACAAAAATAACACGCTAGAGGTATAAAATACCACGGCGTCATGAGTCACGCATTATGATATAGCGACAAGAATTCTGTCTTGCAGTGATCTTTTCAGGTAGCTGCAGTAAAAGTGTCTTTTGAAGTTTGGGAGGAATCAGACCTCTTCACATGCTGTGAGTATTCAGCAGCAGACGATTCGGGTAATATTGGGATAGAGAAGATGCACCTTGTAGAGCAGTTTCAGCAAATAGTTGTCAAATTTGAGAAGGACGACGGCTCAAGCTTGAGCATGTGTCGTGCCAAACTGGATATCTTTGTTTGTAAAAGTGGTGGATTGGCCGGGAGAGGCCATCTGAGAGAAAACAGACCCAGGGTATTGCCTGGTAACAAAAGAATTTGCCCTCCATAATCGAACGCTCTTCGCATCGCACAAATCGCGACCAGCGCTTTCACATGTATCCAAACAGACTTTTCAAACCGCCCATCATGAATAGTTTTAATGTATGTCCTTGCTTTCTTTTCATTGACCTTATTTCTTCTCGGCGTGGGCCTGCTCGTAAATCCAGTCGTTCAGCCCGTGCTTGTTCCTGGCGATTTCAATCGCGTAAAACTGCATCCTAGGGACTATTATTTGCGAGTTAGCCTGAATTCCCTTCGATGCTTGAAAGAGTCTCAACTTGAAAACCTACCGAAAATCGTGCTCTTCTCTCCGTACTCCTCCTTTGCGTTGTTTCGTACCATGGTGCCAAAGTTGTAGTCATCAATCTTCTTTTCGTAGGACATCATGAAAGGCCTCCACTTCTCCTTCCCAGCCTTGCTCTTCATCTCGTCCTCGTCGACTGTGGCAGCGGGATCGAAGTCGGGGAAGGTCTGCATAAGGTGTTCGTAGATCTCATCGTCCATTTTGGTCAACCGCAGGCTCGAGCCCTTGACCTTCTCGAGGATGGACCAGTAGGTGGACATGTGTTGGACGACTACAAAGAAAGCGTTAGCATGGGATGGCCATGGCTTTGCCAGAGGGCGCGGGATCGGATGAAGACCAACCCTTGACGGCAAATTGCTTCTCCATCTGTCGTAGTTTAACTGTAATTAGCTGCTTGCTCACAAGTTGCGACCCGGGACAAGACAAAGGCACCCACATCCTCATTGTTCTCGGCATTCTCAGCGTCGAAGTTCTTGGGGAGAGGCCCCGAGGCCCCGGACATAGCTTCCATAGGATCCATCTTGGCAGTTGCTTTCTGGTGTTCGGTTTGGTATGCGCGTGGGTAGAGACAGTTGTAGGTCTGGTTTGTTGGGTGCTTGGTGAATTTGTCGCGCGACGGAACAAATCTTTTGTAGGAACGTGGGGCAATGCTGGAGGCGATGGAGGGGCAGCAGCGACCGGAATGAGGTCAGCGGGGCACCTTCCTGCTCTGTGATACTGTGCCAAATAATCACGTACTGTACGTTCTGACACTGTATTTCCGCTGTTGTCGAAGGCCCTCCATTTCCCCAGTGTCTTCCCGAAGCTTCCCCAAGGTGAGGATATCATCAAGCCCACAGTGTGCGATAGCAGGTGACCTTTTGAAGACCTGTCGGATTTCTCAATTATCCTTACGAGCATATTGAGGATCTTGCCCCAGTCTCTACGCATCCTGAGCCCGCTAGAACCCTCGTTGCATTGAAGGGCTACCTCAATGAGTCACTGGCCGTTGATGACCTCCCGCCTGAGGCTCATCTCACCCACATCACATGCTAGCCAGCAGAAGAAGAAAAGATGGAGAGCGAAAAAACCACAATACAAACTACCCGGCGCTACTGGTCTATAATTGAATAGGAATAAATCGGCTCGTTTTCTGGAAGCGCTATGGTAGAACGTGGCTGGCTGATGTGTTTCCAATTGTGGAGGGCTAAATCCAAGAACAATACTAAGACTCGACATGACAATGGACGTCTCAAGTCAGTCTAGATTCCCTTGCTGGCCACCATTCACAAAGGCGCCATGTGGTATAGAATAGCGTTAAGACATGTTTGCCATGTCTTCTCCCTTCGGTCCTGCTCGACAAAAGGCAATGGATTGTGCTTTCAACTCTTCCATCTCCCTTAGAAAAGCCTACAAACAGCGCGACATCGCCGTCAAATAACAACATGGAGCAAAACCGACAAGAAACCGCTCCTAAATGTGATCGTGCACCTTACTTGGAGGACAGTCCGCTGGCGGACAGTCTTCATTTTCAGAGAGAAACCAAACCTTCGTGGAGGATGCTGTTCGAATTTACACGATGGTCTCATGCGGCGCCCCTCGCCACTGCACTCGTTGCTTCGGCTGCCGTAGCCGGTTTCAAAGCCTCTCTTTCGGTTATCCTCGGTCAAATATTCGAGATCATTGCGGAATTCGGAGCGGGAAGTCGCAGTAGTGAAAGCAGCATGGCTGGCATATCTCGATGGGCGCTCATTCTAGTTGGACTAGGAGTCGGCAACTCAATAGCCCACGCGGTTTTCCTCACCTTCTGGATCATTTTCGGGGAACTTCAGGCTCATAGTGCGCGCCGTCGCATGTTCAATTGTTTGGTCAGCAAAGAAATGGAATGGTTTGATGTCCAGGAAGAGGGCATCTCCAGCCTTCTTATTCGAATGCAGACGTAAGTGACCAGCTGTCCTACGCATAAAGCAGATTTTCTAAACTGATTACAGGCAAACTCGCGAGCTTCAACTAGCGACCTCTCAAATCCTCGGGTTTCTCGTGAGCGAAGGCATGACTGCCGTCGCTTCACTCTGTGTTGCCTTCTACTTTTCTTGGAAGCTCACTCTCGTCATTCTTACAACCATTCCAGTCTCTATCGTTATTTTGTCCCTCGCTACTCGAAAAATAGAGCCTGCCATCCAAATGCAGAAGAAATATCTCGCTACGGCCTCGAAACACGCCACAGCATCCCTCATGGCCATTGATCTTGTCAAAGTCTTTGGCGGCTACGACCAAGAGCTCAAACGCTACCTCCACTTTGCCAACCTCGCATCAAACCATTACCTAGTGCAGGCACTCTGTAATTCGATGCAACTGGGATATGTCTCATTCTGGCTTATTCTAACATTTGTGGTTGGCTTCTGGTATGGGGCTGCGTTGATCGATGCCGGCCTGTCCCCAGGCAGCGTCATGAGCACATTCTATGCAGTTCTAACCGCGTTTCAAGGAGCCGAAGCGCTCATCCCCCACTGGTTGGTGTTTTCAAAAGGAATGTCGGGTGGCAAATTTCTTTCATCTGTGATACCAAGTGGTAGAGCAAAAGGCCTACCTCGAAAAATGGGCGGTATGCTACGACCGCAAATCTGCGCTGGCAACATCGAGCTGCGAGATGTAAGTAACTGCTGTTATAAAGCGATATGTCTACTTCTGCTGACTCACCATACTAGGTATCATTCTCCTATCCGTCTAATCCAAATCGCATCGCCCTCAATCAGTGCTCTTTCTCTTTCCCAGCAGGTGAGGTAACCTTCATTGTTGGGAAAAGCGGCTCTGGGAAAAGCACCGTCGGTAGTCTCATCTCCAACTTTTACCAACCCTCGACGGGCGACATTCTGATAGATGGAAGGTCCATGCGCATCATCCAAGAAGATTGGCTGCGAGAAAATATTACGCTTCTTCAGCAGTCCAGCGTCTTGTTCAACGAGAGCTTCAAAACCAATGTCGCTTTTGGCCATTGCTCACCCGATTCTGTATCTAGCCAGGATGTTATCTCCGTTTGCAATGACGTACTTCTTCAGTCTACCGTTGCTGGGCTTCCTCAGGGCCTGGATACCAATGTTGGTCCTGAGGGCCACAACTTGAGCGGAGGCCAGAAGCAGAGACTCGCGCTGGCTCGAGCCCGACTCCGAAATCCTCCTGTGTTGGTCTTGGATGAAGTCACAAGCGGACTTGACCAGGTAAATCGAGTCTTGGTCATGGAAAATCTTCGCTGTTGGAGACGTAATAAGACCACTATCATAATCACTCACGATATCTCCCAAATTCTCCCAGATGACTTCGTCTACGTCATGGACAACGCAGGCATTGTTGAAGAGGGCTTCAAGCGTGATCTCAATCAAAGGCCCGAAGGCTTTTTCGCATCGTTTGACTCTCTCGGGCCTCAGGAAGGGCTCAAGCTCGAAATCAACGTGCTCTCCCCTACACCACTAGATGCTTCGCCGATCACTCCTATCATACCCTCGTCCTCAGGTCTCATGGCCGATCTTCTCCTACGGGGGCTGGAAAATCATTCATCTCGATACAGTTATGGCGGTGGTTCTCGTAGGACATCATTCGGAGCCGCAGCTAGCTATGCGGCTCAAATGAAAGCAGAACGTTCATGGGCTTCACCAGCTAATGTCCCGGTGCGCTCGTCGGCAGTTCACGGAGACTTAGAGCTGGAAGATCTAAGCGACGAGCGCAAAAGATTCTCGCGATTTGTGACCGAGAGATTTGTCCTCGACAAGGAAATGGGGAGAAATGATCTGAGATTCCCCTTTTCCCGATCCTCGCAGGCGGGTGCGTACCTCCGGTTAGAGGACCAGCCGAGGAGGCACTCAATCGTTCCTGGTCCGCTGTCCGCGAAGAGGCCTTCATACAATGTAGCAAGTGGCCTTTCGCCTTTTCACGACAAAGAATTCGTGATACAAGAAGAGAGTCTCTCAGTGCGGAGCTCGGCCAACGCCGAAAACTCCTCCTGGTCATCTGGTAACCACCACCATGATGAGGAAGATGCTTTACCTGATTCCGCGCCAACTCAGCAGCCGGATGTGTATATCAACGAAAAGGAACCGAAGACCAAGGACTCAATTTTCACCACGCTCAAAACTGTTTGGCCGATCCTGGGCATTAAAGACAGGATCACTCTAGTTTGTGGCATTTTAGCCACAGTCATTGGTGCCGCTGCCACCCCCGCCTTCGCCTATTGCTTCGCCCAACTTCTTGGTGTAATGACAACCCCTGGGAACAAGTCACAGCGAGGAATGAAATGGGCAATCTCGATGCTTGCCATTGCGATTGTTAATGGCATCGGAATCGGCGGCGGTCGCTACCTAGTCGAGAAGGCAGCCCAGGCTTGGGTGAGCAACATTCGAAAGGAGGCCTTGCGACGAATTCTTCTTCAACCCAGGTCATGGTTCAACAAATCGAAGAATTCTCCTAGTCGTATCAATGAGTGCCTTGACAGGAATGCAGAAGAGATGCGAAACATTGTGGGAAGGTTTGTGCCAATCATGACTGGGGTGTTAACCATGATCAGCATCTCCCTTCTCTGGGCGTTTGTCGTATCATGGAAGCTGACACTGGTGGCATTGGCACCCGTACCGCTAGTTTTTGCAACAATCCAAGGCTTTGGTTTGATCACTGGAAAGTGGGAGGGTCGATGCAACGAAGCTGCAGAGGAAGCAAGTGCCTCACTCACCGAGGTATTGCTTAATATCCGCGTGGTCAGGGCGTTGGCGTTGGAGAGATACTTCAGGACCAAATACGAGTCACTCGTGAACGTTGCTCTTAATACGGGGCTTAAACGATCTGCCTTCTCAAGCCCTCTATTCGGCATCTATCAATCAGCCGGATATTTCCTTACCGCGCTGGTGTTTTACTACGCCACCACGATGTTAGTAGATGATCAAGGGTTAGGCGTCGCGGAAATCATGCAAGTGGTCAACTTGCTGATCTTTGGTATCGGCATGGCGACCTCCATGCTAAGCAGCCTTCCACAGCTCGTCATGGCCCAGGCGACAGCTTCACAAATGCTCGGATTTTCAAGCCTGCCGACACAACCGCCTGAAGGTCATCAGGGAAGAAAGATACTGGAGAGTCCTCTTCCAATTAAATTCGACAATCTTCGATTTTCTTACTCCCCTCGAGGCGGCGAGCAAGTGTTGAGGGGTGTCTCGTTCGAAATACAGCCAGGAAAATGCACCGCTATAGTTGGTCATTCGGGATGCGGGAAGTCCACGATTATCTCTCTCATTCTTGCTCTTTATCCTCCCACAAATACGGGATTGAATCTGCGTTCATCTTCAACTCTTACCTTCGCTGGCTTTCCTTTCTCCGAAGTCGACATCGACCGACTTCGTTCGACAATGGCCTACGTTGCTCAATTCCCGTTTCTTTTCCCCGGCACAATTAGCGAGAATATCGTCTATGGTCTCCCGATAGACTCTCCCTATCGTCATATGCGCGATATACAACATGCGGCTCAAGCAGCCGGCGTTGATGAGTGGATTGATTCGCTCCCCCAAGGGTATCACACTCGTGTAGGCGACGGCGGCCAAGCTTTATCAGGTGGGCAAGCACAAAGAGTTGGCATCGCCCGGGCACTTGTGCGTCGGCCACGTCTTCTCGTGCTGGATGAACCAACAAGTGCTCTCGACGCGGAAAGTGCAGCCACGATTCGCGAGACCATCCAAGAGCTCACAGGCAACCGAGATATGGGGATTGTCGTGGTGACCCATTGTAGTGAGTTGATGAGCGTGGCCGATCGGGTCATCATGCTTGGCCAGGGGGGTGTTGTTCTCCAAGAAGGAGGGTTCTCGGAACTATTGACTGAAGGCGGCCCATTTTTGAGACTGGTTAAAGGCATCGGCAGTTGTGAGGGCGAAGCATCTGATGAAGATTCTTCTCCACGACCTCTGCAAATGGAACATTGGTGACACTCGAGTTAAAAACCTAAGTCCAGCTTAATTGATATTTTATAAAAGTCTAGAAAAATACTACATGCGTTTATTATATTGTTCGTTATCTGCAGAACAACCAGAATATTCAATTCTACTCGAGTTCCCTCCATCAACACCCGAGTGCCTGGGGAATATCCCCAAGCCACCATCCAGGCGCGGGATCTCCCAGACACAAAACTCGTCTTGGCGACCGGATCTTGTATTGCGTGTCACAATGGCCAGCTTGCCCGCCGAGAGCGCCAGCGAAGACTCAATTCGGCCGCAAGCAAACCGAGACAGGTAAGCGGACCAGAGACTACCGAGGCCAACAAGCGAGTCGTGTCACGCAATGCATCAGCTAGCACGGTTTTACCACAAGATGATCCAGTTGCTCACATGACTTCTGTCTCAATCCCTTCATATACAAGGTAAGCACCTTCGGAGACGGATTGATCGGCTAGCGACTCGGCCAAGACAGCTTATGCCAATATATGTGGCCTCCAAGCTATCTGCAATGCTCAGTCTCAACTCTCCCGACACAGCCTGTTATTCTGCTTATGTTCTTGGCGAGTATCCAAAACGCCTCTTATGACAGTTGGTGTGTATCTACTGAAGCCGCGCATTGGAGGCGGCGCCAGTTGAATTCCTCGTCCAGGTTCTTCAATCAGCCTCGATGTTGCGGAATTCGCCCATCTGTATCCCCTGTGGAAGCCTATCTCCAAGTCATATTTCCAACAGGTCTCATGGGTATGTGAATAGCGTTCTCCCGGGAATACAGGTGTCGCCGTCAGGCAAGGCTTATATTGACAAACATGCCTCTTCCAGAATCCATCCTCGCACCTCCAGTCTACCGAATCATGTCCACTCGCTTCTCGATCACTCCCGTTGGCTCTTATTCGCTGATAGTAGTCGAAGTATTTATACAGGCTCTGTCCCGATCCGCTTGACACCTTTCACGCATGTTTGAAACCTGTGGGATTTTCAGACTGGCGTGAACGGCCACTCCCTTCCATGATGGATCAAACGCTTCTAGCAATCTTCTGCGCGTGGGTCATGGCTTTGCATGCCATGGCAGCTTGCCCAAGTCAGCGGACTGCGTTGTTGACACCCTCAGCGGCAAGCAGCTCGGACGAGACGCTTGCTCCTCCCTTCACGCCTAAGGTCTTTATCATCTCGATGGTATGGCCCTTGACCCGGGAACATTGGCATCTGTCCCCGAACTCGAATGCTCCCCACTGACTTCCCCAACTCGAGAGCAGTTCAAGCCAGAGGCAGACGTCTGGTACAGAAACCTCCCAGACTCGGGCCTGGGCAACCTCACAGCCCGCTCCCTCTTCGTCGCCGGCCTCTCCATGAAATACCCCCTCGTCCACTGCACCTCGGCCGGCGACATCTGCCAGGCCACCCTCGGCGAGGGCGAGATCAACGCCGCGGCGTCCATGTCCGCCCTCCTCCTCTCCCCGCAGTTCGCCCTCTCCACCACCTACTTCCTCCTCGCGGGCATCGCGGGCGTCAACCCTTACCACTCCACCCTCGGCGGCGTCGCCCTCGCCCGCTTCGCCGTCCAGGCCGCCCTCCAGTACGAGATCGACGCCCGCTCCGTGCCCCCCGGCTGGGCGACGGGCTACTTCGCCCTGGGGACCAGCAAGCCCTTCGACTACCCCGAAATCGCCTACGGCACCGAGGTCTTCGAGCTCAACGCCGACCTGCGCGACGTCGCCTACGCGCTCGCCAGCGTCGCCAACCTCACCGACGCGAGGGGGCCACGCGAGTACGGCGGGCGGTACAATGTGACGAGCGAGGGGAAGGTAGGCGCCACGGCCGCCATGGGGACGCCGACCGTCGTGCGCTGTGATTCCACCACTAGTGACGTGTATTTCTCTGGCAAGGTGCTGGCGGAGGCGTTTGAGCGGACCACGTCGGTGTGGACGAATGGGACTGGCGTGTACTGCATGACAGCGCAGGAGGACAATGCGTGCTTGGAGGCTATGGTGCGCGCGGCGATTGAGAAGCGGGTGGACTTTTCCCGCGTCATTCTCATGCGGACTGGTGAGTTTTGCCATGAATCGAGGTACTTAAACAGATTTACCACTAACTCTAATATTGTATCAGGATCGAACTTTGACCGTCCGCCGCCTGGTGTCACCGACTGGGAGCATCTAGCCGTCTTGGATCAAAACGGGTTCGACATCGCCATCGAGAACATATACAGGGCGGGGATGCTCATCGTCCACGGTATCATCGTTGGTTGGGATGAAACATTCGACAAGGGGATACCAGCCAAGAACTACATAGGAGACATCTTGGGCAGTCTAGGCGGGCAGCCAGACTTTGGGCTGGGCAGTATCACGGGAGGACGGGGGGTCTCTCTCGGCGGTGTGGATGGGAACACTGGGCAGGGAGGCTATGAGAGCCATGTAGAGCGAAGGGGCAGATCCCGTAGCAGGCGCTCGAGACACGGCGGTAAAATCATGAGATAGCTCGGTTAAAGACTGTTAGATTATCAATGTGCCCGAAGAAGCGACTAGATCACTTCCTCCGCAAGCGAGCCACTCATACCGATGTTATTTCTCCGTCTCAATCTGAGTCCAACTAATATGCGCGTCCTAAACGCCAAAGATAATGCATAAAATGTCAAAGCAATACCAACGTTTTGCGGACTACCTCTGCTACGTGATGCAGGCACTTGTATTATCAAACCACCATAGCCGTTTCATCCCTCATATGATGGTCATGCTCCCGGTTAGTGGATATGCCGAAAATCAATCATCGATTGTCATTGTATTCATGTGAAATGCTTCGTTGTGAGTAAAAAATACGCGTCATTAATGTATGTGTAATGAATTAACCCAGCACTCAATTGCTGGTATGAAGTTGCGGAAATCATTCGATATCGGCTGCTGTCGAAGAGAAGGTTGAGGGAATAGTCTACCTCATGTACCAATCGCCCCATTCCTGGTTTGGGGGTACAGTGCATAAAGCATCCCATTTGGAAGTGGTTGCCAATACTGCCAAATGGAGTAGCAGGAAAATCACGCTGGTTCCGATGCCACGAAATGGAGGAGGAGGGGGTGCTCCAAATTCGATCTCATCACCAGCGTTTCGCCTGGCCAGAGCATCATCTTCGGATGCTCGTGGAACACGGAGATCCAGAACAGCGATCATGACTAGCGGTAGAGCAATTTGCCAATTGGCCATGTAGGGATAGCAGGGGCGGAACAGTGAGACTATTTTCACGAAGAAGAAACTGAGGCGAAAGAGGTGGTTTGGCAGGTCACGGTCCACTCCCATCAACTCAGCGGTCTGTTGAGCCATGATAGACACGCGGTGCCGTAAGGCTGCCGCTCTTGTAGTAGGAGGGGCCATGAGAAGCGGTCGAGAAGGTCGTCTACCGTCTGTTTCAAAGTTGAGATGGGAAGATTGGTCGTCATTCTCCTCATCAGTCATTTCAGTAATGGTCATTGCCGGCGGGTGTTCGGGGGTTTGTATTGGACTGTAATAGCGTTGATCTGAACCGTCGTCTAAAGCCAGCGATGGTTGGTCAAATTTAGAAGGCGAGGGGACGATCTGAGAGTTGTTCAAAGGTGAGGGCCGGGGACGGCTAAGTGGCTTCTGCGGATCTACAATACTTGTTGTAAGCAATCATCTAGCACATTGGATGCATCGGCTTGATAGGTAGAGGACATACCGTTGACTGGAGTGCTGGGCGTCGCAGGCGAGTCAAGATTTTGGACCCGGTTTACTCGGAGACTCATGTTTGACCTCTGATCGCGGTCAGTTTTGTTGATGTTTTCAAAATGAATTTCCCCTCTCATAGCACTCAGCACTTCACTCGCGCTTGGTCTCTCGGCGGGTTTGAGGGACAGCAGCTTCTTCAGCAGAATGTACAGATGTGAAGGGAGGTCTGGGCGCTCTCTCCTCTCCTCATGGAAACCCTGCCATCCTGTGATCTCATCTCGAAGCTCGTCAATATCTTCCAGCTCTTCTTGAATAGCATTGGAGCTGCGGTACGGCAACTTTCCAAAGCACATGAAATACAAGATCATGCCCAAAGAGAAGATATCTGACTTGGTAGTGAAATTCCCGTAATGGCCACTAGCGTTCATCTTGAGAACCTCTGGGGCGCAATAGGAGATTGTCCCAGTCGAGCCAGACGATTTGCGAACCACATGCTCGGGCTGCACCTCGCCAAAGTCGCTGATTAAACATCTCAGCCTCCCACCCTCACGATGCAATAGACAGTTGTTTGGTTTTAAATCGCGGTGGATGTATTCATTTGAGTGCAGATATGCAACGCCAGATGTGATGTCTTTAAAGAGAGAGAAGATCTCGTCAAATGACAATTGGCGAGTGGTGAAGGACGACTGCGGCGTTTCCATGTGTCCCTTAGATCTCCGGCGAGCCCTAGCCTTCAGCTCCTCCTTGGTCACCTCTCTTGGTCCACTTCCGACGATGTACTGGTGCAAATCTCCACCGTTGCAGTATTGTTGCAGGATAAAAGCGCAGGCGACGCTGGGGCCGAAGGTATTAGGCTGGTAAGTCTCGAGCCAGACATGACGGTAGGACACAAGGTTGGGGTGTGAGAGCTTGTTGAGCAGACCAACTTCAACGAGAACTTTTTCCAGCCAGTCATGGTCGTCGCCAACAGGTACACGTTTGCAAGCGAAGTAGCCAAGATCGCAGCCATCGATTTCGTGTCGGACAAGCAGAACAACACCTTTGCCGCCCTTGCCCAAGACCCTCTCCTCCTTGAAGAAGGTTCTGAAGTACCCCGGGCTAAAGGCCTGTTTCCGTATTCTATGACCCTCGGGTTGAGAGACACCGGGCGTGCTCGAGATGAACTCGGCCTCGCTACTTGCGTCTTCGTGTCGAACCCTAGGGCTCTCGGTCTCGGGGGTAGAAGAGCGGCCTCGGCCAGTCCCTCCACTCGTCAGCGCAGGGTTGAACAGCCTTCGTACTGGGCTCGGAGGGAGATCTTCGCTCGATATGGCACCTCGCGTGCCAGCCTGAAGCATGCGAAAGTAGTCCGGGTTGACGTAAGAGTCGTGGTTGTTCTCGTACGGTCGCTCGTATGTGCGCTCGGAAGGTCCCAGAGGACGGCGACAGGTCGGACATTCTGTCAAACCACGGATCTCGAGCCTATGGGAGGTCGAGTCTCTTACAACGATGGCATTTCGATGGCGACTGTGCGGTTGGGGGTAATTGGTTAGCATGAGTGTCCGGACGCATTGATGACGGGCAACCTACAGCACAATCTCGCGACCCTCCTGGTGGTTGTATGGCATTAGCGACATGATCAAAGAACAGTAATGGCGGCTATGAGGTCTATTGACGACGATTCAATGGCCGTCATGATGCGCTCAAAGCCAGGCAGCCGGCATGGAGAGGGGACCAGCTGCGAGCAAATGCGATCTAGTCGGGTTATGTTTGTTGGTGGGATGATGACGGAGGCGATCGATCATCAAACAAACCGCTACTGTAGGTACCTGGACCCAGCGTCCAAGTGGGGGCTGCGCTAACAGGGAGGCCTACCTAAAGAAGCTCATGCATGGGGTAATCAAAAATGCATGGTATAGGGTATTCTCATTTCGCTCAGGGCAGCTAACCTATACCTGCTTGTGTGCAACTCTGCCATCTTCCTGTCATCGGTCTCTTGCAATTTCGACAAGAAAACCTAGCGAGAAGTCGCTTGGGGTGGTATTGAATCAACTTGTTTTTTTTTCATCGTTACCATGGTATGATGATGAACCTGTTCTTGAGGCAGGACGATATGTGAACATTCGTAGCCACCACGAGCATCAACATGCGCAACCTTGACAAATTCTTAAACCTGGGTACTACACTTAGATCAAATGGTAGAAAGAAGAAATTCAAGGCTTTGAGCCTTGTTAAATGCTATTGCTAATCGCGGTGACACGAGAAATGAAACAAGAGTCTATCTCAACGGAGAACAACCATCACCTTTGTGTATTTCTCCTTAGTGCTCAGCGTGCAGGCACTCTTTGCGGCTGCATCCGCACGAGTGTTCCATGCACGTGGTATCGCCCAAAGCGAGATCTCGCAGCCACCTTCGGCATATCGTCCCATGAGCTTAGAAAGCTCCTCCCAGAGATCGCGATTCGCAACAGGCTTACCCGCGGCCGTCTTCCAATCATTGCAGGCCCATTTCCGTATCCAGACAGTTGCTCCATTGGCCACATACTCGGAGTCAGTCATTACCACGATGCGTGTCCAGCCTTCCCCCCACCATGAACGGCACTCGAGGAAGCCGATGACGGCGCGGAGCTCAGCTCTGTTGTTTGTATGGGTGTAAGCCATGCCGGTGGGGCCTGCATCCTCAAGCCGCTGGGAGTACAGCCCGTCTCCGTCGTTGACTGCGAAGGCGCAGCCACCCTTGGGCGTGGCGCCGCCATTTGAAGCGCAAGCGCCGTCCGTATATACGGCCATGGTCTTCAGGCCTGCTAGCCCCGGGGTATACCTACGCCGGATCATGTAGCGCTCGTAATTGATGTGGTCGTTGATTGTGTCGATGTGGCGGGATGCGAATATCGATTGAGGGGAGATGGTCGCTGGTGCGTTGAAAACGGTTCCTGTCCAAACGCCAGCTCTGGCTAAGGTAAGCGCCTGAATATGTATTATCAATTCCTTTGGGAATTCCTCACTCTCCATTACCCATTGCATCTTTGGCATGGGCGACAGATTGTGGACTTGGTATGGGTCGAACGCCCAAAATAGCCCCAGGGAGTTGGGCTTGAAGTTCAGCGAGCTGGTCCATCCTGATCCTCAATTGCGGCTGACTGTCGACGAGTGTGAGGTCCCCAAGACGGTCACAAATCTTTCGTGGTTGATCGTCTTCCTCTGAATCATATTGGGCCATTTTGAATGTCAATTCTGTTGAAGAAACGAAGAGTTGTAGTGGTGAGAAGAGACACCTAAGCTCTACAGCAATTGCGATTTTGCAGAAACAGGGTCCTGTTTGAGGGAAGAAAGGAAAAGAGAAAAGTTGAGTTAAATCAAACAGCTAGAAGGAAGTCTTTAGGGTCTACATGCCCTGGCAGTCGTACAATAAAAGGGAAGGGCCGTCCCGGTCTTCATAGAGCGTTCCTGCCCCAACCATCATGTCACACCTGCGGTCACGAAATTTATCTCGCAAATTGGACCAATGACCTGGAGGGTGAAGCGCTTGTTGCAGCACAGGAACTCTTGGGAAACAGTTGAAAAGAATTGAAATAGCTTCTCCTTCAAGCAATGCAGTGACCTACGGATCCTCGAAGGGTAGCAATTCGAGGAGACAAGTGGCATCAGCAACAAATCAGCTATTCTTCTTAGGTACTTTCTAGTGCCAAGTGCTTTGCCCAATCCCAAAGGTTGAATCCAAACTGGTAGCCCAGACTAAATGTAATAAGAAAGAATAATGATCATCTATTTGTGTATGAACGATCTGATACTTCCTTTAGTGCGCTCACATAGGCGGCATCTCGACTACAATCTCTTCTTTTCGGCCGTCAGAGCAGAAGAAACTTCATTGGCACCTCTTTCATAGAGCGAGTAGAACATGAAATACAGCCCTTCCACTCATAGATTGTCGCTCGCTGTACTATCAAAGCAATATCCTTGACCGGAGCTCGTGGCGTATGGTCGAACTTTTCAGAAGGTCCGGGCCTATCACTGGGCTTGGGCATCCTTGGTCTCATTGCTCAAGAGCCTATATGCGGTTAATTGTGCTAATATGTCTTGATGAAGCGCTGGGATTGGCAAAACCGCTGCCGATATGTGAAATCACTTTGTTGCGACGTTCCTGGATGGAGAGTTTACCCCACGCTCGCCACCCCGGGTATAGTTGCACCAGTAAGGCTCGTTCGTCATGAAAATCCATCCTCTTCGCCTCACATACAAGGCTTTTGCCGGAAAGAAGTTTTGATTGTCGTCAGGAAGACCGGGAGGGAGCGTTAATTTAACTTATAGAGCGTTGTGAGAACCGAAAGACCCCTTTGCATCTACTGATCGGCCCCCTCTGTGGTTACTTTGGTCAGCAATACTGCACTTTGCTCAATTCTCTCAACGGGGAAGAATTATGCCTTCCCTGAACCAATGAAAGTTGAGGGGTAATCTCCCGTTCCCTTATAGGATTTTATATTCATGCGATAAGCTGGTTAAATATGAGGGGAGGTAGCTATTGGTAGCTAAGGTGGTAAACAATCCCGCCTTGCCCTTCTTGGCCTTATTCCCTTGGGAGTGGGTTTAATATATGAGATCTATACAACGATGACAGTCTTGTCGGGAATATGTATATTCCTTTTCCTACTGAAATGTGCTGTAATGAGGGAACTCGAGTGGCTTATCAGCACTAACTGCCAGCCTACCCAAGTTGCTCTTATATACGGTAATAAACAATCAGAGACCAAGCTAAAATCCCACTGTTGCCTGCATAAGACAAGGTTGATGGTTTTACGAGACGATAGTTAGTAGATATACCTAAAGTTCGTGTTTTCCCGATCAGTCAAATCATCAAAGGCATTGGCAAAACTCTGATCCTGCTCGCCACGTTCATCTTTGATGCCATTCTGTCTCTTCAGGTGCCAGCGCAAGAAAGCAATAACACAGACCAAGAGCGTATAGCAACCCATATGTGTCGAGAAAGCAATGAAGTATCGTGGTGCGTCCCAGGACAGAAATACTTGAGGACCTACGCAGAAAGATTAGCTTAGGCCCACGCACGGATAGACAAGAAGAGAGTGAAGAGCTCACCAATGGCAGCAGCTGTGGCCCAAGATATAAAGTTCATTGCCACGACTGTGGCCTTTTTGGTTTGGCCGGCGATGTTGCGGCTGATCATAGAAAGAGACAGAGTTTGTGCAGACCAGAACGAAAGGGTGATGTAGTAGCTGATCAGGAGGCCGATACGACTTGCTTCGCTCTTGTTCTCCACAGTCATGAGGACGATCGTTCCGGCGAAGGATCTATAGAGGGTGAATAGGAGGAAAATGAGAAGAGTTCGAACGTCCAACTCACGGGATAACGAAAGCTCCCATGACTAGCAAATTCTGGCCAGTCTTTTTCACCAGCCAAACGGTTGAGAACAGGACAATGATGATGTAGAAACCCAGCACCATAGCTAAAAGCTGTGTTTGTAACACTGTGAACTTGAATCCCGAGATGATGATGGACTTGAACGCGCCAAGACCACTTGTTGGTAGTGTCGTGCAGACCGAGATCAGGCAATAACACCAGGCTTGCGGGTCAGTCAGGGCTTCAATGAATTGTTCCCGCTTCCACTTCTTGTTTTGCAAACTAGTCTGATTCTCACGAACCCGTTCCACCATTAATCTCTTGTCTCCCTCTGTAAAGCATTTGGCTCGCATGGGAGAGTCGGGCAGCCAGTACGCGACGAAAATGCCCCAGAGCACCGTCACACCACCATAGGCGATGAAGAGAGCCTGCCATGATCTGAGGGGGCCGCTGCTGATCAACGCGAAGCAGTAAGCGAGTAACCCACCCACGATTTGTTGGCCACCATTCATCATGTACCTAGATCCATCATGTCAAATCAAGGCTCTGGAAATATATCGCGGGGAAGGTTGGGGGTCAAGGTAAAGGCACCTACCAGTAAGTGACAGCGGCCGCCTGCTCTGAGCGTTTGTACCACATAGCACTGAGAGAAGCTTTAGTGAATGCAAGAACCTTGACTGGAGCAACTATCCTACCTTAGCACAATGAAAATTGGCTGACAGCACGTCTCGAACGCGCCAAGTAAAGTGCGGACAACGACCAAGCTGGGAAAGTTACGACAAGCAGCGTGGCATCCAAGGACGATTCCCCAGCAAATAATATTAAACGAGAGGTATTTCGCAATTGGGACGCGTTGAATAATCATGTTGGTGGGAAACTCGGCAATGAGGACGGCAATGTAGGTACAAGTTGTGAGCCACGAGAACTAGTCAGACTCGCATGTTAGCACTTCCGAGGTCACTCATGGAAAAGTTGGCCTGGCTAGAACGTCTATCTTACCTGCTGCCCAACGAGATGGGTGTCCTTGTTGAAGTCCATGATTGATACAAAGGAGATGGTTCCTTTGTCAAGTGCCTGCATAAAGTATGTAACAATCATGACAACCAAGACTCGCCTGTCTATCATGGTCTTCAAGCGTTTATCCGTATCCGGGTCAATCTCCACGCGTGTGGCTCCCGCATATTGAGCAACTTCATTATCGACCTTGTCATTTGGAGCTTTGAGATTGTCATCGATGTCAAATAACTCTGGCCTCTCGGCAGCATTGGTGACCTTGGGAGAATCCATTTTGATGATACAAGTGGCTCATAAAAACTATCTGTACGATAGCTCGATGATTCCACAGGAGGTTAAGCCCACCTCCAGTTTTTATTACTCGCAACACCGCGAGAAGCTGCACCGAAGCCGAGCCTAGATTGGCATCAGCTCTCCAAGAACCTGGGGTTTGGGGAAACTATGACTAACAACTAGCAAATCGGTTCTCGGCCCTTGGCAACAATTCATCAAACTGACCTATATTAAAAGGCGGATAGGTGGGTATGTGGAGATGTTACGCGGGGACCCCACGCCAGAAGTAGAGACCATTCGTGAAAACCTGCCTGATCAGCGTACTAGGATGAAGCTAGCCACGTATTGTTCCTCCGAGACTGAGGAATACACTCCTTGCAACGGACAGAGGCTCGTGGTCTCGGTATACTAAACCCCGATTCCTCGCCCTATATTGTCAGTATTCTGCGAAGGTGGCGTCGTTTCTCCACCCCAGGGAACACTATAACTCCTCCCTCCTTTACCGCGGTAAGAGTGAGATACCCAGGTCAGAACAGCCACTCTGATTAGCAAGTCTGGCATTGATCATTTATATTCTTCACGAATCTTTTGACCACCGCAATGGCCAATGTCATTGATGGAGTTGAGGGACCACGAGTTCATCAATCTATTCGGTTGTTGATTGACAAACTAGTCGGTCTTTCAGATGAGAGCAAGGAGTTTCTTTACCACTTACCGGATGGACGTATCCTAGATACGAAAAGCTGGGATGGCTGGGATTGGACTCATGGCGTGGGCTTATACGGCATTTGGAAGTATTACGAACTTACTGGGGACCCTAGACACCTCGGTCTCATCGAGGCATGGTTCGCGTCTCATTTCGACAAGGTTCTACCGAGAAGAACATCAACACCATGTCCGTTTTCCTTACGCTTGCATATGTCTACGAGAAGACTGGCAATCAAACATATCTGCCGTGGCTAGAGGCCTGGGCCGAGTGGGCTTTTCATGATCTTCCACGTACAGAGTACGGCGGAATGCAGCACATCACATATGTTAAGGAGAATGCCCAACAGCTCTGGGATGACACCTTGATGATGACAGCTTTGCCCCTTGCAAAGATTGGCAAGCTCCTCAACCGACCTCAATATGTGGAGGAGGCGCTACGGCAGATGTTGATATTGATCCAGTATCTCTTTGACAATCAGACGGGCCTCTTTTTCCATGGATGGAAGTTCGAGCCGACGGCTGAAGGCAAGACTGGCCACCACTTTGCAGAGGCTCGATGGGCTAGAGGAAACAGCTGGCTGACCATTGTCATTCCCGAGATGCTGGAGCTGATCGAGAACGACAGCAGCAGCCCCGCACTCGGGGCATTACGCTCACATCTAATCAACACACTTACGGCCCAGTGCAGAGCACTTGCCCAGCTTCAAGAGCCGGATTCAGGACTATGGAGGACGTTGCTAGACGTCCCGAGCTCCGAAGGGTCGTATCCAGAGGCTTCCGCTACAGCTGGGTTTGCCTATGGGATCCTCAAGGCCCGTCGCAAGCATCTCTTACCAAACGAGACAGGACTGGCTCACCTCTCACGAACATATGATGAAATTGCGTTGTTGGCAATTAAGGGTATATTGGCTAACATTTCTCCGGATGGCGAGTTGCTACAGACTAGTTTTGGGACTGGGATGGGCGATACGTTGCAGTTCTACAAGGATATACCTCTCACCAGCATGCCCTACGGTCAGGCAATGGCTATTATCGCTTTAGTAGAGTTTTCACGCAAGTTTTACTAATATGCAGAAAGCAATTCTTGGCTGGTTTGCCAACTGCAGGTTCTCCATAGCCTTCTGTAACAAAGAATAAATTGAACGAACGCAATCCTTCTGCGTAATTGTTATAACGCCCTCCCATCCGCTTGTGAGTTAGTGTCAGTCTATATAGTATTCGTAGTAATTTAGCTAATTACAAGCAGTAACCTAAAACTACTAGAAGTACCTAGGATTAGACCAGAACTGTTAAGAGTAGGTAGCCGAGATTAGTGGAGAATTATAGTCATACTTCTCTAGGCCTTCCGGAGGGCATTACAATATAATATAGGCTATTTATCTTAGACTAGAAGAGTTATTTAACTCTTTTGATCTAGAAAAGAGGATATATTTGAGTAAATAGCTCTTTTTAGATCTCTTAATTACTCTCCTTTACACTGATTCCCCTTGGAACAGGGATCAATACATGAAATCTATACAATGATGATCGTCTTATCAGCAGTATCTATACTCTATAATTGAAATACGCTGTGATGAGAGAACCTGAGCTGGCTCATCAGCATGCACTAACGTGAGACCTGGCTCTCCAAATCTCCTCGGCTTCCACTGCAGCGTCATCCTCGTTAGTAGAAACGTGTTGTGCACGAATCTTTTCAAGAACTCTCGCGGCTTCGGATGCATATTCGCACTTCATCCTAATCCTGTCACCGTATTTGTAGAACAAGAAAGGACATGGGACGCAAGCGAGAGCTAGGAAAGCTGGAATTGAACTGGCCCATTGGTTGCCGAGCTTGTCGTACATTTGCCGAGTGAACAATGGGAAAGCAGCACCAAATAACGACCGCAAGACTGAATTAGCGGCAAGCACCGAAGCGGCGAAAACGACATCTAATGAGGATGAACATCAGCATCCATCTCCTTACGTGCAGATTGTATGAACTTACAAGAGTCAATCAAGTAGTTTGTGAGGGACAGGAAAACCGACATGAGGCCAAAAGAGAAGAAGCTCGTTCCGATGATTGGGACAACCCAATGGACGGTTGGAAATGTCGTCCAAGCGAACCAAAAGAGGCCTACGGGAATGAAGATGGACCCAAGCAACCCCGTCGGAAGTCGAGCTTCAGGAGCTATTAAGCCTTTCTGGGAAGCTAGAAGACGGGAATATCGGTTGTTCTCAAATATCGACATCAGTGTAGCAAACAAAATGCCAACCGCAGATCCAATGAATGCCAGACCCCCAATGCCAGGACTCCATCCTCGCCCTATCTGGAAGACAATTGGGAAAGCTGCAAAGCACATGTAGAGTGTACCGTATATGATAGAATGATAGAGCGAGACCAGGAAGACGATGGGTTCCTTGAATAGCAGGATCCATGGACGTGTTAGGGCTGTCTTGAGTTGGTGTAGAATCGATTTCGGGGGCTGACCAGCATCCAGTGTCGAAATGTATGCTTTTCCCGTGATCTTGGATAACATGGCGGCGCGGCGGCGAAGAGTAAAAGGCGCGTATGTCTCGGGGAATAGAAAGAAGCCCAAAATCCATAGAACTCCCGTGAAGATTGCGAATAGGCCATGGAGCCATCGCCAGCCTTCCGCTTGCCCAAGGAAACCACCTACAATAGGTCCTGAAAGAAGTCAGCTGCATGCAACAGTGAACTAGAAAATTCTGTCCTCACCCATAGCCGGGCCCATGAATCCAGTCATGGCATAGATGCTTGTCGCAAGCCCGCGCTCAGACTGATCAAACATATCAGCGATCACGCCACCAGCATTCGCGAAGATGGCAGACCCAAAAGCGCTGGCGAAGAACCGAAGGGTGAGCAAGGTCTGAATATTCGTTGCGCAAGTCGCACCAACGTTGAACACTGTCAAACCCATGAAAGTGACGATGAAGATGTTCCTCCTCCCATACAACTCCGACAGAGGAGCCCAAATAAGCGGCCCAATAGCGAACCCAAGGACATACATTGATATGCCAAGGGTAGCGACCTCTTGCGAGACATGAAAACTACTTATGATTTCCCTAATCCCACCAGAATATGCTGAGCTTGCGAAGGTGAGCGCCAAAGTTGCTGTTGCCTGAAGAAGACTGATCATCCATTTCTTGCCTCTGGGCAAAGTCGTGGCGTCCTGCGGATCTTCGGGCATAAATCTCACAATGAATGGTGCTTCTTCTGTACCGTTTCCTTCATAGCTATGGTTGATGGTTTTCGTTGGATCAACACTCCCGAATAGCTTGGCCTCGATCCATTCGGATAGATGGAATCTTGCTGCCTCGACATCCGAGCCGGCAATCGTTGAAGACGAGGAGGAAACGGGATGATTAATGGACATGGTGTCTGAAGGGAGTTCGTTGACAATCAAAAAAGGATGTATAACTGAAAACCATATTAATACGTGAAGTTGAAGGGGACCGATGTCGATTGCTTGCAGAAGGATAAACAAATTGGATTGGTAATATTCCGTATGATTATTTCTCCCTGCTCACCCTAATCATACAGAACATTACCAATCCAAGTTGTTTATCCTTCCGCCATCGGGGTTTATCTGAGCAAAATATACCTAGGTATGTTGTAGTAAGTTGCGAAGATAAATCCGCGGACTTTTCCTCGGCATTATCTTCGGCCGCGTGGAGCCGCTCGATCACGTCAGTGCCGTTTGTTATAGCATCAATACTCTCGGTAACATTTAATTTGAGAGGCTAAAAGGATTACTGACTTGCGAAATTATTTTCGTCATTTTTGAAATAGATCTGCTCGTAACCAGTCAGAAATGTTAGCTCCCGTCTCTTCTGTCGTTCAGTTGGCTTTACAGAGCCTCATTACGTACCTTAGTCAGGGATATATTATATTTTAATGACCACCGAGATATTACGATAAGAATATTCAAGGAAAGGATAATCAAGGTTTCTTGCAAGCGTAAAAGTATCTTGTTGGCCTTAAATCCAGATATCAGGGTTTGGCCAGAGTGAAGCGTTCAAATATCTTTCATGTCTTGAATTTCATCGTTAACTCCTAAACAAGTGTGATAGTTGAACCTTGACCGGACCAGCTAGAAATGTAATTGCCAATCCCTCCTACTCGAAAGAGGCCTATACGTTTGTATACATTCTTTGCTTGAGGTTCCAAAACTAGGAATTTATTATGCCCTCCGCCATAACCCTCATAAACGCCAAACAACGGGAAGCACACACCCTCGATCTTGTCTGCTTCGTCAAACTTTCTGACGAGGTCTGATGTATCCAGTTTGAAATCGCCAGATGCATGACTTATCTCAGCATATTGGTGCGTCATTTCGTTGTCCGAATAGACTACGACCGTCTTTGAGTCCCCTACCCATCGGTAATGATATATCATGCACTCAATATCAAGCTCTGCCGATTGAAGTAAACCAAGGGGGTCACCATTGGGAGGATCTGGCACGATACGTTCGCCAATAAGCCTGATGAGAGCCACTGGGAGATTCGCGAATTTACCCCGGGGAATAGCGAGTTGCACATGGTCTCCCACAATGGATACCCAACTCCACGATGGGGCGTAGGCTTTATTACGCCGAGTTCGGTTCCCTTGGCTTGCACTTGTCTCCCACGAGAGATCTGCATGCAGGGTTCTCTTCCACAACCCTGCGAGATATGTGTCACCTTTCACCTCGCGAAAGGCCTTGGCAATACCAGACATGGCGATGAATCTGTCGGACTCCTCCGTAAGGTGGCAAGCAATGTAAATTGAGACCATGGTGCCCCAATGCCTATGGTGTATGTACTCTGGACGCTCGCCGGGCTGTGCTGGGGTCGGAGTACTCTGGGCTAGATCCAATCTCGAAGATTTGTAATCCGTGGTTTCGAGATATGCGCGCTCCTTTGTTCCAAGACTCAACAGTGTTCCGTCAGGGTCACTTGAGCAATGGATACTCTGCAGACATTCCCAGTACATTTGGTTTGGAGAAAAGTGAAGAATGCGGGGGCTCAGGAACCGCTCTTGAACGACCCAGCCGCGCGAGCTCAAAGGCGAGTTCTCAATATCGCTTTCCCAGATCGAATCATTCCAAATTAGCCAAGGCCCATCAACCATCCCCTTATTTCGATCCTTCAATGGCACATTGACTGTACAAGGCTGAAGAAGTCTTGGGTTCAGCTTTGGCGGACCAAACAAACCAATGGCGGAGGGTTTATGCGACGCCCCAACGGCAGATATGTTGCAATAGGAATGACTGTAAATGTCCGCCATTGAATTGGCTTCTTTCTGCCAGTCGGCCCGTGAGTCTTGGATTATACACAAGGAGTCTATCCAGATATACCGATGCCCTAAACGACGAACGAGAAGAATTGCATCGCGGAAAGTTGGCGATAAGCTATGGAGAGGGATTCCTTGGCGGAATTGATGCTCCGTTTCTATGCACAGCTTCAACATATTTTGGTTTCCCCAGCGGTGCGATAGGGTCAAGTATGGTGGAAATCGTGATGAATGCCCCATTGAGTTTTTAGTGGAATTTTCCCTTTCGATGTCATCCCTATGCCGTAGGAAAATGTCACCAGACTTTAAATCCGTGGGTTTGACGTCAAGGATCCTAGTTGGGAAGAAACTTCCTCCAGCTGGTTGACAGTGTTGGTGATTTGCTCCGCATAAGGATGTCCATTGCTCGATGAGTTGTAGGTCTTGGTCCGAGCCAAGCCTCCCGTGAATCTTTAGCCACGGGCGAGTTTCGAGATGGCGCCAAACTTCGGGATACTGGTCCTTCTGGGCTATTGAGACTAGTAGAGGAGTGTAAGCTGACGACGCACATTGAATTATCAGGGAACACTTTACTATGGAACTCTGAAGGAGTAGCCCAAGGACACTTCACATGGAAGTAAGCATCTCGCACGTCCCACATTCGGCAGTAAGTGTGAAAATCTTCCGTTGAGCGTGATGCTGGGGCATTATCATTGTGTAGTACTGATGACTCCAGATGTTCCCACAACCAAGTGCATATAAAGCACCCAATATGAAGGCTTTTTTGGAAGTCTTGAAATGTAGTGTGATGGGAAATGTTGAATCCAATACCAGGACGGCCTGGGAGATAATGCCACTGGTCGCGGTTCTCGATATCATTCCCCCCCTGAAAGCTCTTCCTGCAAGTGTCACATAGTACACCCTCGATACCTTCCATGGTTGTGTGTGTGGCAATAGTTGCGTCAATATGGGTAAATTGTCATACACGTAGAGTGAACTGATCGTGTGAAACGATGGCAGTGAGATCAATGAATGATCAACATTGCCTCTATGCTTGCTGCCCAATCTCTAGGTCAGGTCGCAATGAGCGTGAGCTTAGAGCCAATATATCCTCCACTGTGCATAAACTAACACATGACCGCCCCCTTCATTACTGACTAAGTTTTTAGATGGCACATTAGGAAGCTCATGTCCTACGTATATTTCCATATGTTTCGAGTTTGCTTTGCTATCACTTTAAGAGTAAGCCACGCCCTGCCAGTGGCGCCGGGAAGGTGAAAGCCAAGTTCTATGCCAAGTCGATCTTACTACAGGGAACCATCAGTAGCATGGCACCAAATGACGAATCAATCAGCTAGCGCACGAGGCTTGATCTCTTTCTTTGGTCGATGATCGTGCTGCCATTCGCCGGCAAAATCAGCTGGTGGGACCTCGATGAAATTACGGGCTCCGCCTAATTCATCGTTTCTCTGGGAAAGCAGCATATTGACGGATGGGCATTCAGCTCTCCATAGGTACGCTTCGCGTTGAGTGAAGTATTCGCTGTAGAGGCGCCAATTCAACCACTCGAAGTTTTTCAAAAACCTCATACTGAAAACTCGAGAGGATCGAGAGGCAAACGGCCGGTCCGTCAAGATCTCTCATGACTCTCGGCCTGCAACTAGCGCTGAGCCATTGCAATCTAGTGGCTGTCCATAGTCTCAATATGTTCTAGCCCCAGGGGATATTGGCAACTGGTGTGTTTCTGCACGCGAGAACTGACGCTAGCCTTTAGGCTGATGGATATCTGCAGCTCATAGCCGATCAGGTCTCGAACGGGACTTTGAGTCGTGTGAGAAAAACAGACTGGATGTTTTGTTTTTCTTCTTCTTCACCTCTTCACTCGTTAATAATCTTCTTCCTCATTGCGCTGTAATTGTTGCTGAGCAAGATGAGGCTGTCACTCGTTTCTCTTGCCGTGTTCGCGGCTCCATCCCTCGTTCACGGACGCAGACACAGATGCTCCCGGTCCACGCCTCTTTCATCAGCTGCTGCCGCCACGCCGGACACCAGCAGCGGATGGACTTCCACTCCTTCAGCCAGCGTCTCCCCTTCGTCTGTCATTATCGCCTCCTCGTCGACCCCGATCTTAAGTGATAGTTCTGCAGTCAGCCCATCAGCCTCAACGCCTACACCCGGTAGCGATGTGCCTACTACTTTCAGTATTGGAACAACTCCCGCTGGAACGCCATCATCAAGTGATGTTTCCGTTACACCATCCTCAACTGATATCTCCGCTACGCCATCCTCAACTGATATCTCCACTACACCATCGTCGAGCTTGTCCTCTACTTCCCTAGAAGTAAGCAGCAGCGCTTCGGAAACCCCCATTGCTTCTACAACACCCGCGGAATCGACCACTCTCATCACGCAAACGACACCCAGCGCTTCAACAGTGTCCAGCGTGTCTATGACGCTTGCCTCATCCACGGTTATAAGCTCCTCTTCCTCCAGCTCCGCACCAGCTGCCACACCAACCGGTTGGCAGTTACAGTCAAGTGGTGCAAACAGCGCTTACGCGGGCAGCTTCATGCTTGGTTACACGCAATACAAAGATGGACCCCATCTTCTCGACCCCAGCACGACCACGCCCGACGTCTACTCAAAGATGGAGCTCTACATTGAACCCGGGACGGGCTACCTCTTCTGGATCATCGATGGCGTTAACAACCGATATCAATTCTATACCACTTACGACGAGTTCAACGAGAATGGGGAATATTATTACAATGTTAACCCGGGTCTCATCGCTGTTTATGACAGGACAGACCTTAGCGGCAGACACGTGCAGCCCCTCGTGTGCTCTCGGACTGCTGCTTCATTCAGCTGCTCCGCCAATACGCCCGCTGGCGTGTTCAGCCACTTCATGGTCAACCCTGCATCGAACTATTATGACAGCTCAATTGCCTTTGGGAGTTCCGTTCCTTCACCTTACCAGGAGGTTACGTTTGCAGCCGTTGATGTCTATTAGATCATTTGGATGAGGAATTATATTTGAATTTTATACAGAATGCTTCTTCCTCGGGATAGGCATAGAAAGAACCGTGGTTGAAAATACCAGCATACTCATACTATATTATTTAATTCAATGCTGATTCATGAGCTAATTAGACTAACTTAGAACTACTGTTCACAAACGAATACCATATCGCTTCTGCTAAACTCACGCTCCAGCGATTTCAAGCTGTTTGCTCATGGGGAAACAAGGCTCTTTCCGTACCTGACCAGGTCATGTTAATCTAGATTCCTCAACAGCTATATTTTCTTTTTCCTTGCACAAGACCGGTATGTCGCTTTGAAATACTCGGGATGGATACTGGGATATGGATTTGTCAAACTAAAGACGCGATCCCTGAACCTTAGGACCTCGGGGTTAAAATAATTACCGAGTTCATATAATGCCGAAATGCCGACGGGCTAAGAAAACCAGTACTGTCGGCCCTCCCACAAGCTTCATGAATATCCGATCGATTTTACCCCCGCGGGATCCTAACGACTCAATCAAATGGATCGTTCCGACGCCCAGAATCGGTCATCCCAAAGGAATGGGTCAGTTGAATCCAGCCCATTGGCCAAGCGCAGCAAGGCATGCGTATCTTGCCGAGCACGCAAGGTCAAATGTGATGCGGATGTGGTCGGCCTGCCGTGTAGTAGCTGCACAAGCAGGCAATGTCCCGAGAGTTGTGTCTTGTCCCTGCGCAAGCCACGCAGGAGGTATATCAAATCCCGAACTGCAGTCTAGATATCTTGCTCTCCCACTTACTACATGCGTTTCAGGAAATTGGATATAAATACAGCTAGAGAAAAGTCTGGAAGAACAAGTATTAGTTTAACAGTAAGTAAAGCCGAGCTATCACTGGTACGCCGTGATATGATCTATCTAGATGCAATCCTGTTTCTATGATCCCGAGATTACGAACTTCGTGTGAACTGACGGGTCCCCTTGAAAAGCCACCAGCAACCCGATTACAACAGGTGTCAGAATGTGAACCAGTTCCTCAATCTCGCGCAATCGAATCAACATCTGCTACCAGTGTTGTCAGTTCCTATCAGAGTCTCAACGACTCAAGAGACTCTCGTCCTCGGCGTACACGGCGATCGCGGTCCGATCTACCGTATCTCAATATGATACAAGACGCCGTAAATAGCGCTACATCTGGGGAAGAAGTCGGCATAAATCGAAGAAGCCCCTCCATTTCAAGAGAAGAAGAGCACAACAATCTTGACACTTGGTTTGGTAATAAGCCCCCGGGGCTCGATGATAATGACTATGACTATCTTGTTAAGAAAGGAGTATTCGAGTTACCTGCTCAACCTCACCTGTGAGAATGAAACCTCGCCGGATTTTGTAGGCCTTTTGTGTTGACTCTTCTACTTAGAGATGCGCTTATTCGGGCTTACTTCGAGTATCTTTGGCCATTTTCGCCCATCATTTGCAGAACTGATTTCATTCAACGCTATAGAGCAGGTAACTGTTCTTTGTTTTTACTCTACGCTATTTTAGCAACCACAGTGCCATTCGCGCCTGAAGATGCCATATCTGGGTTAGGCTTCCAGGATCGATCGGCTGCCCAAACAAGTTTCTTCTCAAAATCGAAGCTGCTTTATGACTTTCATTGCGAGAGGGATCTCCTCGCCATGTTTCAAGGCTCAATCGTTCTAAGCATCATCATTCTGGACTACCCAACAGACAAGGATTTTCAGCACTGGTTCTACAACTCCATCCGTCTCCTCGTCAAACTTGATGTACCTGAAATGTTTGTTATTCTCCAATATTTTGCTGATAGAGAGTCATGACTGAGATCGAGATATAGTTGCGCTAGACAAGAAGATTCTTGCAAGGTACAAAAACTGTATAGGAGGATTTGGTGGGTTCTTTATGTACGTACATCCTGCTCTTTCTACTCATCTTCTGCCCATTAATCATCAGTCAGAACCGAGATGTCTTTAATTCCTTTGTGAATACACGAAACCTGCGACTACTCGAAGTTTTACCGTATATTAAGCCAATCGAACAAGGCGATTGGGACGAGGAGGACACGTTGGAGGGGCATGAGTTATTAGAGCCGATATCAGAAAGACAGAAGACTTCACTGGTTGCCCATTGCGAACTGGCTCAAATTTGTTAGTATCCCGCAATTTTTATGATCCATCAGGTATGCCGAGCTGACGAGACAAGTTTCGGCACATCCGCTGAACACCACCAGCGACATAGGACAAGATCCCCTCACATTTATGCTCCCGGTCGAGGAATGGCGAATGTCTCTCGGCGAAAGAATGGGCATCCGAAACCAGTCGTACGACGGAGAGGCATATTATCCCGAAATAATGGCAAGGAGTTATCTATACGAGTGTATCTTGTGTCGGCACCTTCGAAAACGCCAGGAGGTCAAGTGGGGTGGTTGGGCAAAGCAGAGGCTTCGGTCCGCCATTTACGAGCTCGATGCCATTGTTGGCAGAGTCTTGGCAAGTGGAACGATTAAGAAATTTCCAATGGGGTTGTAAGCGAGCCAAATTGTTCCAAATCAACATGCCTTGCCCAGGGTGCTAATCTTCAGTAGTGTCGCAACTGTACCGGCGCTGCTCGCTTTGCACATCGAAATGGCGTTGGACCTCTCAGAAACCGAACTTACACGATCTATGGCCCGAGTGTCTATTAACCAAACTATGCTCGCTCTGGGACAGATGCAGCACGTCCCAGCGATAAAGCGAGGCTTGCCCGCCTTCGAGTCAGTTCTTGCCAAGAAAGATCTGTATCATGTGACAGGCCACAGCAATGCCGAAAAGGCTTCCCCGAGGATACCTGCATCAAGGCATGCTCCAGATGACAGCGCCTATCCACCGTCTGTGCCGCAGCCTGGTGTCTCTTCGGCTGACTCTGGCTTGGTGGACTACCCTAGCTTCCCCGAGGATTTTCTTGGGTACGATTTCTTGGATAGATGGCAGCTGGAGCAATGGGAGTTTGTACATCTTTAACGAGCCTTTCTCCCTTAAGAACCGAAAAGCTGATGGTTTCTTCGGCAAGTGCTTACCAGCATGCCTCGTTCATGAATAGTCGTTCATAAATAGTATTATTTAAGTTGGGATTATGGATAAGAATAGAAAGTATTTCAATTATCGGGGGGTGCTATCATAATCTACTCAGCTCAAGCACTGATTGATTACGTATCTCATTTGCTGGTTTAGACTTGGCTTGATCAGCGTACACCCACGCCACACATTAATTCACAAAATAGCAGCAAGAGATAATTTTCGTCAGAACATAAAGATCATGTGACTTCAACTTAGAATTTCCATCTTAAAGGCTTAACAGTTGCCACTGAGCCGGCCACCTCTTACATGACGATGCAGACAGGTGTGTAGGGTAGGCATTGCCAAAGTGATGGCAGGGGTATTAAGAGAAATTAGAGGCCGCAAAGGTGTTTCTATTTATAGGCTTTACTTTCTAAGTGGGCAATCATTATTATTTCAAGATGTTTATTCTATTTATGCCACTGGCATTATTCATTATCTGGGCTTTTGTGATCCCTGCTTTATTGACAGGGCTATCCGGATCAATAACTGGGCTCAGGGGTGAATATGGAGCCTTGCGCGCGGCAGTTCCTCAGTTCGGCTCAGGGATATCTGCCGAGCCAGTCTACCGACCCGCGCGGGAGCCATCCACACGCGCGGTTGCGCTGCAGGACCACCCTCGATTGCTTGGAGGATGCTCTGCGTGGGCGGCAGGAGCCAGATAGAGTGTCTGTCCAAGCAGAGGCAGCGATCAGCCCTAGACAGCCGGACTGCCCGTCTGATGCCGTCAAAGGTTCCCCTCTGGCTAGAAGCATACCTGATTTGTGCTCTTAATAGTAAATGGTCGAGAATTGGAGCTGTTCAATTTAGGTGCGGAGATATTGCCTAATACGTGGTCTGGTTTTCAGTACCTTGCGTGTATCGTACAGCAGTCTACCTGGTTCCTACTCCCTGCCATACGATCACCTTATGGCTACATACTGAGCGGAGATTACAGAGCCATGTATAGCAATGGATAGCTCGGCATGAAAGGGCCTAGAGATTAGTCAATCGATTGGCACTGAGTGGACCTACTTGGTTAAACCAGAGTACCTGTATCTGTGCGCTCCCTGATCCAAGTGTCCGAGAATGAAGGAAGAATTATATCGGCAGTTCGTGTGTCTCCAACATGGATACCCCTTGCTCGAGGAGCTTCCGACCCTGAATGAAGTAGGCTGCCAGGTTGATGACAGCGGCCAACTTGATTGCGCAACTACCAACATGAGTTGGCCGATATGTGCAGGATTAGCAGTGTAGTATCACCTATTTTTAACTCCTAACATTTTCAATGTAATGGACGGCTGGATCTCATGAGAATCCGTCGGTTTTAGCAGCTCCCAACTTGCCCAAAATGGAAGTAAATATCGCTGAGAGGAGATATTTAAACCTGACGTGTTCGCCGTCATCTAGCTGCTCTCTCTCTCCCAACATCAAAACACAAACAAGCATATTTTTACTTTTCCTTTATTTCCCTTGACTCCCATTTTACTTGATTTTTTCTTGTCTGAACTCTGCGTTGCTGGTCAAGCCTACTTTCTCCTTCATTCTTTCAAGATGCCTTCTCTGAAGCAGCTCTTCGTTCTTGCGGCCCCTTTCATGGGCCTCATTCAACAGGCCGCGGCCAATCCTGACATTGATGAGAGCAGCGACCTTATTGCTCGGGACGATTTTGAAAGCGACCTATATGCCCGAGGCGCAGGGGGCGGTGTCATTAAGCGTCCTGGTCCTGGTCCTAGACCTCCAACAATCGTCGTCACTCCTCCCCAGAGACGACCACGATCCCTGAACCGCCGAGGTGCTGGAAACGGTGCCATTAAGCGTCCTGGTCCTGGTCCTAGGCCTCCAACAATCGTTGTTACTCCTCCCCAGAGGAAACCCCGATCACTCAACCGCCGAGGTGCTGGAAACGGTGTTATTAAGCGTCCTGGTCCTGGTCCTAGGCCTCCAACAATCGTTGTCACTCCTCCCCAGAGGAAACCCCGATCACTCAACCGCCGAGGTGCTGGAAACGGTGTTATTAAGCGACCTGGTCCTGGTCCTAGACCTCCAACAATCGTTGTCACTCCTCCCCAGAGGAAACCTGGGCGTCACTGAGGTGTTCGAAATAGGCAGCCACGAGTCTTGGGATTCGTCCCCCTCGGTTAGCTATCCACCTGCTCGCACCACTACCGATTCTAGCCAATGGCCGAGATACCGTTATCATCAGCTCTACCAAACTTCAATTCAGGTTTTATACATAACATGAAATTGAGTGATTGGGTCGACGTCATTAAAGCCTTACTGGCTACTATTGAGTGGGGATGCGGGTGTCAATCTGAACTTCTGCCAATTGGGCTGTTCAAGGATACCTAACGTGTGATAGTCTTGTACCATAGTTTACTTTTTTTTAGATATTAAATTCTAGCATGAAATGTGTTTGATATTGTTATAGTCCCGTTGAGACGTGGACAGCTCAGTCTCGATGTAAGCATGCTACTACCTAGACATGCCTATGACCGAATTCTCAATTTCGATCCAGCTTAGCATCATCTAACACGCCAGCTCTAGTAGCCTCGGTGAGAATCAAATGCTCATAATCGTCGCTGCGAATTGTGGCCTTCACAGGAAATGGTTCATCGATGGATTCTAAATTGAGAATCTTGGGGTTGTAGGGACCATCCTACACGTTTGAATTAACAACACACCTCAGTAGCCGTTTTAGAAAGAGCCGGGATAACTCACTGCTTTGAAGTCAACACACTGTATAAGCCTCGCAATATTGATGAAGAGACTTCTCTGAGCCAGGCGATAGCCAACACAGATGCGCCTACCGCCGCCAAACTGCCAAAGTCCATGGCTAATATCTGTCTCAAGGCCATTCATCCATCGATCTGGGTCAAATGCAGTGGGGTTCTCACACTCACTACCGACTGCCACTTCGTTGATCACAAAACCGGTGCCCACCGGAAATTTATAGCCTTCAAAATCAATATCTTGGGAGGCAACATGGTCAGGTGTGACGACAAAGATCGGCCGCCAGCGCAACACTTCCTTTGCAATGGCGCAGATAAAGCGCAGATTTTCCATGTCTGCAAGCACCGGAAGACGAGCATCCTTTCCATAGCCGCATACGTGATCAATCTCGGCTCTGGCCTTGAGGAAAGGCTCCGGGTACTCAAGCATCGCCATTACCATGATGTTCAGCGCTTCTCGTGTCGTGTCACTTCCAGCCTCTATCAGCTGCATGGCGAGATACATACAGTCTTGATCATCTCCCTTGTATCTCGTGTCTTCGTTAAGCAGAACATCTCGCACAAAGGATGGTGGAGCGGTTCCCTCGTCGACTTGTTTCTTGACTGGAGCCCACCATGAGTTATACACTCCATAGTTCCAGTCGCCCAGGGATTGCCAATGGGCACGCCAAAACTGGAGGACTTTAGGCAACCGGGCCAGCTCAGGAAACCAGTCGATGATGCTGGAGCCAATACTCCCGACGAAAAATGTGACACAGTTCTGTAGATCTGCTAGTTCCTGAGTTGACTTGGCAAGCCGCTCTCCCAGCACAATGCGATGGACAACAGAATTCGCATACCGATAGTGGTGCTTATACCACTTCTCCGGGTGAAAGAGGTATTCAGCCATCATCTGCGTACTCTCTAGCTCTTGCCATTCTCCGTACTGCTTCAGCGCACTGCCACTTAGGAGACTATGCATTACGCGCCGGCGCTCCGACCAGGTTTCTTGCGGGAGAATCAACGACCGCCCATCGCGGCTGACGAGACCGCTGGCAATTGGCATGGGTGAGCGGGTGTTTGTCACACTGCCGCGCTTGGCGATGATCTCAGAGACAACCCGGTGGGAGTTGAGGAAGATCCATGTTTTGGCACCGAGATGAACCGTTGTCATCTCTCCATACTTGGCGATCTCCCAAAGCTTGCAACGGCACTTAGTGGGGGTCCAATAACCATCTTGGAGAATAGTTTATCTTACAAATTTGTGATTGGGATCCTGACGACCCATTTTTAAGTCAAGCAGACTCCCAAGTACTGGAAGACCTTTCGGCCCGGGAGGGAGATGGGGGGAGCGACCATCTAGAAGTTTTCGATTGCCAGTTGGTTTAAAGTACAGTGAGATGACCCCAAATAACACAAGGAAAACGAAAACTGGTCCTGTAGACATAGCCAAGATCCATGTCGCTTGACTGGAGTCGCGAAAATATGAGCTGATTTGGGTTATCATGATAGACAACTGGCGAAAGCTTGTGATGCGAAGTGCCCGTTACACAAGATTAATAGTCGTCTAGGAGGCTCATACCGCCATACTTAATGATCAAGCCAGCGGATGTAGGGTTTAAACAACCGACTCTGGTTCCTCGGTACCCCTCAAAGCTGTTGTGTTTCGGCACGGTCCCGCCAACTTGGAAGGCTTCCGATTTGATGTTTGGGAAGACTAACGGGATGATTCCGTGGAGTGACGTCGCTCTTATATTTATATCCCTATCCTAGATGCCGAGACAGAAACCCGTGACATACGACCAGTCGTTTGTTTCTCCCGCTTCGTCAGCAGAATGATTTCACTCCGATTTATGTTCTTTACCATACTCACCATGGAACCGGTGACTTCTGCCCTGGGTATCGACACCCATTTTCATGCCTTGCCTCCCGCGTACATTGATGCACTCGCTGCAGCTGGTGGAGATCCGTCCGGCTATCCAACCCCAGAATGGACTTTGGAGGCAGCCCTCAAGTCGATGGCCTTGGTGGGAACTTCGCTAGGTATGTATTAATTCATCTTCATCTTAAAGCTTTAAGGAGACGTCTGAATTTTGACGTCTCTCCCAGGGATTCTGTCTGTTTCATCGCCTGGTGTCTCAATTGCCGGGACAGGCGACAGCGCAAGGAAACTTGCACGTACTCTCAATGACAATCTTGCCGATTACGCCTCTTCATCTTCATCTAAGGGCAAGATCGGCTTCTTCGGAGCCCTTACAGACTTTCAAGATGTCAGCGGCACTGTAGCTGAGATCGAATATCTCTACGGCGAGCAAGAGTCATGCAATGGAGTCACCGTTTTCACAAGCTACGGAGGGAAGCTGCTCGGGCATCCTCAGTTTGCGCCAATCTGGGCGGCACTTCAGAAACACAAAGCACTCGTGTTTCTGCACCCTTCAGTCTTGAGTGTCGAGCCTCACTTGATCGGATTCGGCCTCCCACAGCCGATTGTGGACTATCCTCTTGCCACAACCCGTGCAGCCACCGATTTGGTAATGACGGGAACGCTTCGAGCGAACCCGGATATTGATATAATCCTTTCTCACGCCGGTGGTGCCGTGCCTTTTGTAGGCAGTCGCGCGATCAATGCATTGGGCATTGCCAGCGTCGCCCAGACAGCCAATGTCACCTTGTTGCAGGCCAAGGAGGACTTTGGGCGCTTCTACTTTGATATTGCTCTCAGTACGAGCTCTGCCCAACTGGACGGTTTGCTGGATTTCGCTAGCTCGGATCATATCCTGTTTGGCTCCGATTTCCCATACGCACCTCAGTATGGAATTGAGGCAGTCGTGCTGGAATACAAGAAGTATGTTGCCACGAACTCGAGGGGAGCTCAAGTGGCCCCGGATGTTTTGCGACGAAATGCGGTACAACTTCTAAATAAACATAGCCAGGGTCAAAGTTATGTTTGAGGCGGGCACTGAGTTGTCTTCAGTGCGGAAGGTGAAGTTAGGCATGTCTCGTCATATGTAGCAGAAGGCGGAACATATTTCCCAATAGAAATTTCAGCGCACGCAAGTCACCGTCATCAGTTATTAGCTTGGATATTTCAATACATGATTGCAGAGGAGAAGAGTTTATCGTGAAGCTGTCGTCCAGGGTGAAAGGTACATGTAATCTAGCGGATGGTTCTGAAGGGGTACAAGGGAAACTGTATAACGCGAGAACATCTGTTGGTACTCTATCGGGGACCTCGGAAGAAATAATCACATCAGAGCTTGACTGGAACTCTTCAAACCCAATGCTTGCTTGAAAATCACTTTGTTCCGAAATCCCTCGGCAATTCTTCACGTGAGGCAGAGTCTCTACACATCATATCGGCTCTAACCCGCTGCTGCTCAACTATATGTGCGGATGTCAACGATCCCGGAGCCAATCCGACGTTGATACTCAGATAATATGAGTTATCTTGGAGTATTAGAGACCGTTGGTACACCAACTAATGATGTTTCTACCTCGCAATTGCCTTGGAAGACCAAACTTTTCTTCCTTAGAAGCAGCAAATTGTTTCACCATGATATCACTACCACGCGAAGGATTCACAATCGACTTTGTGGGCTCCGTAGCCCGGAACACCATTCTGAACCCCTTTGTTCTGATACCGCTTACCGCAAGCTACTACATGCTCAAGCCTACATACTCGACTGGGTCTAGGTTGAACAGTATTTTTGGGATAGCCATCCCTATGCTCACTGTGTTGACTTTGTATCTCCTCATCACCGATTTTTTGAATAAAAAGTACCATAATAACTGGGCCAGCGATTCGACATGGGATTGGGAGAAAGAGCTCGTCGTCATCACGGGTGGAAGTGGCGGTATCGGCGCCCACCTCGCGCAACAACTCCATCATGGACGATCTAATCCCATCCTTGTCATTGTCGACTGTATTCCGTTGACATGGACTCCTCTAGATGGCCAGCGCGTCTTTTACTACCAATGTGATCTTGGTAGTAGCTCGCAACTCCGCAACGTATGCCAACGCATCCGTGAAGATGTTGGACACCCCACAGTGCTTGTGAACAATGCGGGCATCTCACGGGGTGTTACCGTCTGCGATGGCTCCTATGCAGATGTAGAGGCTACTATCCGCATTAATCTTATAGCTCCGTTTCTGTTAGCGAAGGAGTTTCTCCCAGAGATGGTCCGTCGGAATCACGGCCACATTGTTAATGTGAGCTCTATGAGCGCCTTTCTTCCGCCAGCGCAAGTGGCTGATTACGCTGCCACCAAAGCTGGACTGAAAGCTTTTCACGAGGTATCTCCACGTTCTACAAGATCTCTCATTTTCTGCTGACGTTCCGGCACCTAGGCACTTCAATTGGAGCTGAAAAATGAACATAAAGCGGACAGAGTCAGGCTATCAATTGCCTTCCTTAGTTTTACACGGACACCTTTATTCAAAGGCGAGACGAATCAGTCAAATTTCTGGTTTCCCCTTCTGGATGTAGACTCTGTTAGTGAGGAGATTGCGAGAGTGTTGTGGAGTGGTTATGGCAAGACGATATTTATGCCTGGGATCATGCGCTACGTTGTGATGATGGTTCGTATTCACAAGACAAAACAACCAAGAGAGTGAACTTGAACACTGATACTTGACGCTAGGGCTTGGGACCTGAATGGATTTGGCGTCTTGTGAGAGAGGGGACTGGTAGAACTCGGGTTGACTTCAAAGGGAGGCAAAGGTTAGACCCCACGTCTGGGGCTTTGCTGTGATATACTCGGGCTGTCGGCTATCTTATGTCACCCAGGAAATGGTGTATTGTTGTAGTAGCTTCATTTAAGGTTTTCATCGTGACTTATATTGCTATATTATCTTTGAGGCCCTGCTAAATTGTGACGGTTCGTTGTCTCATATGAAGTAAGAAGCACTATTGGGCCTGAAAATCCCGCGTGTAGTCGAAAAGATCAATATTTTCTTCGAGAGAACACTGCCATGTACGCCTTGCGCTGCCTAGGTACGGCTACATTGGATGGGTACGCAACTAAAGGACGTAGGAGAAGGCGGAAAGCACCCGACACGCAGTGACGGAGCTGCCCCGACGGTTAATATATCTCAAAGTTTAGCTTGTGACATTCCGAATGCTCTAAAACTATATAAACTTTCAAATCTTTATTGATAAACATTGGTTTATTTGAGCCACCCCTGTTATAGTAACTAAGAAACTGCGACGTAAACGTTCACCAGAAGATCGCCACTTAGCGATGACCATGACATCCAAAGAGATGAGGAGAGAGAATTACAGCCAATTTGCCTGCATCGGCACAGGCTTCTCGGCAATCTGTCTTGGCGCGACATTGAAGCGTTGGTACGGCATCAGTGATATTCAATTCTTCGAGCGATATTCTGAGCTAGGTGGTACATGGTTTACAAATACATACCCAGGTATGCAAAAGTCCCAACATCTAAGCAGAATAAGTACTGAATTTTGATAGGCTGTGCTTGTGACGTTCCCGCTGCTCTCTATAGTTACTCCTTTGAGCCAAATCCAAATTGGAGTCGGGTCTTACCATCCCACGATGAGCTCTGGCGATATCTTAATACCGTGGCAGAAAAGTATGAGTTGCCTCCCAAGATGGCCTTTGGGATGAGTGTGGAAAAGTGTGAATGGATAGAGCAGTGCAAGAGATGGCGCCTCACCGTTAGACATCTAAAGACCAATGGAGTGTTCTTCCACGAATGCCGGTTCCTCTTTGCTGCGGCGGGCCAACTTGTTCAACCTCGCGAGCTTGGAGTTCCGGGTGTTGATAAATTCCAGGGGTCTATTTTTCACTCTTCGAAATGGCCTAGAAATCTTGATTTGGGTGGCAAAAATGTCGTTGTGTTTGGGAACGGCTGTACTGCAGCACAGATTATACCTTCCATTACGCCCAAGTCAAAGCATGTCACGCAGATCGCCCGGTCGAAGCACTGGATTCTACCACCCATTGATAACGCCAATGCAGCGCTTCTTCGAAATATCTTCAAGTATGTCCCGGGTACCATGGCTCTGCAACGGCTCCTCATGTTTCTGGTCGCGGAGAACGAACTTAGAGGGTTTCCCATGACTCGTTCAGCAGCCAACTTTCGCCATCGCCGCCGTGCCCAAGCGGAAAAGTACATGAGAGACACAGCACCAGCCAAGTACCATGATATGCTAATCCCAACGTTTGAGATTGGGTGCAAGCGGAGAATTTTTGACTCCGGGTATCTCGAAAGTCTACACTCTGAGAATCTTACTTTGACAAACAAACCTGCTGTGGAGATTCTAGCCAATGGCGTCCAGATGGATGATAGCTTCATTGAGGCGGATGTTATCGTCTTAGCTAACGGCTACATTACCAATACCTTTCTGGGAGGTATCGAAGTTATTGGTCGAAACGGGTCGCTCAAAGAGCATTGGAAGACATACGGTGGCGCTGAAGCATACAATTGCTCCTCGATGAGCGGATTTCCGAACTTCTTCATGATTTTAGGTGTGCTTCTTTTTGTGAACAGCATGTATTGGCTTGTACTCTAACCTTCTCTAGGACCGAACGCCGCCACTGGGCACACCTCTGCCATTTTAGCTGCCGAGAATACCGTTAACTTTGCATTGCGTATCATTAAGCCCATTTTATATCAGGAAAGAGGCGTCGTGGACCTGGATTCGAACGCTGAAGATCGCTATGTCGAGCGTATCCAGCATGATCTCTCCAAGAGGGTTTGGAACTCCGGTTGCCAGAGCTGGTATATTGAGACCAGTCCAGACAAGGCCAAGACATGGAATGCAATGAGCTATCCATACTCTCAAACATACTTCTGGTATCGTAGCTTGTTTCCGACGTGGAGTGATTGGCGATTTTCTGTAAGTAGTGTCCTTGACCCATCTCGGCTCAACCTGCACTGACATATTTAGGATGTTGATACTTCGCCATCCAAGGTTCCGTCCAAAGCATTCGGGTCGCTGCTTGGGCTTGTTTTTGTGGCCGGTATATATCTCTATTCTAGCCACGTTAAAGTAGCTTGGTCGTGGGATCACTTTGGGCTTGCGGATTTCAGAGAGTTTTAGTGAGAGCACTGAGCGAAATTATTCATATCTAACTGCTTACTGCAACATAGTATGATTACAACTCTGAATTCACCAGGAAAATTCCGTTTATGGAAAGAAGTTTATACTTGATGCAAAAATTGTTCGCATGACATGGTAGATGTTTATGGTAGCGAATCATGGAAAGAGAAGCCTGGGGCGATATGAAAAAGAGACTACCCTTCTTATGACTCGTAAAGCAAATCTTAAGAAAGGTCTTAGCTTTGTTGGTTCATTCTTTCTACAGGAAATAATTGTGCTAATTTGTTACATGAATTAGATTTTATATTTATCAAGGCTCTTGAAACTATAGAATGCCCTATCCTCTAAAGGTGATTAAAAGAATCTATAATGATAGGGAGAAAGTGTATAATCATTCAATTTATAATATCTGGTTACTTCATACAGGTTCAACATGACTCAAATGTTGAATTCCGTAATGTCCGTAGCACCCCCTTCACTCACGATTGATTAAATCTTCTTCATCAGCCAATCCTTCATCCACACTCTCATAGACTGAATGCACTCCCCATCTTCATTTCTCTGGCCCTCAAGCAAGATAAAGTCGTGCGCTTGCTTTATCTGCAAGTCATACCGTAGTGACGGCATACACTCCACACGCCGTACCTCATCGACAAATACTTCCACCTGATCTAGAAACACCTCGTGACTTCCGACCGTAACGTACATATGACTCAAGACTAAACCAAGTCTTTTCAGCCAAACCCTGTCGCGATCAAGGGGGAAAGCAAGCTTGCTCAGAGAGCCATGCCCGTCCGGAAGTAGCTCCTTTGTTGATTTGTCCACCGTTTTGGCCGAAAGCATATCGATAGATGAATTCTTCAAGAATGAAGGATCCTTCGTAGATTGAGACAGCCACGGAGACACAAGAAATGCACCTCCCAGAGGCTCAGATATGATCAGTTCGGGGACTGATGGATGCGGCTCAACCAGATGGCAGAGTACCTGCGCTGCTAGATTCCCGCCCGCAGAATCCCCGCCGATGATAACATTTCTTGGGTGGATGTTTCGACTTAATGTATGTGAAAGTGCTGTTACGGCCTGGCGTAATTGGTCGGGATACTTTGCCTTAGGGCACAATTGATATTCCAAAATGGCGACTGCCACCTCGATGTCCGTCTCCCGACCTGCAGCCACATACGTCCTCCAACACCATTCCAAATGGCCGGGGAGTAATGGGGCAACATATCCTCCGCCGTGAAAGAAAAGGACGATCTTTTTAGCCACGTGGCGACTTCCGACCCACAGAAGTGTTGCATCAGACTCCAAGAATTCTATATCATAAGAAAGCACATTCGTAGTGCCTAGGTCAGTTTCGGCTGCTTTCTTTTTCTGTATCCACAACTTGTATGTTTCTCTTGTAGAAGAAGATAAGTACTGGATTTGGCGCGGGGAGAGAGTTCCCAGCACAATCTTCAAAATGGCGGACACGAGGAACAAAGACGCTGGGATTCGTCGAATTTGAGTGATGACCAATACTCGAATTACAGAGAACAGAATCTGCCAAGGGGCTGTAAAACATAATCAGTTATCTAAAAAGTAGTGGAACAAATAAATGCAGTCACTCTGAGTCGTACCTATAAACACCAGGCGCATGTACAAAGCCACCTTCTCAGGCGTAGAGAGTGCGTATGACATTGTGACGCACCCAGTGAGAAATAGTGCTACCTCTTATCTTAATGAGTTGAGACTTTTTGGGAAATCCGGTGGGCGGCAAGGCTTATATTATTTACTTAGATGGGAACATCCTTACCCCATGCTTCAAGTCACGTATTCCATACTCAAATTGTTCGAATAGGGTCCTTGTTCAGCTCGGATCCTTTCCGACCTGTCCAGGCCCAGGTGGCATAACATAGCGGAACTGCCCCGAAAGGTTACGCCCTATAATTACCGAGCAGACAATGGTTTTAAACGTCCTAGGAGCAAAAGAAATGGTATAGACTATTAAAATTCCGAGTGTATTTTAATCCACCTCAAGACAAGTTGAGCAACCTTATATCATAGAATTATCACTGCCACTACTATGAACACTTGCGCCATCTATTCCCACGTCGTCTGTGATATATCAATGTCGAAAGGAAAAGTAATATTCAGCGCGTCGTGGAGAGAAAAGTCCCCTTCTAGCATGGTATCCAGAAGGTCAGTACCAAGGTCGTTAATCGGATGCTCATTTACGTGACCTAGTCTATATATTAGTCCAGCTAACACTATGACCGTTCGATGATTTGGATACACAACTGACTGGTTTGTCTAGTGATGACAATTTGGTTGATTTTCAACAAGAGGTCGAAAGATTTCCGGATGAATGGGCTAAAAGATGAGATACTCTCGAGGACCAAGTTGCATTTCTCCCACGATGTGATGATATCGCTTTGATCTGGTGTAGCCCATAGTGACGGACAGAGACGGCAAGTAATGAGGACCAAGCTAGCGGTGCAAGCGTCTTCAGGCAAACGTAAGTAAAAAGAGCTTGTAAGGTATATCTCAAAGAGGCATGGCACGTACATAGAGCATTCCACCACCAGGCACCTGTATGATCAGTGGCGAAGGTGTCTCGAACCAACGTGATCAGCGATATAGCTGAGTTTACACAGGCTCTCGCCCCGTCCCTGTTGAAGGAAGCTTGCAAATCATTATTTGATTCGCCTGAGATCTCAGATGCTAGAAACCTCGTCAAGATGGGCCGATAGAGCATCAGTCGGACGTAAATAAATCTAGCCTATTGTGAGTTATCAACCAACCAGGATGGTGAATGAATAACCTACCGCGCATGAAGAACATATCTTTGCATGGCAAAGAGCTTGCCCGCGTCTTCAGTGTGAAATTCCGTTGCTGCGGCTGCTTTCCATCCCAGAAATGCGGGCACTGATCTTTCAAACGCAGTCAATCGTCCATCGAGATCGACAAAAGTATCCATGCTTTGACAAGCCATATCCGGCTGTGCTGCGGGATGGTGGTCATGAAAGACTGTACTCTGCCAGGGCTGGTAAACGTTTGACAGGATCCTTTCCAATATGATGCTCAAACGGACATTTTCGATTTGGAATTGCATCTTCATATCCTCGCAGGCTTCCGGATTGAACTCTAGGGGCGGCGGTACGACCAAGGAGGAGAGGCTGGTCAACATCGTCGGCCTCCCGAAATTCATGCTCACAACCCTGTTTTTCATCTTCTTAGCATAGATAACGCCATGATTCTCACTGCAGGGTCCTTACGTATCAAGGACAATACATCCATGCCATGTGCGGCGCCGAATCTTCCACACTCGGGACTCTTGGGGGTCGAACTTTGGCATGCTGTGCAATCCCAGACTTTGGGCTATCCGGCAGGCCATGCCAACTGCGTTCCAACATCGATCAGGAAATGGCGTTCCTTGTAAAGTGAGAGCTACCAACAGCATTGTTTGTACAACACCGATGTTATTCATGTCGACCAAGTCTAGTCCGATGTTTTGTTTTGACCGTGAGAAGAAGACATCGTAGGCGGTCAGTTTAGCTGATGTAGATAGATCGGAAACAGCACTTCCCAGGGCAAAAATACAATTAAGTGATGAATGAAAAGCAATGGTTGTTGCGCCTCCACCACGTCCCCCGAGACCAATATCTAGGCTTGAATCCGGGTGATCCTGTTGTTGCCCACCTGGTAGCCATAAAGATTGATAGGCGCTCTCGAAGGCCTTCCTATCAAAGATTGGATATAGGTAAAATACTCGCTCAAAATACCTCTGCACCAGGTGGTCGGCTAGATTCCGTGGTGGGAGCACAAGATTTTCCCATCCGCTATATGGAGAGAGAAGCTGTGGAGAAGAGGGTTTGGAGATCCCTGAAGCTTGACGGGATAAAGGGGTGTTCATCGTTCCACATGTTTGCCGCAGAAAGGAAGCCGCAGACGATGAGCCGAAATAGGTCTGGATAGTATCACGAGGTTCTTCTTCCGATGTTGACGCCCCCATAGCTGTAACATGCGTGGCCTTGCTCGATGTCTCAATGCCTTCAGTGGCAGCAGACGACAAGGGTGTCAGAATTTGCCCTTGTGTGGTTCCCATGACCAAAGCGTCTAGATTCGCCTGAGTTTCTGATGGCCCGCTGTCTACATTGCCTGCAGTTGAACCAGATTCAGGGTCTATGCCGTGCCTCGAGCAAGTCTCCTCCAACACACGGATTCGCTCATGGAGAGATTTAGTGTAACTGATCTGCCGTTAGCTGGGAGCGGAGAAGTGACACCATAAGAATATCTGCTCACTCATCAATACATGCTGTACGTGCATTGTCCACCTTGTAGATGCACTGCTCGAGACCCAATGCCCGACGCCGGCACGTGGAGCAGAGTGGCTTAACTCCATCACAGCGAGCCTTGCGTTCCCGACAGGGTTCGCAGGCCAGCGTCACCTTGCGACGCCGTGGACGTCGTGGCTGGTCTGACATTCTGCAGCGGGAATATAGGGGTGGGATAATAGTATGCAAGAGTTGTAGGGAATCGTCGCCGTGTGTATTGGAGGAAACGGAGTTGTTCCGTCTAAGTATTTTAAGAGGTTTGCATGGAGTGAAGTGTCGGAACAGTTCCGCATCAGCGCAGATCATCGGGATGATCCCGGCCACCCTACACACTGCCACCAACGTCATCCAGTCATATTGTAAACAGGGTGGCATCGATTCTTTTAACTTGTAGCAACCGAGGTTTTATCTAACTAATTAACTCCGAAACGAGATTACAACGTGATTAATGCCTCGGCTAATTACAACATGGAATGATAGCGCCATCGGGAAGTAACAATCGATGGGTCACCAACCGTCATTATGATATTCATGCTTCGAACTCATAAACCATTTTAGATCCTGTAGCTCCTCCACATACATAGAATCTAACTAGAACCTTGTGATCCTGGGCTTGCATAGTAAGGTTCATTAGGCATGTACGGGAACTTACGCACCACGACATCGCCCTTGTACTCCCAGAGGTCAGTATACGATGGCTCGTAGGACAGCTCGCATACCTCCTTCGAGGAACCAAAATTCACCACGTCCGTGACCTTGCCGTCACTGTAGTCGACCCGTACCATGTTGATTGTCTCTTGGTTGGGGCCAACCTCGAAGTAATTGGAAGGCATGAACTGGATACCAGAGTGAGCCGTTGTGAAGACAGTTGTGGGAAGGTCGCCCTGTAATCCGTCATTAGCATTTTCAAGTCCCATCTCATAGATCAAATAATTGACCCTTGGAAAGTTGATCACTTACTGTGTGGGGGATGTGATGCATGCCTAGGTTGAACCAAACAACCAGATCCGTCTGGTTCAGGCTCTCCCCGTCAAAAAAGTTGTCAAAGTTGACAGGCGGGTCGTGCGTGTCCTGGTTGTTGTACCGATGTATGCTGTGCGGCTCTGTATCCTTGCGCTGTGAGACCATGATATCATGACGAGCCCAGTTGGTGGCGTTGTTCAAAACAGTCGAATTCTCAACAGTGAGATGCGCAGTACCGGTGTATGGTAGAATGCGGTAGCCGCGGGGCTCGCCGAACCGGTTGGGTTCGTCGCGGTTTACAACGAGCACCTGGGCCTGGGCGTTAGGAGCCCAGTTGAACCGCCCCTCGTCCTCGTTGTCGATGAATGACCGCTCAATCTTCATCGTATTGAAGACTTTGCCCTTGGACCAAGGGTAGGTGGTCGTGAATGGCACTTGCTTGACGAGCTCGATCGTGTTATCGGTACCAAGGATATCGAAATCAGCCTTGAAGTTGAGGACATGGTCGTGCATGGAGCCCGACAGCTGATCGTGGATGTGGAAACCATAGTCTTCGTTCTTGGCGTAGAAGGCAGCCTGGATGTAGCCGGAGGCGCGCACTTCAATAGCGAGAGAGCCGTCCATAAAGAAAGTATAGCTGAAGAGATAGTCGTAGTTGCCAAGAGTTGAGATGGAACGGACGACAAATTTGATGTTCTTGGTTGCGGCGACGTATTTGGCAGCGCTATGACGGGCCAGGGGGAAATCACTCTCCGCTTCAAACACACAGATATTATTGATATGGGTGCGGGACGTCTCTGACACGTAGAAGGTTGAGTTGAGGTAGGTGGCGTAGTCTGGGCAATCGTAGCCCTTGAGCAGCTCAAACGAGTATGGGCCGAAGCCATAGTAGCCATCGAGGTAGGCGGTATGCGACTGGATGGGGTCGCTACCAGCGTAGTGAGAAAGAGCTTCCTCCAGGCCAAGCTCGTAGATGATTCGTTTCCCCTTGTATCTTATATCGTTCAAGATCATGCCAGAATCGCGGCTGAAGCCGATATAGAACGACCAGCCCATCCACTCAATGTACTTCCGTTTAGCATCAACAGAGTATCTGGCGCCTTGGGGAGCAACAGTCACGGGCGGCGATAAAACATCCTGAGGGAGGATATCGCCTTGCTGATCGGTGTGCGCCCAAGGGCCGTCGAAGTTGCCCCCCAGCTTCTCGACCTTTCCACTCCAGTAAGCATCGCGAAACTCTTCAGTGGACTCGTAGAAAATGCCATTATAATACCAGCCCTCGACGAACCACTTTGAGGGGTCTCGCCCAGTGGTATCAGACATGAAATAGAGGCCCATTGGCGTCATGGAACTGGAAGCAAAGATGTCCTGAGAGAGGCTCCAGAAGCCGTCCCATCGCCTGATACGGTCACCGTCCTGATATAAAGGGTCGATGCTACCAATACCAAGAGTGTCGTTGTCAAGTCCCAGCGCGGTTGCATTCCACAAATCGAGTGTGATATCAGAGACGTTTGCACTGACCTCTAATGTCCACTTGGCGAAGACAGTGTAGACATCAGCGGCAAGATTGCGCACGCGGCCTCCGGTCTTCCTTGTGAAGGGATATTCCAATGGCTCCCAATGTGTAGTGCCATTGACAACAGGAATAGGGCCGACCAACAAATCTTGATAGTAGGGTTCCTCAGTGGCCTGGTTGTTGATGACTGCGCGAGCATACCGGACAGGAGCGGTGCCGTTACTGTCGAGATATGTAAGGGCATCGGTCTTGTTGGGGTGCATCAACTCAACTGAAAGCCTGCGAGGATCGGTTTGCGTTAGCAAAGGGTGGCTACGGCACATAACAAAAAGGGGTTTACCCACAATGTATTGTCCCAGCTTCCAGCATTCTCAACGGTGGTTAGATTGAGGTCCTTCTGAGCGAAGAGCCATGCGACAATGTCTGCGGTTTCTGGTCCCGATAGCTCTCCCCAGATGTTCTCTTTGGGAGCCTCAATGTTGAGGGCATCGCGGACGGTGCAGGGCGCTCGGGGCAATGGGGTTCGCTGCTTTAGGCTGGCAGCTAATGCCCTCCGACCTACAGCTTGACCTTGGCTTGCGGGAGCAAACTTTGGCAAGGATTGGGAGCAGACTGTCGGCGCCAGAAGGGCGGCTACACCAATGCCGATCCACGTGTGAGAGACCATGTTTTCGACCCTGCTTTAGGATGACGATAGGTTTCAACTCTCATAAGAGAAAGAGACATACCGCAGGTTTTGAAAGATAAGTCGCTGGTCTTATATGTGTTCCCAGCGTTGTGCCCTGACAACGGGCTACACGAGAAACTGTCGTGAGACCTCTCCACTGCGATGCGTCAGCCCTCCACTCTTGTGCGGAACAGCCCGTCCGGCCCGTGCAATGGCTCAACAGAGTAATGGACTTGCACCTGAGCTAGGATCGGCCCAAGGATTAGGGGTCGTTCTAGACGAGATTACCATGGCTGAGATTTGCCGGCAAACCGAGTAGAGTTGCGCTCGAATCCTATACCGGAGCTTCTGCCACGTAGGATACCGTTGAGCCGAACGAATTCAGTCATGATCTGCGACCCAGTAACCAGGTTCAGCTCAACCGTATGCACGAGGTCCAAGCCCTTTGCCTGCCCATTCGCCAGATGCAGATCCCAATATGGTCCAGCTTGGCAACCGGCATCGCTCTGTATCCGCCGTCGCCAATAAGACATTTCAAAACAGCCGCGCCATAAGCGACCCCCCAGTCCTTGCATAGGTGCGAAGAGCTAGAGTAGGTGATAGCCCTCGGTTAGGACGATTACCAGGAATAAAGGCCACTAGGATCGAGATCTGCGTCCTGGTACCTCGATCAGGCGCCGAAGAGTTGCGCCCTGGGGAAAATATTGGGCAGAGTTTTGGCTAATCATGGCACGCATGCATACCGCTCTCAACAAACCGCGCTATGACCAATACTCATGCAGCTGCACAGGGCATGCGTCAATGCGAAGTACGGTGGTGGGTTCAAAGTTGTTGTCTCACGCATCCAAGAGACTAGTGATTGAATGCATAATTCAGCTCAATAGTACAGCCCCGTCCAAGAATTTTCCTGGATGATGATGTCATTCAATCAGTGGAAAAAACAAATATCAACTTGCTTTGTCCTCGGCTGCCTCCTTGTGCCGTAAGTGGCTTGAGTCCTGGCCAACGGTCAGGCCGGCAGTGGTCACTGGTCTCAGCCCCAGCGGGTAAGTCGGCTCTTTGCATTACGAGACCACTCTTTTGAAAGTCGACTGCTGGACTCGACTTGTTCCTATGTCTTGGCGTAGGAAAATACGGATAGTCCCGGTGTGTAGCAATCCCTCGGGTTGGCGGAAGACAGTAGAGTTGGCTCATGACTTCTAGGCCTGCTTGGTGGCATTATGCACCCTAACATATAATGTGCAAACACATGGAAAGCATGTGGGGATGGATGCTATTCTTGGCTGAAAACACATTAAGCGATATGGAGGACAACATGATCGGTCGAGGGAACGCAAACTTCTTCCATGATGTGGCCATGGATGACCCTGGAAAGAGTGTTTGATCGACGCCCCCCTCGAAGGCTTGTTTACCCGGTGGAAAAAGCCTCTTGATATCGATACAACTGTTCCTTTCTTTTTAAATATTATAATCAGTAGTAATAAGGAGACAACGGTATAACATTCGATGTGCCATGTTACCTCGTTTGTACGCTCTATCATTCAACTCCGTGAGACTTTACGAAAAGTCCCTCTCAAATTGGTGTGGACTTCATTGCTCACTCGCAATGTGTTGAATATAACGCCACAGACCATGGCTCGCCCCATCACTTTGCACAAAGGTGAAAGGCTCCCTATTGGCATTCTATGGACAGTCTTGGGATCTGAATTTATATTTTGGTTCTACAACACCACCTACAGTATCACGCCTAGATTAACACCCTTCGGCATGCAATACACTGTCCGTCTTCGTCAAAATAATGCTCATTCAACTCATCATCACAAATATCGTGAGGCTCCCCATCATCGCAAGCATCGCAATTCGCACTATAGGCACAGTCCCGGAACCATTCAGTTGAGTCTGACCATTCATCGAATAACCTTCCATTGGTACCAGGAGTGTGCCATCCGTAAGCGATCCTCATCTGCTCCTCGGGATCCATGTCGGGATCGAGAAAGCTACGCTTCGGCTGGTCTCTCGCACATAAAAGCTTACAATCCACGGGCTTGCACGAGTCCAAGCCAGTCTTCTCCACAAGCACCCATGCAACGTTGTCTCCTGGAAGTTCAGATGGTTCATTATATTGTGCATCCCAGCAAAAGGTATGCATTGCCGGTGTGACATCGAGGTCAAAGCGCACAGAGAGAAGACCCTTCTCCGTCACATTCTCCCACGATAGACGGTTCTCTGGAATGACAATTATCCAAGAACGGTAACGGTGCTTAAATTCAATCTCGTTCCAAAAGGCTTCTGATGGGCACCAGGTAGGGACGATATGCGGGAGGGGCTCCCTTCCGCGGATCTTGGTTCTTATCTTCTCGGCCGCATCTTCCTTTGAGAGGCCCACGACTTCACTCCGTTTCATCTCATCGATGACGCTCTTTCGGAAAGCTTTCTCTCGACGATGGTGTTCAATGCAACTCTCGACTGTGTCAAAACCGGAGTACGTGTCGACGCGTGGCCAATGCATTCCCCGCCAGCTGTGAATGGCCTCGCAGCCAAGAAATCTTTTCGCCAGCTCTTGGACAGCAGGTTCAGTGTGGCTTCCAAGAAGGTATAGTTGTATACCCAATTTGGGCACCGCCTTGTCGCTCGTGGAAAGGTAGGACGCACTAAGTAGCTCTGGCCGGCGTGGTCTTTGAAATGAAGAATCTCATGGTCGGGGGCTTCTTTCACGGTCGCTCTTCCGCCGAGGGACTTGCGAGGACCTTTTTTGGCGCGTGGCATCTCGTAGTAAAACTCTTCACCTAGGAATTCGATGTGATAGTTTGAACTAGAAGAGTTGGTTGGCGTCTGAGAGTCCCGTTCTGAGATGTTAAAAACCGGATATTACCGCGTGATGTGGTTTCAAGCCATGTCAGATTTGTCGCGACCCAGCCAGACCCTGGGCTCTCTCAGGCATCGTTAGGTTAGACTCGCATAAATATATATATATAAATGTATGTTGTCAGCGGTTTGTTAATTGTGTCGTACCTCGTACAACAACAACTTCTTTCTTTACTTTGGAAAGCCATTGCAGTTTGTCCCCGCTTACCCGACGGATGTACTTTGTTGTGTAAAAACATAGCTTGAGCCAAAGTTTGCCCCTGTTAACTAGGTATATCATATCTCCGGAACGATGGCCACATATAGACGCTCGAAAGCCCCAAGATCCTCAAATATCCATCCAGCTACTAATTAAAAACGGTCTGCCTTTGATTGTGCATCAAACAAGACATGGAAGCCGGCTCTCTAGGGCTGTGTTTGATTCTTTCTTTTGACTCACTTTCTGCCAGCTGGTCAGGGTTTATTAGCTATTCTTTTACAGGATTTGCTTCCCAGGCAACCGGGGAACAATGGCTAGATAAGAGAAGGGGAAACTGATTCATTCTATACACGAACGTAAGAATCTGGTCGGTGATTTAACCAGGTCAGGAAAGAGAAGAACAGTTAAAAACAGTGAAAAGCAGTGATCTTTTGCAACGGTGATGTGGAACATCAACGTTACATGTACATGCACTGTGATATAACGTGTCACATAGTGACGTAGTTTGTCGCTTCCATTTTCACCTACAGGAATGTGTTTGTTAACCCCTCATTTGCCGACACCGCAGATTTTCTACTTGAGAGCCTCTCTTCTCGATCGATTCTTCCCTTCGGCAGTTCATTTAATCACTGATATTTTCATCAAACCAAACACGAAATGTCTGTCCTAGAACAAGTGAAAGAAGACTATAGCAAATTCGCCGAAGTGTACAATAAGTTCCCTGCTCAGCCGGCAGGTATCCTGGGATCTCAGCTCATGAGAAACGCCATCGGAGATGCATCCGGCTTGGTTGTGTTGGACCTAGGAGGCGGGACCGGAGTTCACGCTCGCGACGCCCTTGACGCAGGCGCCCGACGAGTAGATCTGGTAGACATAACACCTGAGATGCTCCAGGTCGCCGAGGAGATCGAGCAGTCCCTAGGGCACAGTGGCCGCATTCGTGTCTTCGAGGGGGATGTAGCCTCGACGCTCAGCTATCTCCCACTGGAGCCAACCTATGATATCGTCATGGCCAACTGGGTCTTTGACCATGCGGACTCCCCGGAGATGCTTGAACGCATGTGGCAAAACGTGGAGAAGTATCTGAAGCCTGGCGGCAAATTTGTCGGCGTCCGCGCTGCAGATTTGGGTCCTGATTTGCAGACCGAAAAGTACGGTGTGACCTATTACAATTTCAAGTCTATTCGAGGAGGAATTTCTTACACGTTTATGCTCCACGGGGACTGTCCAAGGGCGTTTGAGGCGACATCTATGGAAGTCAGTTTATCGGGCTCTACTGAGATGCACGAGAAACACGGCCTAACAGATGTGAGGATCGTTCCACTTGAAAGTGCCGAGATCGTTCAACAGCAGGCTGAATTTTGGAAGACATTCCTCGACAAACCACCTTTTGTTGTAGTGACAGCGGTCAAAAAGGGCTAGTCCTAGGACTGGGAGATAAGAAATGCCGATTTTATTGATTCATGTGTATATTTGGTCCTTCATTCTAAGACAGCCACTCGCTGCCCCAAATACTATTGCGTGAAGTTCCGAAGAAGTTCTACGTGGTCTCAACCATTTTACTTTTCTGAAGCAAAGATAATACCGTTGCTCTTACGCATATCTTCCATAGAAGTCAGCACAGCAACACTCAGTGCCCTAAGATGGCCTTCAGCCTCCTTATCTTTCTGTTGAATGATCCGCCCAAGCTCTTTCGCCTCCCAGGTCAAGTTGAGCAATCCGGTATACTCGGGATTCGTATCAGCCAGTTCCTCACCCTCTTTCGCTCCGCGTGGGACAAACTCAATAGAGTTAATGTCCGTCACGCCAGTTGCACCGTTGATCCTAATCGTTCCCTTCTCGCAATAAATTTCCGAGGGGGCAGTGGAGGTATAGATCTTGCTTGTCTGCGCATGCACTGTGAATTGCTGCTTGTGCTTCGATGAGTCAGGCGTGTATTGGAAAAGAATGTGACCGCCACCGTCTACCCCCGTGCGAATGATGACGGGAATATATGACTGGCCAACAGGCGTGCCAAAAAGAGCCTGGGTGAACATGACGACATAGCATCCCATATCCCAGAGAGAACCTCCACTGAATTTGGGGGAGAGGACGTTGGGCTCCTCGCCCTCAAGGACCTTGGCGTATCGTGACGAGTAGACGGCCATGTTGACGCTGGCACCGTAGATGGGGCCGAATTTCTCATTTCTCGTCTTCTCATCGTCCAGCAATCCCTGGAGCTTCTTGAAGTTGGGCTCTTGAATGTGACGGTAGGCCTCAAGAATGAAGAGCCCTTTGGAGTCAGCAAGTTTGTAGAGCTCCTGAAGCTCCTTAACATTGGACGCAAAAGGCTTTTCCACGATGATGTGTTTTCCGGCGTTCAGGCCCTTGATCGCCTGCTCGTAGTGCAGCGAGTTTGGTGAGGCAATATACACGACATCGACGTTGCTATCGCCTAGCATGGCATCGAGGTCGGTGTATGGCTTGACAGAGGAGGCATCCTTGATCGACGGAGTCTCAGATATGAATTTGTTGGCCGTGTCAAGGCTCCGCGAGTAGACTGCTGTCAACCTGAACAAAGCGGACTCGTGGGATGATTGTACGAAGGAATTGGTGATCCAGTTGGTGCCGATGACGGCAAGACCTAGAGGAGCTGACATTCTGAAGACTTCTCTTGAGCTGGGAGGCTATCGTGTGAATATTTCTGGACGCTGATGAAGTCTCCAAGTGCGCAGTTATTCGCTTTTCAGTCGGTGCGGGGTGAGATGTGACCCGCTTGAGAAGTGGATTGTAGTCAATGATCTCATATGGTTACTTCACCAAATTCTACTAGTGCAAGCTTTTGAGCATGGTTTCCATCGAAAGCCAGATTATGGGCGGAATAAATTACTAGTTTGGTCGATTCGGTCAATGTTGGTCAGTGGTAGATCTCATCTTTTTCAACCCAACCGGCGCTAACAATGCCACTCCTTGACTTCAATTCAATTCGCTGACCTCCCGGACTTGACATAACCCCAACACATCCACTTGACATCAAGACTGAATATGATGTCGGTGTTTTAGCTGCCCAGATGTAGATTTAAATACGTGTTCTTATCGCCCGTACTCGTTGGAATACATCGGGGCAAGGCTTCTCTATAGATGCTGGTGTTTCTTTTTTTTAAGAACTTGTAATCAATGAATAAATTAGTGAAAGAATTATAGCTAGGCTCTGTGAATGAACGAAGGGAAAAAAAACTAAAACTTGAAAGTCCCCGAACTGTCCAGCTCTTTTCCAGGCTCGCCCTAAAACCTCAGCTTCTCAATGTGGCGTATCAGATCATGAGGCGATCTGTAGGGGCTCTGTGCCCCGTTCTGCCATACGCGGGGAACAGAGCCGTTTATCTTCAGCTCAGCTTCAGTCTTGTTCATGCTATCTAGAGCACGAGCGACAGAAATCTGGAGATCTGAATCATCATCATCCGAGAATTGGTAATTCCGTAGAATGTTCTTCCAACTTCGCCAGAGCCTGGGGTGAGAGCCGTCGTCGCTGTTGACATTGACATCTGCCCAAGCCTTCCTCGGCGAGTAAATAAACCACATGCAGGCTACCCGCACATCTTGACTTGAAAGCGATATCTTGCGATAAATCTGCCTCAGATGGGGATGGTCCCAATCAATGGCATGATCAAGGCCCTGGAATTTCAATGTCCCGAGCTGGGCATAAAAGGCCACTAAATTCGCATGGTCAAAATCCATCAAAGGGTCATCATGAGTGACCCTGGCTAAGAGAAGAGTCAGGCAACGGTGACCGCCACGGGAGAATTTTCGACGATGGTGATGACCGCCATAGTGTGTCTGAACTACTTACAGTGTCTCAGCCATTCATCGGCCAATCGATCTTTAAAATCAGGCATCTCCGACCAAAATGATACCGGTGTACGCCCGGCAAGGAAGCATAGCTCCCCTCCCTCTGTCAAGTCCGGCAGGGTGGTCTGTCCTAGGCGAACGGTGAACTCAACAAGCTTGGATTGCAGATCATGTGGTATTCGCTTGGCCAATGCAATCAGAGTGGCAGTTACGATATTCGCGTGTCCGGATAGCGTATCGGTTTCGCTAGCTGCTCTAGTCAAAACGACGATTTCCTCTACTGCGCTCAATGTAGAGACGTCATCCTGATTGACCATCCTGAGCAGGATCTCGCGTGTTGGGCAAGGGCTGACCTATTGCTGTTGGTCAGTATCTGGTCTTTCTCACTAGGCATGTTTGACAGCAGACCTACCAAATCATTGATGGCATCTGCTGGGCACAGCTCTGGGCTTTCGGAAGTTGAAGCCATTGATGGTAGAGCTCTTGTTCTTGGAGGTAAATGCAGCGCAGATGGGAGGTTGGGCAGGCACAGGTACGGACGCATGAGGCGGGGTAATGACCCAACTGGACGACCATCTATGGTAGTACCTTAACATGCCGCATGTAGTCAGTTGTAGTTTTCTTCCATCGAACGATAGAATATTGCCCGTCATCTACCGAGAGATAATTGAGCTTCTACTAGTTTTGTTGTCCCAGGTCTTTTTGACATCCACTGCGAGAATAGACGTTGCAAACTTCCAATATATCGGGAATGCCAGTCGTGTGTTTGGTCTTGGGTACGCTGGCTATGGTAACATTGAGATAGGTGCATATCCTTCAGTGTAGCTGACTTATGCAGCACCACTGGCAGTATCACCAAGCCTGTCGGCGCCGCGTGCCCACCGTGCGGACACATACTGCAGTATCTACAGCATCATAAGTTTTTGTTCTATTTGATTTGTAGTACAAGCCAGATTATCATAGGGATAAAGTTCCTAAAACTTCACTATGTGGCAACAGGAAATTCGCCTTCGAATTCGTCTTGAGACAGCAAATTTTGGCCAGAATTAAAGTTGGGGGGGAGTATATCATGAAGTGGAGGAATGGCCATGGGAACAAAATTCCGAGCTATTTTTGATGAGGCCTGCTTGAAGCTCAAGTAGAAACCGACTATACTATTGCCAATCAACCCTCTAAGTGTCTTCGAGGAGGACCTTAGGATATTGCCCTCTCAAAGAAGTTGCCTAGATTTCCCACTTTCAACACGCCCGGGAGCCTTACAATTTAGAGGGAATGATGACGTTCGTATAAGCCATTTTAGCTGGTTTTTTCTAGCCTGGGTTCCATATTTCTCTATCCCTTTCAAACTTGGTGACCGAACGGGTACAGGGTTGAATCCATGCCCGATTTCAGTTTGTGGAGACATCTCAACTTGCTTGTCGTAAGACCAGGACCTTGAATGTCAGCCGAGAGGCAAGAATCTCTCGAGTCTACGCAATGATTTGACTATGCGGTGAGATGATTTACGTAAAGGGATTCAAAAAGTCGGTCGCCCCCGGCCGAGAGGCGGCGCTAGTGCTCTTCATTTATCCCCTGGGAAAAGAGAAGAAAGGGAATAGTGTCGATTAGCTAATCCCGAGGTCTTCTGTTTTTAAGCTTGATAAATATCAAGGAGTCCACCGTCTGTTTAAACAATTTCCTCTCCTTCATTAACCCCAACGCAACCACACTGAAGTCTTAGCGTTCTAAGCAAGACCACAATCTCTCTCCCAGTTAGTGATTACAGTAACTTACCGCCCTTGAGGGCTCTCTCATGGCCATTGCTCATCACAATGCAGAGGACAGCTGCCTAAAAAACCAGACTGAGCCAATTCAGGCTGAACCTTTATTTACCCCTCCCCAACCACAAAAAGAGTCACCACGGTTGGAGACCATCGAATATCGCAACCCAAACTCTCAACCAACTGATAGCCAAGATGATGTTGAGAACTCATCGAGGTTGTCTGAGGACATCTCCTATCCTGAGGGTGGTCTGCAGGCCTGGATAGTAGTCTTCGGGTCATTCTGCGCTATGGGTGCCGTTTTCGGTCTCATTAATACCAGCGCGGTATTCGAATCTTATTTCAAGGAGAACCAATTGCGTACATACACCCACTCAGAGATTGGATGGATATTTAGTCTGTATCTCTTCCTGGTCTTCTTTGTTGGCATTCTGGTTGGTCCGATCTTTGATCGCTTTGGACCCCGTTTCCTTGTTGGTGCCGGCTCGATACTGATCGTGGCAAGCTTAATGCTGTTGAGCCTCTCTAAAGGTGAGTTTATCGCTCTTTATATCCAAGTAACGACTCTCTAACACTTGTGTTTTGAAGAGTACTATCAGATCGTATTGACCTACTCTGTGATGGGCGGGATCGGTGGCGCTTTGCTGAACTGTCCTGCCTACGGTGCTATCGCCCACTTCTTCAATAAGCGAAGGGGCCTAGCTACAGGCATTGCATTCACCGCTGGAGGCATCGGCGGAATCATCTTCCCCCTATTACTGCAATTCCTCCTAGCAGACCAAGGGGTCGGTTTCGGCTGGAGCTGCCGCATCATGGGTTTTATAATGCTCATTCTTTGCGGTCTCGCGAATCTCTGCATCCGCAGCCGACTCAGTTCGACCGATACAAAGGGAGACGAAATCAAGTTATCGTCAGTCCTACCTGATATTACAATTCTTCGGAACAAGGGTTTTGCCATGGCTGCCCTGGGCATCTTCTTCATGGAGTGGGGGTTATTCGTTCCCCTGACCTACATTGTGTCATATGCCAAAACCCATGGAAACGGAGACGCAGCCAGCTCGGTTCTACTCTCTTTATTGAATGCAGGGTCGGTCTTGGGTCGTTTCCTTCCAGGCCTGGTTGCAGATAAACTCGGTCGTTTCAATGTGATAATTGTCACGATTGGTCTCTGCGTGACCACCATTCTAGCCATGTGGCTCCCCGCGGGCCACTCTAAGCCGACACTGATGGCTTTCTGCATCTTGTTTGGTTTTGCTAGCGGAAGTAATCTGGGGTTGACCCCAGTTTGCATCGGTCAATTCTGTGACTCGCGAGACTACGGCCGGTATGTCACCACCGCGAATATGATCGCCAGCTTCGGCACGCTGTCCAGTGTGCCCATTGGTGGTGCCTTACTTGGCCTCGGTGAGCAGAGTACTGGGTGGATGGCCTTGATCATCTTCTCTGGAGTTTCATATGTTGTGGCGATGATCTGCTATATGTACGCCCGTGTTTCTGTCACGGGATTCAAACTAAAAGCCAAGTTCTAAGTGAGATGGTGAAGTGAACTTTCTATTGGGCCAGCAGGGTTTTTTATCCGACCTAGAGACTGGGCACGGTTTTCCCAAGAGTGCCCTATAGGCTGTGGGGTTGAGTTTGTTGTTTAATGAGAATATCAAATGATGTGTTAGTTGTTTGCTAATTGATTTGTTTGTGCAATGTGCAAGGATTCGTGTAGTAACAATCCGTGATATTGTCCTCAAACATTTATGTTTGAGTTCGCATAGAACAACCAATCTTTGCTTCAATTCAGGCAACACTATATCCTTGAATTCTTTTACTTCCGGGGTACTGTCACTACAGGCAAAGTAGCTTTATCGTTATTGGCTCGGGGGTTTCATTGTAGTCAGATGGACACTCTTCTTTGCTAAAACTGTTATTAGGAAGCCAAGGATCAAAGCCCAATACAGCTTATCCAGAGGAAACCGAGACACCTTGAGTGAGTTCCCGTCTTCTGAGACACAGCTCTTCACTAAGCCTCGCTAGATCTGCCACAAGTCCTAATTCGTGAAGTTTGTCCCAGACCTGATGCCCGCGTTCTAAGTCATCATCCTTGCTTGTCAAAATAGTCTGCTCAAGGCCAAACACCTTGTATTTGCCAGACTCTGAAAGTCTCTCCCATGGGTCCTCTCCGCTTGCAAATCTAATCCATGCCCCTGCCATAGACTCGGACACCCTTGTATATGACTGTGGCATCTCGTGTTCTAGTAGGCCCCATATTAACACGTTGTCGAATGAATGATGCGCCATTCCGCCCCATGCATTTCTAAACGGCGAGGGGACGTCGAAGTGGTAGGCAAATATAGCACCTTTTGCCTCTTGCCGAGCAAAGTATATTGGGGCAGAGAATAGCCCATGCGTTGTCATTTTCTCAATTTTCATGAAAAGATCCTTCTCGCTAGTATCGGAGGTAATGCCGTAGATCTCTGAAAGCATCCGAGCCTTGGTCAAACCAAGATAGGACTCCATCTTGGCTAAAGTCAGTGCTGCAGTAGGTACTGTTAAATCCTCTCCAGGGGCAAGCGGATATTCGCAAATATTATCCCATGACTTGTTCCAAATGATACACTCGTTTGTTGCGTCCCCGATCATCACTCGAGGACACCATTCGGGTACGCTGAATAAATTATACTCATCATACGAAGGTATGGAGCCTTCCACAAAAACTCCATCATCACAGAGAGGCGATGTGACTACCGGAATAATAAATGCCGGAACCATGGCTTTCGTTAAAGCTGAACTATCTGCAGCAAGAAGGCGTCCAATGCGCTCCTCAGGGTTCAAGTGGAGAGGAATATTTAGGGCTTGTAAGATCCTCTCATAGACGGCCTGATACTCGTCAATGGATAGAACCCCGCAGAGTTGAATAAGCCCGGACTGAAGAATTGCGCTGGAAAATAAGGTTTCTCCACGGAGCAGGTGAGCATGGACAGATACTGCGCCAGCACTTTGCCCAAACAATGTGACCTGTTTCGGGTCACCGCCAAAGGCAGAGATGTGCTTCTGAACCCAACGAAGAGCAAGCACCTGGTCCCAAAGACCATAGTTTCCAACGCCTGCTTCGCCATGGGAACTATTATATGTTTTGAGGTCTTTGCCTGCGAGGAATCCATAAACGCCTAGCCTGTAATTCACTGTAACCACAATAGTTGGTCGGCCGAATTTGGAGGCTGAGGATTCCACCAAAATTCGCGAGTCGTAAACGGGTGACGAATTCATGGAGTAAGTGAATGCACCGCCATGGATAAAAACCATAACAGGCAGTGTATTATTCACGTAATCACTAGGTAAATGAGGAACCGAAATGTTCAGATTCAAACAATTGAACTCGTCGGCCTGAGGCATATCCAGCCAAGGGCGAGGAGCATTGGGGACTGGGTAAAAGTCCCGAGGCGGCTGTGGACTGTAAGGCCTAGCCACGCCGGCGAGGTCAACATGAAATTCCGTACGGTGAAAAGAGACTGGGCTAGACTTACCCAAACTTCGTTCCATCCCAGCTCCCATTCTCCCAGGGCTCAGACGCGGGAATAGAGCGCCGAAACCGGCCTGGAACAGAAGCATACGGTATACCAAGATATTGGCATGTTTTCCCGTTTAATGAAATCCCCTTGAGTGTCCCCAGGCCTGCAACCTCTAGTGACACCTGGCCGATGCTGGGAGTCTCGTCCGACTTCATTCTTGTGCCTGAAAACGGAATCCCTAAGATAGAGATGGTGTGCCTTGGGCAGGCCTGATTTGATGCGAAGCTGGGGTAGAATAGCACAATAGTGGTATGTCTTAGGCGATGGTTATAGTTTATCCGGGGGCACACTGCGTAAATAACAAGGATCACCAAGGTTCTAGATATCCTGCAGTTGCGTTGTAATCATGGTCTTCAACCTTCGCAGTCCATCATCAGTTAAACCCGGGAACCAACCGGAGATAGAACGGCCGGGTCTGGGCCGTAGCAGTTGCCGGTGCCAGAAACCGCTCGTTATCGAATCTCGGATTTGGTATCGGCTTTGAAATCGGATCTGACACACGAATCTTAACAGCCCAAGATAGTCTGCGCCCGCTCTCCCTTCCTTAACTACAATAGTGTGCACTTGGGCTATGAAAGTCGCGTCTTTCTGGAATTAACAAGGTTTTGGGTTGAGTCTTTGCTGTCTTTTTGCATGCAATAGTTTCAACATTATGGCACCCGCAATTCTCAAATCTGAAGCTGATGCCCCGGCACAAAACTACGTTGCTGCTAAGCAGCCCGCTCGGTCTCATAGCCCCTCCCTTCTTCATCGATCTTTGCTAGAGAAACCTCACAAAGTGATCAGAGCCAGTGGAAGTTATCTCTACCTTGAAGATGGCCGGAGAATACTGGATGCGTGTGGGGGTGCCGCCGTCGCCATCATTGGCCATGGAAACGACGAAGTTGCACAGGCAGCCTTGGATCAGATGCGCCAGGTCAGCTATGTGCACACTCTCTCTTATACGACTGACTCAGCTGAGAACCTCGCACGGAGCATCCTGAACTCTGATGACTCTGGATTTGACCATGGTTTGGTGAAGGCCTTTTTCGTGGGAAGTGGAAGCGAGGCCAACGATGCGGCAATGAAATGTGCTCGGCAGTACTGGTATGAGAAAGGACAAAGCCAGCGCCGGTATTTCGTGTCCAGAGAACAAGGCTACCATGGCAATACAATAGGCGCCATGTCAGTGTCGACGATGGTCGGCCGCAAGGTTCCATACCAAGATATTTTACTTCCTCATGTTTCGCATGTAAGCGCAGCGGATATTTATCATGGCTTGAAGGACGGGGAGACAGAAAAGGAGTTTACGCAACGCCTTATCGCAGAGATCGAGGAGGAGTTCTTGAGGTTAGGGCCAGAGAACATCATCTCTTTCATGTACGTTGTTCGGTTTTACGAAAGAGTGTGCGTTATAACTAACATACCTACAGGGCGGAGACCGTTGTTGGAGCAGCTTCAGGTACGATGACGGCTCCAAAAGGTTACTGGTCGGCGGTACGAGACTTATGCAACAAATATGGGATTCTTCTTCATCTCGATGAGATCATGTGTGGGATGGGCCGTACTGGAACACTGTTCGCCTTCGAGCAAGAAGGAATCCAGCCTGACATTGTGACCATTGGAAAGGGCCTCGGTGGAGGGTATTCACCTATCGCGGCAATGCTCATCAACAGTACTATTGTTGATAGTCTTCGAACAGGGACGTCAGCTTTCAACCACGGGCAGACCTACCAAGCTCACCCAGTATCTTGCGCTACTGCTCTCGCTGTTCAAAATATCTTGAGACGAGATGGCCTTCTTGAGAGGGTAAAAATTTTGGGGTCAAAGTTACACGATCTGCTCTTGACAACATTTGCAGGATGTGACTACGTAGGTGACATTCGGGGTCGGGGCTTGTTCTGGAGCCTTGAGTTTATGGAAAATAAAGCCCAAAAACGCCCTTTTCCTAGGGAATTCCATTTTGGCCCTCGCGTCCAACAGGCAGCTTTTACCATGGGGGTCGCTGTCTATCCTGGGTCAGGTACTATCGATGGTTTGAACGGTGACCATGTCATATTTGCTCCACCATATACAACAACAGAGGAGGAGCTCGAAGTTGCAGTTGCTACCGTCAAAAAGGCTTACGACGAAGTACTTTCAGCTTACTTCAGTCTAGAACATGCTATATAGAATATGAAAGCGAGGCGGCGAGAGACGTGGAAGGGGAAAATAGCTGTCGCATTAGTTCCTCATACATATCAATGGATTCTTTCCTTGTTCAGGAGATGATGATAGATTTCATTATAATTATCTAATCCTGAATTGGAACATGTGGTACGGATTAACCCCTAGTCTAACAACCACCATTCATAGCTCACATCCTCTCTATCAAGCTATCTCTGACAAGGTATTCTCCTTCTTTCCAGCTACAACTCACAGGTCACCTAAGGGCATATTATAATCAAATGGTACACCCTCGATGGCGAAAGGAATGAAATCTTGCTCTCCCCATAGTGGCCACGCTTGGTTCCAATCTCTGTTTGCAACCGCGTCATCCTGTGTTATACTTGTTTGTTGTGAGTTATCGAACCCGGACAGCTCCTGAAGGCTTAGAGCTGCAGCAGTCTCATTATTTGTGGTAGAGATAATATCAATGTCATCCACACTGACTTCGGGAGACATATAGTCCCCAGTTGTTGGTGGCTGGCCTCTAATGTCGTGGATCGAGTACTCCAGAGCGCTGAAGTCCTCACGGGTTCTGCCTCGAAATTGGCTATGGTCTTGGCGAGCACTCTTGTAGAGTTCCTTGCAGTGGCCCATGGTAACCCACCACCCTTTCCCCATTGCCCAGATATTCCTGAATTTGTGGAGAAATTCGATGTTTTTGTTGACAGCATAAGTAGAGATACGGTTTCTATCCAAATTCATTTTTGGGAATGAAGTGACATAAAGATTCATGGTAGCTGCTGAGAAGGCACAGAATCCGGGAAAAGGCGTATAGAGAGGTTCGTTTGCGTCTTCCAATTTTCTAAGAAGAGACACTATATGTGCCGCAGACGTGAATATTTCGTCAGCTCTATCCTGCCACCAACCTGGAGGAGCTGGAAGTGGTAAAAGTGGAGGATCAACGGGTCCGTTGGGCTCAGAATCTGGGGTGGGGATAAATCTCAGATATTCTCGACCGAGGAATAAAAGGCTATGGTAATCAGCTATTTCCTCTTTTTGAAAACGACTGCCCGCTAGGTTCGGTTCCAGAGATTTACTCTTACCTCACATAGTATATCAAATTCAGGTACGCAAATTTCTCAGCCGTACCAAGTGCTGAGTGTCCCTCCAAAGACGCTTCAGGATAGCGAAGACGTTTATCTTGCCGATCTCGCCATGCCATTAGTTCGTCATAAAGAAGCTTCCATCGAGATCCAGCTACCCATGGATGGTTTTCCGGCAGTGACATTCCTGGCAATCGTCTCCCACCGCTGACCACCCAGGAGAGTATACGAGCCCAGATGTCGAAGCCTCTGACAAGGATTCCATAGTAATGGTTCATGTCACCTTCCATATTTTCCAAGGGTCCTCGCTCTTCATTCGTCAAAGCAGCGTGGCCAGCCGATTCACCAAACGCGAAATCGTCCTCGGACCTTGGCCAGTGTGTGTCCATAGAGTAGACAGACAATGCGAAAGGCTGGGTCTTTCCACAGTGAACAAGTCTATCCATAATAAAACACGCCCATAATGTGCGGTTATGGATTTCCTTCTCCACTGATACAAGGGAGGCAACATGCACCATGACTCGAAGAGACTGCATCATCCTTGTCGCGGCACCACTGTACATCCAAGCACGGTAACCGTTCCCCATTCCCCACTCGTACATGGACAACACCAAGAGTGCCTGAACAATTAGCAAGTCTGGAGGACTTGCAATTGAGACACAGCTCCTAGCAAAACTGGCGAAAGCCTCTGGTGGGGAGGTATCTGAAACCTCATGAGTGATAGGTAGGCATAGCGCTACGATAGACGCGCATAGCATATGAATGGGTGATGACTCGCTACAAGTTCGCTGAAGGAACTTGATCTGGCCATTTTGTTCCATACTGTGGATAGATTTGGATAAAGTAGGCAAGTGAACAAAGCGAAACTCTGGGAACTTGGCGGAGAATGTCTTGAGTGCGGCCACGACAGTAAAACTGTCCGCCGCAAGACCTTTCTCATGATTAACATTTACCAACACTTGTAACTCGGAGGACTGGGTAGAGGGAGTATCGGCTAGAGTGGAACGAATATTACGACGACTCCGATCTATATCTCCCAACGGGGTACTGCATCGTGTCAATCTGGCGAGTACTAAGCCTCGGGTTTGAATTGACTTCACATACTCTGGCACACGCTTCCTTTTCAACTCAGGGCCGGTGAGAAGACATTCCCCAGAGCGCGTCCTCCCCTTCTTTTTGCAATTCTGGCATGGTGGTGAACCTTCATGGACGCACTTAATCTTGAGTTTGCTGAATAGATTCGGAATGTCAGCATCTTGCCAGTTACAGGAAACGCCATAATCCGTCCAAAAATGAACAATGTCCAGACCTACCGGCAGTGTGAACATGCGATTGTTGTCCGAACCATGACTGTTGCCCGTGTGAAATGCGTGTTTTGCGTGTTGTTGAGAGAAGGAAATGCGAAAAGGTGGATTCTCCCCGGACAAACACCGCATTTGAATTGAAAATATCCGCAGTGCCGATATCGGGTTTCGCATTTGAGCTTTCGGCTTTAAGCCACATGATTCTCTTATCAGTTCCGTTCCGTGTGCCCCATCAACCCAGCTGATGTAGAAGTGTTACGATATAACCGACGACCCTTAAGTGCCAAGGATCATGTCTTATCTTTGATTCTTCTTGTCCAATAATAAGACCCGTATCACCCCGGCGAGGTAGTTGTTGGTCGACTCTAAATGGTACCCTACGATATTCAAGTTATTGATGCAACTTGCGCATCTCTATTCTATTGATACATTGCATTGACTAATAACCTCCTTGGTGAATTAACCTTCTTTATATTAAGATCCAGTCATGGACGAATTCAAAGGCGTGAAGGAGCCTTCAAAAACTAAGAATGACACAACCGATTTTGAGAAAGGCGAGGTCTTGGACAAAACCGCTGATCTCGGCCTTCAGTTTCTCGAAAAGAATGGTCCTGTTGAATTTACATGGAGAGAGGAGAGAGCCGTGTTGTGGAAGATTGACCTTTACTTGCTGCCAATTGTAAGTGATATATGCTCTATGGATAACAAGCCAATATATTTGTCTTGAGGTCTTAGTGACTGTGCTAACATGATGATTCCAGCTAATGCTCACTTTCGGCCTCCAATACCTCGACAAAGTTACGATATCGTATGCAGCCGTCTACAATATGAAGAAGGATCTGAATCTCGTCGGCCAAGAATACAGCTGGGCCAACTCCATTTTCTACTTTGGATACCTCGTTGGTGAATTTCCAGCCAACTACCTCCTACAAAAGCTGCCTATCGGCAAATTCAGCGCTGGATGTATTTTCATATGGGGTGCCTTGGTCATGCTCTGTGCAGTTACCAACAACTTTGCCAGCCTTGCCGCTCTCCGATTTCTCATGGGCTTCTTCGAAGCTGGCATCCCCCCCTGTTGGATCTACATCACATCCATGTTTTACAAGAAGAGTGAGCAGGGTCTCAGATGTACAGCTTGGTATTTCATGGTTGGTGTCGCCGCGATTGTGGGTGGCTTGCTTGGCTACGGCGTTGGCCACACTCACACCGCCGTGAAGCAGTGGCAATTCGTCTTTCTCATTTGCGGTGGCTTCACCGTTCTTTGGGCATTCGTCATATACTTCTTTTTACCCGATTCCCCGTTACAGGCATATTTCTTGACCGAAAAAGAAAAGTCTATTGCTGTGGAAAGGCTCCGCGAAAATAGAACGGGCATCAAATCGACCGAGATCAAATGGGATCAGGCTCGAGAAGCACTGGCTGACCCCCAAGTCTGGCTCTTTGCACTATGGAGCGGCATCAGTCAGATTCTGAATATTGGAGGCAGCTTTCTACCGCTGATCATTCAGGATATGGGCTTTACCGGTCTGCAGACCACTCTCCTGACACTCCCTGTTGGCGGTGTCGAGTGCGTTGCAATGGTAGTGGCCGGTGGACTCTCGTCCTACTTTGGGAGGGGCCGCACTATCATCATGTTTGCGGTGGCATGCCCGACTCTTGTTGGTGCTGTGCTACTTGAAAGATTGCCTCTGTCTAGCACCTGGGCTCGGGCTACCGGTGTCTGGTTGCTTCTCTGTATTCCCGCCTCATACGCCATTATGTTGAGCTTGATTGCATCCAACGTCGCAGGCACAACCAAAAAGGTCACTACAACCTTGCTATGCTTCGTATTCTTCTGCGTTGGTAACATTGTGTCTCCACAACTCTTTCTCTCCACAGAAGCTCCAACCTACGGAACGGCTATGCGGTCAATGTTGGTTGCCATGGCGTTGACTCAGCTTACGACACTTTTGCTTGGGGTTTATTACGTCTACGAGAACAGGAGAAGGGATAAGCTACTATCTCAGGCCCCACAAGATGTTATTATCTCTGCGACAGTATGCAATGAAGAATTTCGTGACCGCACTGACAAGCAGGACTATCTACGGTTCCGGTATGAATGGTAGAGGTCGAGCAACAGGATCTTACCAATCAGATAACTCGGTACATCAAAATGGACTGAATTCAAACGCATCGATGTTTATTAAATTAGGGTTGTATATTTGAAACATCCCTCAGATTTACTGTAGACTTGAATCAGTTCTTCCTAGCAATATGGTATCTCGAGCGGCCAACCTGGGCGCATTCTTTGCCAGCTGAAATCCTCCTTTCCCCAGCATACTTTAGGTAAATGAATAAGAAATCCCAATTCTCGCGAAATAACTTCCTCTTTCTACCTGAGAGCGGGAATACCCGGAGCAATACCAAATTGCGATTAGCCGTGTGCAGCAGTGCTCGTATTTAATACATTTGCGTAGCCTAGGCAGGTAAGCAGCAAAGTACAGTATTGTGCCATTCCTCTTCCGTCAACATCCATGTCTAATCTTTTGACCCGTGGCCGTGGGGAGGGGATTTGCCTGACTGTTTCCATCTCGTATTTGAGAATGCTCTAGAGACTGATTAGAAGTTTCCAAGTTTGTATCTCATTCCGTCGGGAGAAAAGAAAAGCCGGATTAGGCCGAATAGCTTTTAGCAAACATAAATTTTGGGGCCACATAGTTATTCGTGAACAGAAAGGGATGGAAAATGGGTACATTCTGGCCTGTTCAATTGACCAGATGATGATGATGAGAATAAGATCTCTATGCCTGTGGCCGGCGGCCAGGCAACACACGTACGGTATAATCACCTCAACATCAATTAGTAGATGGTCATAAGAAAACCAGGGACCGTCACGAAAGCTTGATAGAGGGTTCGCGCCTAAACATAAGATTTACAGCTGCAGTTCCAAAGTTATCACGCGGCCGTAATCCGTTACCTCTAAACTCAATCGAGGGCGACCACAAAACGTCTATCACTTCGCCGCGCGTACTTATTCCATGGCAAGCTCCTCTCGCTATTTTCAGAATACACAACATCGCTCCTGACCCAATCAGACCGAATAACATATCTCACCATGCACCATTTTGCTGCTTTGGCAGGGCTCATGCTCTTGGGTGCTTCTGTCAACGTAGGTGATCGTTTCGTCTACCTACAAGATGGGATTATGAACTAATCTTACAGTCTTAGGCCCATTCCAATAGAACCTTTGAAGGAATGGAAATTGTCGATGCTGAGTGGAATCTTGAGCTCAAGCCCGGTGGTCAAGTTGTGAACCTTACGGGCACTGTTGAACAAATTTACCCTCAACTTCTTGCGCTCAACCCCAACTATGAGGCAGACTGGGGTCTAAATAGCGAGCCCAATGTAGGGTATGGCAACTTTATTGCTGAAGGAGAGGATGAGGGACACACAAGACTGGCTACTCGGGCTAATGTTCCTCACATTCATCATAAGATTCCAGATGACCCCGACGAAGGTAAAAGATGGGCGGTTGCGTGGCTTAAGGGGTTAGAAACACTGCGACAGCAGCGGCAATCGGTCCAGCCAGCGAAGCACGTTGCTCAGTGGATTGAGGATGGAATTAAAGCATCCAAATCCCGCATTTGTCGCCACCGCTGGCGTATTAGTAACGGGGTCTACGCTAAATGTCGCACTAGGACTCCGGCTCAGTGCGCTGACATCAAGAAGGGAGCCGATCACTTGTACAATGTCCAAGGGATACCACAGCTTGCAGCTGGGAAATGCAGCCAAATGACCTGTAAGTACACCCCACTCCTAGATCGTATCGTCTGCGGGTTTTAATGCTGATCATGCCCATAGGTTCGAATAAATCCGCCATCATCTGGTGCAATACGTCTGGAAAGACCTATACTCATGACAAACATGGCTATAGGAAACTTGGTGTCAGCGCCTGGCTGATCTATGAGCAGTGCCAAGAAAAGGAACCGAGGCACTACAGGAATATGGGGAGACGGTGCTATGTCCGTGGGAAATATTTTTCTTGGCCCAAGAAGGGCCAGTGGTTTGTCCAGGTTCTTGGCGTGGATTCTTGCTCAGGGAGCTAGGCAAGCTAGTGCTCTCCAATTAGTCCTCGACATATCTATCTACTGTGACCTTAAGGCTTGTGATTTTAATCCGAGAATGCCTTATCAGATGACCGGGGAGCGTCGTGGCTTGGACAAACGTGCATACCAGTACAGCAAAGATCAATGGTAGGCAGAGAGAGGCCGATCGCAAGGGGCCGGGGGGAAGGAGAAGAAAGACAAGACAATGAAGAAGCCACTCAAGCTCACGGCATTTTCATCTTAGTTCAAGATTATTCACTTGACTACCTAGCAAAGATAGAGTGCCCTGGCTGAGTTGTTGCCCGAAAGTGAGCAGGGTCAAAAATACATCCACTCAACCATCACCAGCGGCAGAAGCTAGATATCAGTAACGCGACGAACACTAAATTCTACAATATCACTGCCTTTGCGATCCCTGCCTCGACAGAAGCGAAACTAACCTGATGGAGAAAAAGAGACGATGCTTATCTCCGAAAATGAGGTGCAGGGATACTCCTTTGCTTACAATTGGGGATCTATATAAGATACTAGACCGTAAGCCTTCCCGGTAAATCCGTTCTTCCCTATTAAAAAAATTATGGATCTGGCATCCAAGATTCCACAGACCAAATACAGATACCTGACGTCGTGGGCTTTTATAAACGGGCAACCCTCCGCTATATAAACCATGTCGTCCCCAATCCCACTCTTCTACCGATTCATCTTCCTGTGGTATGAGCCGTTGAGTGCAGCGTACGGTGTTTACCTTACTCTCGCCACCCCAAAGGTCTATCTGGGCCACTATTTCCCCGACAATTCTGCAACCTGGAGTCATGAATACGATTTCTGGTTTGGTCAAATGGCCGCTGCGTTTTTCTATGTCGCCACTAGCCAGGCCATTCTGTTTCGCTATACAAACGACATCGGAGTGTGGAAGATCCTCAATGCCTGTCTCGTAGGCTGGGACATTATCTTGCTCTACAGCTACTGGGTTGCGTCTAGTGCCCAGGGCAGGGATTCTCCCCTCCAATGGCTGCCTGGAGAATGGACGAAGTGGTCTCTTACATTTGGCCTCGGACTCATTCGGGCTGCGTTTGTTTTGGGGGTGGGGCTCAAGGGAGGAAAACCTTCTAGCAAAACGAACTGAAGTTTCTCACAGAGAGTACACATATTAGGACCCCTCTTGGCTAGCCCAGGAATTTCCTTTTCTTTGTCCCATTCGCTAGATCTGCGATCAAGGAAAAGCCAAGCCTTGGGTAACAGGAACATATAAGCTAGCAGGGAAGTTCTAACGATGACGGGGTGACAAGAGAACCCATCTAGAGGATTGGATGTTTGTCTAGAGTTCTCTCATACACAAAGCGTATTGTTAGCCCGGTCAGAAATTTCGGCACAGCCACTTAATCAACGGAAACAATCTGGATACGTTGGCTCTCTTTTCTTCATCTTCTTCTGTAGAGTAGATATACTACTAGCCTGCGAAGCCCCCTTGCCAACCCGCCCCCTCAGAAGATATTCTTGAAGATAGTGATACTTAGCGGAAAGGCGCTTGAGAGTTAATCGATCTTGCAACAGCTCACGTCTTTAATTTTGCCGTTCTATACCAGCATCTCGCACTATGCCGATCCAACTGAAATCCCGGCTGAGGACCTTGACTCGAATACTTTGTTACTGAGTCTTCTGGATCTTGACAGGCCTTTCTTCCAGGATCTTTCCGAGGCCAGTTGGTTATCAATGAGAAGTAGTTTAGAAAGAATCGGAAGTCTTGCATGGGTCACTCGAGGTCGCCTTTCTGCGAACCCCCATTCCAACTTGATGGTTGGGCTCTTACGCTCAGCCCCGAGCGAGCTCCCGCACTTGACAACGCAGTTCTTAGATTTCGAAGACGACAGCGAGCTAACAGCCCGTAGTTTAACAACTGCTGTTTTGCAGTTTGCGGGAGCATCGTGGCTAAAGAAGGAAGGTAACTATGCAGACATGTTACATACGACTGAGCCTGAGCTCATTTTCCAGAAGGGTGGCAGGGTCATGATTCCGCTAATGAAGGCGGAGGAGGCTATGAACAAGCGATACAACGCGTCTCGGCGGGCCATCACATCCAAGGTCCCGGCTACGAGGGCCTGTATCGGAGAGGGGCCGATGAAGCGCGGCTACTACGTTCGTGAAGATCGCACTTTGGAAAGTGCTAGGGAGGCTGAGGGCCCAGAAGTGAGAGTCTCGCACTCTTTCCTGAAGTCTATCCGGTTCAGCAGGGACGTGTCACTCTTCTTATCAATTGGCAAGCGTACGGATACAAGTGAACAGGTGCTCAGTTTGTCCCTGTCGAATGGAGTAGTTGTTCGCCCAGAGACTTTTGTAAAGCTCGAGACCTTGCCAAGCGAGAGTAGTCCTATACCCTTACTGCGGCTGGTATCTCTCTACCAAATATCTTCATTGATATTCAGGGGCTCTGAAGAGGGGGCAAGGGTCTTGTTTCATGATGCGGACACTGTACTCCAAGACTCTTTGAGGGCGGAAGGGCGGAGAAGAAACATCGAAATCGTTTGCACCACGACTTGCGATCGTGTATCAAGTGATCCCTACCAGCTTCATCCCAATGCACCAACAAGGAGTATCTGTGCCCTGCAACCTGACTTGATTACCAGTTTCGTTGATTTTGGAGTCACGGGAGAGGCGCAACGTGTTTCGCAACGGATCCTACACCATCTTAATGTTGCCTGCAGGCGAGAAACTACCAAACCCATCTTTGGCGGATTTAACAGGAAGCTCTCGAAAAGATCAAAAGAAGCAACTCGAAGCATCCTTCAAGATGCGATATCTCATGCATCCTCTTCCTTAGCAGATAGCTCGACAGCAGATGCAAACATCATCCTGCCTGAGGAGGTAGACAACATCGACCCCGATATTGCCCACCGGTATATCATCGACTGGGGAACAGAGGCTGAAGTGGAGGCTCTAGTAGAGCCAGCAGATACCTTCCCACTGTTTTCCAAGGAGACGGCATACTGGCTTGTTGGCTTGACAGGGACGTTGGGCTTATCACTCTGTCAATGGATGCTTCATAATGGAGCACGCTATATTGTTCTCACAAGTCGGAACCCCAAAATTGAGCCAGACTGGCTAAAGACAATGGCTTCTCAACAGGCTATCATCAAAGTTACTTCATGGTATGTCCCACCTTTCATAGTTCCTCTGGACTGGACACTTGCTGATCAAAAAACCCCGTAGCGATATCACTATCATGCAGGACCTGCAGAAGACGTATGAAGATATATGCTCGACCATGCCCCCCATTAGAGGTGTATTCCAAGGCAGTAGTAAGTAATCATCTTATCAGCTTGTTATAGCCCGTAAATTAACCATTCCCAGTGGTGCTTAATGATATTGGGTTGCCTAGCATGGGCCTCGAGCATTTGCAAACCGTCTTGCGACCCAAGGTTGAGGGAAGTATAAATCTCGACAAGCTTTTCCAAGACAACTCACTAGACTTCTTCATCTTTTTCTCGTCCGTGACGTCCTTAGTTGGCACGCTATATAATTATTATAAGCCCAGCCTCTTTATTTTATTTGGAAATAAAAGATCGCTAACCTAGCATTCTACTCTAGAGACAGGCAATATTTGCAAACTCAGCCTGGTTATCTTATATTACTTAATAACAAGTGATCTTTGTAAATTATACCTTTTTATTACTCTCAGGGGATATTAATTTGGTTCAGCATAGCCGTCGGCAGTTAGGACAAACTTTGCATATACTATGTTTTCTCCTGGACAGGTAGACTGAAATGCAGTATGGTTATTAGATATTAATACTTATGATTCTGAACATATATAGTACTAGTATCACCGCTTTTGAACGTGGCAACCCCAGTGGCAGCCCCTGTGGCACCCTCTGAGGTGTATGGGTATACCTGTAACTTGTAAGAAGCTACAAATGTCAGAATATTCTGCCGGTCCTGTCACCAAGATATCTCCAAAGAATGTTTAAAAATCACCTTTATATCAAATGAGGCGTCTAAGCCAATGGGGGTTCAACATGACATAACGCCATACTGTGCAGTATAGCGTTTAGTGTATTGTGATAATATATAAGTCAAACTATCTAATGTTAAGCTCGCGTTGGCTGCGCGTTAACGCCACCACTGTATCCTGTTCTAGCTCTACCTTTGTCCGCGTAGTTTCCATCCCTACTAGTAGCCTTGGTAGCAGTCTTGACAACTTAAGGGTTGCAAAGGCAGTACTGGCCCTTGGTAGCAGTCTTGGAGCAGGGACCGCAACCAGTGGTCTTGGTCGATTGACCCTCCTTGTAGCAGCGGTATCGGCGCTGGCCCTTGTGGTCGGTACCGTTGGGCTTGCAGGTACCGTTGCCACCGAGCTATCGTATTTGCGTCAGCTATGGATCGGGCGAGATTATTTGCAAAGGGAAAGTCTTACGCGGCGGAACAAGTCACGCTTCTCGATGTACTCGTCACGAGCCTGGAGGTAGTCGGACTCGGCCTGAACAGCCATATCACGGACCTCTGGGGCTGTGAAGGCGCTGGCGGCGGAAACGCTGAGGAAAGCGAGGGTGATGGTCTTGAGGAAATGCATCTTGAAGAAAAAAGAAGTTGATAAAAAAAAGCTGGCGGTGAAATTCAGTTGATAGAGGAGAAGAAAAAAGTGAAGAAAAATATTGGACTAGAATACTGTTGAAACTGTTGCTGATTATGATCTGAGAAACGACAAAGCGAGGAGGGATGCCGTGCTTTATATGCCTTTCCTTCTGCCTCTTGTCCATCACCCTGAGCTCTGGTATACACGTCTCAAGGATCTTAAACGTTAGTTTATAATATAACTCCATCATAACATTGAGTAGACAGTACATATATCTGATGGTTACTGGTATAGAGTATCAAGTCGATCTACATCATAGTGATGTATAACCTTATTGCCATATTAAATGAGCTGACCTCCATCTGTTGCCGGGACCCTTTATTCAGGGTTTATAGTGTATACCACAGAGTACTCAATACCTACATGAGCATCAGAGCCAATCGTGATGATTGAATACTGGCCCTGACATCTGTGATCCTTGAGGGTTATAAGTGGAACCTTGCACCTCACCTTAATTCGAAGAGTGGCCGTGCGTACGTCCAGGGTGCGTGCTGCTTTTGAGGCAAACTCGGCATTATTTCCAAACGGCGGAATTGTTCGGCAATTGCTGCCGGTACCTACTCGAAGGATTCGCTCGGCACATCTGCAGGAACGTAGGAACAAATTAGTGACCCCTGAATATCCATGCTATTACCCCATTTTATCTCTCACTGTGACGCGATGGATTGTCAGCCTTTGATTCTTTTAGAAATATCTTCACATGAAGCCTTGGTCACCAGTCTGTATACTTATCATCGTCATGGTGAGAAGACTAAAATAGTCCTGGAAAAGGAAAGAAGAAGAAAAAAAAAACTCAGTTCGGCTGAGAGTGTATTTATCGTGTAGTGAACAAAGGCAAACGACGGATAGAATATCGCTCCTCAAGGAATGCTATCTCAAAGCATGAGCCCCAGCTCTAACTACTAGAGCAAGCACGCAAACCTCTCCACTCTGGTTTCTCAATGTTGCTGCCTAAGCCGCTATCTTGTAACATTGAAACGCCCGAAAGCTTCTAATTGGTCAATGGCAGTGAAAAATAGCAGCAGATGTTAGCCACGTTGGGTATGGGTCCCATGGGATTAACTGGGGTTGAAACATGGTATTTACTTGCCGATGGGCTTAGCTCTTACAGGTACGTAATTCACCCAAAAGTCGGTTGAACTAAAGCTAAACAAAGAAGTTGAGGCAGCCTATCGCCGCCCAGAAATTGAGCAGAACTTCCACCTGTTCATCGGGGAATTTTCGTTGAGGCTCTACTATAAATGGATGTTGTGCAAAAGATAGACTTCTCAATGGTAGGTGGGTTACTGAGGGAGCAAGCAGTGAGGCGGGTGAAGAAGATTGAGGGAAATGAAGCGTAAACAATGACAATCGGTAGATAAGCACATGTCGAATTAAAATTTGAAGCACGCCAAGTGGTTGCCTGTTAATCCTGGTCATGACTTAAGAATAACCTCCCTATACGTGTTGATTCTTCTGCCTTCATCTCGCCACCCATCATGGCTCTGGCATGTCGAAGTGTGGTGGATCATACAGGGTTGATGACCCGACGATTCATGTCCTGTAAGATGTACTTAGTGGGCGTAGTTTGTACCAGGTGTAGGCTCGACTATTCGCTGGCACCACAACAGGGGCAGAACTCCTGGTCGACGGTCCTGATCCTATCCATTCCCTTGGCTAAAAGCTGTCTCTACGAACCCTGTACCGTAAGAACCCAATTGCGAACCGTGTGGTGCCCCCGGCTTTGTTCCCTATACCTATTAACAAGTCAATGCCTGCAAAGCAGTCCCAAGGGCAAGCGAAGCTGCGTAGGGGAGTCAGCGTAAATAGAATCTAATTTACCTGCCTAGGCAGCTCGAGGCAGCAGCTGTTGATCGCATTCATTATCATCACGGCAAATAGGATCTGACTTACCTGCTCAAGGATGCTCGAGGCCGCGGCTGTTGATTGTGTTCGCCTGGATCGCGGTCAGCGGGATCAAGGAAGGGTCTCACTTACCTGCTCGAGGCTGCAGCTGTTGATAATAACACACGCGCGTACATAGCCAGTGATAGCAGCTACGAAGTCACGATGTCACTCAGACCAATTAACAGTCGATAATTCAAATTAACTAATTACCAGTCAGTATTGCGAATTACATGACTGCAAAACGTCCTATTATAGAAGCAAATCCAGACGCTGCGCTCCGGCTGTTGCCTTCACACATCATCAAGCTTCGCTTATTTATAGCTCATAGTGGATTCTCCGCGCGTCTCGCTGCCGCGGAGAAATGTGGCACGCCCGTCCCCTGGTTCCTACCCCTGGCTGACGGTAGGCATTTGTAGCCTTGTACTCTCCCCAGTTATCATGGACGTCTTGCTACGACGGTACAGAGTTCGACAAGGCCCCCATGCCGCCCAGCGTCCTCCAGCCCCTCTTTACTTATAAGTTATTAGCCTAGTTTACGACGATGCAAACAAGGTGAGGGCTCAGAACGACTTCTCGGTCGATGTCGGCTTTCTATATAGAGCTAGCACACCGAGAAAAGGCAGGACAGAGTCTGACATCCGATTAACTCGGCGCGGAATAGACTGGGTAGCAGCAGATACGGGGTCTGGATGTTAAAAGGTGGCTAATATATTTTAAAATTCCTTTTATAATTCTTCCTAAGTGAGAAAGTTTTCAGCACAGGACATAGAAGAATTTAATCTACTCATCATCAAGTACAAAATACAACGAGTGGATAACTTCGATATAATACCTGGTGATATCTTATTATTCTTATGCTCCATGCTATATCGGAAGAGAATTCATGCGTAAGGTCACTACGCTTTCTCAACAAAGTGTCCCTTGCCTGCTGACATCTCCGGGATATCGACGTCAGTAATAATACTATTGATCTGGTTCTTAATCTTGACAAAACCACTGTCCACACCCTCGGCTCTCTACCTATAGCAGTCTCCGGTAAATCTGCTGCTCTCAAATAGCCACTGATCCCTCCTCCGCCTGCATTCGCCATAGACAGCAAAAAGTACCTTAAGATCGGCGGGCGAGTTAACCGCTTCATCAGATAGCAGTACAGCTAAGACAGCGCTATCTTCGATATAGAACCCGGATCTAGCACCATGATGTGGAGATGTTGCATACGCTTGATAGAACGAAGGCACTGGATTATCATGAAGGTTGGAGATAGCCTACTGAATAGGGTAAGAAGGTTTGGTCAGCTACTGCCGGGTTTTGAATAGGAGAATATATAATCTGGACCTACCGTAGTTAAGCTTTCCTCTACAGACCTTACAGGCTTCTGGAATCAGGGTCCGGCACTTCCTAAGGCCTATCAAGCATATTTGGATGCGAGCCGAGACGACCACTACGCGGAAATCGAGGCAGCCTTCAACTACACGTGCAAATTTCCACTACTTAAGTTTTCGTCCCGGCGGTGCTCCTTCACTGTTGGTCACTATGATGCATACAGGCGCCTTTTCGCTGAAAGAGTAACTAGATCATCAAGTTTTAGGTTATGGATTTCTACAACTTTCTCTTATCATGCATGTCTACTCAGCAACAGCGGATAGGAGAAATCATTCAACGCTATATATAAACAATTTAGACGCATGATCAATCTAAAACTAGAATCTAACTCGTCCCTACAAGTAAACAGATATACTAACTGGCGGGGGCAAGATTCGTAGATCTAACCAATATAACTTCTGTTGTGCCTCAAACTCGCCGTATGGCCATCATTTGTTTTTGCTCTATATATTTGTGTCTACCGGGTACCTTGGATTGTCCTCTACATCTGCTTCAAGCATGCCCGCATGAGCCCGGAAGGCAACCACGTCAGTGTAAGAAGGCAATTGACACATAATACGTTACTAAGAGACTTAGAGAGGAAAATGCGATGAAGAAGGTTTTATTTGTTTTGGATGAACAGACTATGCGAGATTTGTATATCGATTGGATACCTAAACATCGATACTCCTTTCCAAAGTTATGGCGCTCTTGTATTACGCGAGCGCAGAGCGTCAATCACTTCTGCCGTCGAAGCCGTACCGCCAAATATTCTTAAAGCGTGTATGGCGGCTAAATGGTCTGCCTCATTGCATGTTCCTGTGGCGTCACTAACAGTCGTCGTGCCAAAATTCCTCATATATGCGTCTCGAGCCGTCGTCTCGACGCAGACATCCGTCCCTACTCCTGTTAAAATGACATGATTAACACCACGCTCCTTCAAGGTCTCTTCAAGTGTTGTATTGAAGAAGCCAGAAAATCTCGTCTTGTCGATGACAGCCTCGTCAGGTTCGGGCGCAAGTTCGTCGAGAATGTCGGCATCCCAAGAACCTTGTACAAGACCTTGCAACCGTTCAATCTTGTCCCCTCTATCCCGGCCGCGCCTGTTGGAGTAGTCGGCGTTGTAGCTTGTTCTTAGGAAAAAGACCGGCAGATTGGCGGCGCGGAAAGCGGAGCGTAGTTCGTTGATGTGCGGAATGATCGAGCTTGGCTCGCTCTGCATACCTATCTTTGCAAAGCTACCCTTTTCATGGCAGAAGCCGTTTTGCATGTCGACCACCACAAGCGCTGGAGAAGAATCAAGTTGAACCATCTTGTTTGGATTGTTTAAGGCTTTATTGAGAGGACGTTAAGATTGGTATTAACTTGCCCGCGCCTTGAGGCATGTAAGTCGAGCGGGGAAGAACCACAAAATAACTCATTGAGGATAATCAGCGGGGAGCCGTTAGGATCACGGGTACCCCACCCAAGATTGGCTAATTGGGACTCTGCCTCTGACAGCGAGATATTCGATGATATCCGTCTCAGTCGTATGAGGTAGAACTTTCAGCAACTCGATAGTTTGAGGATCCTGCCTTATCCTGAAACGAAATAGCCACCGCAGGTTGGTAGCCAGACAAGATTTATAAGTAAAGGCGTGCTCACTGTTAAGGCCCTAAGTCTTATTTCACCATCATCACCAGATCCACTCTTAGCCATCAGTTTCAGCAGTTATATTGAATAAATCTAAGAATTTTCCTTCGTTATGCTGATTGTTTATGTTGAAAGGTTCGGGTCTCTAGTATAGAGAAGATTAGGAATGTTGAAAGAGCTTTTACAATTCTTGATTTAACCATTTCCTGGTGTTCAAGTTTCCCCGTATGACCTTTCAGTTGATATTAACTCCGCCGAGCCCTCGATATAGATTCCGTTGGGATCGACAATATGGCGTAGAAGTTTTCATTTGCAATCTCGTTTCCTTATACGAGTCACGCTTTCCTTGGAAAGTGCGCCTTTTTGATTGCCTTATGGTTCGCGACCTGCATATGTAGCCACTGCGCCACACATCTGATTAATATGGCTGACGCCCCTGTCTTCACACGAGCGTCTGAAGTAGGTACATTTAGGGTGCGTCGATTGGCTGTTGATCACTTATCCAAGGCTGCGCCACGCAGCTGAGATTCAACATAAGCCAGTTTAATTACAACCTGCATGAGGCTACGAACTGTGTGGAGTTGCTTATTTCTTTTTAATAGGTTTGCCCATCGCTCCTTGATAGCAAACTAACTTTTCCATGGAAACCTCCTGCTTCCTGTGTCTCAGCAAGTGAGAAGCATCATGGCTGATCCTTTGAGTATTGCGGCATCAATAATCGGCATTGCAGCCGCCGCGGCCAAAGTGGCTGGTTTTTTGTCAGCTTTCATCTCTAGCACTGCCGATGCACCAATATCTGCGGCATCAGCCCTGGCATCAGTAGAGGAGATGAAGATTACGCTATCCGCCATCCAGCCACTGATGGACTCTCTCCACGCTGTCCCATCATCTCGAAAAGGGTTGATTCAACTAGACCATCTTTCAGTCATCATCACACACTCGGTTTTGACAATATCGGAGTTAGAATCCATTGTCTGCTACGAAGACGGACTCATGCACCGTATTCGATGGGCGTGGAACGAGAAGCGAGTGCTTGGGCTGCTACCTCGGCTGGACTCTCAAAAGTGCTCCCTGGCACTAATGGTCTCCATATTGCAAAGGTAAACTCCTAACTTCACTCAGCGCCTGCTCTCCGATAAATAGAATGACTAAATTATATTGGCTCTGGCATAGTGAATCTGATATCAACGCTCGTGAGTGCCAAAATCGGCTGCTCCTGAAAGTAGACGAAATCTTGAAACAGAACGAGGCCCTAGTAGAGCGTCTACAACCAAGACCAGGAACGTTTAACGTTGGTGTGCCTTCTGTGAAGTTCCTTGATGGCTCGGCATCATTCATGTCCGAGAGACGGGTGTCAATTCAGAGTGTCAGGAGTCTCGCTGGCTCAGCTCTGAGCACGGCGCGAAGACAGTCAATCATTGCGATTTCCAGATTTTCCATCGCTTCCCACTTTGAAACCGCCCTTGCGAAGTCAAGAGTGTACACTCGCGCCGTATCGGAAGAAGACATGTCGTTCACGGCTTCCACGGCACCGACCAACGCTTGGAGTATGCTATCTGGTCTAAGCCTGAATGATATCTCCGTGGTTTCCGCATTCCGACTTCCGCTGAATCTCGATGATATCGATACATTCGCCCCAGGATCGACATTTTCAACTCTTCTCACTCAAGAACTAGCTACTCATGAGGTGGTGCAACCAGAGCAAATTTTAATGCATTACGTCACGAATACGGAAACAAATAGTGCTTCTCCAAAGCAGTCACAGAGCTTAGAGAAGCAAGCATCCATTGCTGTCACTTCTCCATCCATAATTACAGCATCCGGACCTTCGTCTATGAAAGGTTCAATGAAGTAAGAGATTTTCGGTTGGGAAACTTTGGCAATTATACTGAATATAAAACCACAGAATCGTCCTAATTGGGAACAGAAACTCTCTCAAGAGTGAGATGCTTCACGCCTATTTGAATCCAAAGGAAGCTTCCGAGACAAGATATATACCACCGGGACAAAACACTTTCAATGTTATAGCTAGGTATGACTCACGTTATGGTTTAGATACCATTTTGATTGCCTCGACAGCCAATTGATTAACACAAAGTAGTTTCAACCGAAAGAAGTACAATATATCTCTGCAAGACACAACCGGACAAGAAAAGTATCACAGCCTACGCCAGCTTAGCTATGCAAACACAGATGTGTTTCTGGTTCTTTCGAATGAGGAGGTTGACACGGATTTGAAATCTGTTAAGGAGCTGTGGCTTCCCGAAATCTCATATTATTGCCCCAGTACACCTTGCATCGTGGTTAGAACTGGAAAGCGGAAGCATTCATCGGCCCCGTCATCTCCAGTAGTGAGGGGAGAAAAATCGAACCGCTCCTCGGTGGAGTTGAATTATGGCTCGAAGACTTTCAAGCAATTGTCCTGTGACGTAAAAGATTCAAAGAGTGTTAGGATCATATTTGGACAAGTAAGTGCCCCCTCCTTGACTTGATCGCTACCTTATCCCAAGCTGTATCGGGCTCTAATGTGTTTTCAAAATAGGCAATATTAGCAGCATCAAAGGATCGTGAAAACCACACCAGCCTCAGGAGTTTCTTGGAATCCCGGCAACAGGCACGAACCATCGCATCTCCGTCACAGCTTTTCAGATAATAATATTCTTCCTTCCCAACAAACTAAATATCGAGTACGAAGAAAAGCCGATAAATCTACAAGTGTCAGCTATGATCACTTCGTACCCAAGGCGGGCTGAGTTGGCCCCTAATCGAGCTCAGGCTTATGAAAACCGCCAGCCGCCCCGTCCTCAAATCCATCTTAATCGCGGTGTAACTATGTCTACGTGAGTTTCGAATTGATGGTCTTCAATCGTGTATGTTTGGTGCAGTACACTAACCTTTCAAAGTCGCGGATGAAACAACTTGGACCTTTCTTCCAAGCCGATCAAATGGCAAAGTATTTTTGACCAACACCGAGCAAAGTCAAGATAAAGAGCCTGAAGTCAACCAACGAAGTAAAATTATACATGGGTTAAAAAAAGAGGCTGTTATAGTGGGGAGGCCATGATAGATGCATGAGAAGATGGGAAAACGATGTTCGCCTACCTACTTTAATCAATCTGTTCAAAATGCAGATAGATTTGTATTATCTATATTATATATGATTTTGCTCCTCTCTCTGTGTATCGTAGCGCCAGTGCTAAATACGGTGTCTGTAAGGCTCTTGCGATAGCGTCAGGAACGCTGTAGAAACGACGCTATATCACAATACATATATGCCTTATAGAACTCTGACGATTTTGCCTAACAGCTTTGCTTACTCCCGGACTCCTGGCTAAGAACCGTGAAGACCGCTGGTTCGCTCGCCCCCGGCTTCTGTTTTTCTAGGTGGGTGAAGAGTTGTTTTGTTTGCGCCAAGCGTAATGAAGTCAAAGAAACAAAAGAGGAGTAGCAAACAAAATAAAAAGTGTCTTGACTACACAGTAGGTTTCATTATTAGTCTATTGATACTGGTCTCAATATCTCATGTTTTCCATGAATACTGCATTATCCCTACTCTTCCACAGACAGAGGATTATATGCGCCAATGGCGTTTTCATCCCAGAGCGTGCCTTTAAGACTATGCTTCCTCGACCAAAATTTCACCGACCATCTCGGACAAGGCTCTACCAATGCCGTATTGCCGAGTTCGGCCAACCAGACTTGAGGCGACGCGTCAACCGCTCGTACTCGCATACACTCTTCAGGATCCAACGTATTCCAAGCGGAGCGAAAATCCAGTAGTGACGGCTGATGGCCTGCTATATCGACATTGATATACGTGAGTGGACGTATTGCATCATTGTAAACATCCCCGGTGAAGGGATTACCCTCGAGAGCGGAAATCCATCGGCGCTTGACATCCGCAGGCTCCGAACTGTTGCCATCAGGTCGACCCACTATGACAACTTCCAAGTTGGGGCTGCGTAACACGTCGTACCAGAATTCTTCCTCGATTAAAGGGTTGTACAGATATAGGCGGCGAAGTTTTGGCCAGCGCGTTGCCCAAACCTCCTCCTGTTCAATTGCCTGGGGGCCCGTTTCAGTTCCCACATACAGTTCGTCCTGGAGACTAGCAAACTCCTCGAGGTTCACGAGTGCCTCGAATCCACGCCGCAAGACAGCCTTCACTCCTAATTGGTCCTCTTCTGGGTAGAGGGAGCGGAGAGGGATGTTCACAATGAGCCTCCGTAGCGTGGGCGCGACTGCAATAAAGATGTCCTGGACCGCGGTCGCCACCGGCAGATCGTTAATTTGTGGGTGCGGACATGGACTTAGTACCGCGAAATCATCTCCGTCGTCAGCTCCATCTCCGTCAACCTGTTCTGCTTCATCATTGTTTTCTTCCTCCACTTCTCCAGCCATGCTATCATTGTGGCCTTCCTGAGTGAGATCGCTTGGGTCGTAGGAATTAGGTTTCACCAAAGCCAGTGTTCCCTCGACCTCGTCCGTGTATTGCAGAAAAGACTCCATGAAGATGGATGTTATGCCCACGAACGGCGACCTATGTCCTGGCATCGACTGAGAGCTGGCGAGAGAGAGGCATCTCGCAAACCTCAGCGTGCGATCCTCCGAGTCAAGGTAGATGCAGTGCCGGGTAAATATAGCGCTAGCAGCCTCATTTGTTGTTTTGCAAAGGCGCATAAGTATCATCAGCGTCTTGGTCGTTGGGTGCGCGGGGGGTAAAAACTCGGGCCCTGCTGGTTCAAGGAAGCTGACGACATGAAGCAGAAGCTCATTGGGGAGGCGTTGTCCCTGACTTGGCCGCGCGGCCTGTTCTTGAACGGAGAGGCTTTGCATCGTGTCCCTGGCTGTGATGATGAAGCTTCCAAGTGCAAAGGGTTTCTTGTTTATCTTGTGACGGCACATAAGGCACTGGATCTTAAGTTGGGCAGGAGCTACCTTACGGTCAGCTGACAGCCTCAGATATGAGACATCAACTCCAGAGGTGGCAGGCGCTGATCTACCCTGAAGCCTTACGATTGTTTCGCCCAAGGTATGTTGTTATTTGTGCTGCTCTTTGACGTCTCCATGCCTATATACTCTCAATTAATACCAGATATTATTTTACTGCTTTCCTCAGTACTGACCTTACAAAAAATATATATCCCTTCAAGTCACCTCGAATATACCATAGTTAACTCTCTCCTCAAAGCTGCGATGAATGTCCTAGGTGCAGCGCGCCTTCCTCATCTTGCCCACAGGCCAAACCTCACCCTCCTGAGACGATCGAGCCACCCGCCTGGTCGTGGCGTGATATCCTCCTCAGACTCCTGGTCAGATTCCGACTCAGGTTGAGGCTCATGAAGGAAGGCTGTGTCCGTAGCAATCCTTGACCATTCAGGATTATGAAGCTTCAGTTGGTCGCTTTCGACCATCATGCTTCTCTCAGCATACTCGCGAGCTGTGGCGCTGACCTCCAACTGCCGACGCTGAAGCACGGCATCTGGGCGAAATACCACCGTAACAATATAATAGTCAATGACACCTTCCGAGGTCTCGTCACGAATCCATCTCTGTTGACCCCACCGGCTTGTGCCTCTCCACCGGCTCACAGCACTCTCTGCAGCGAAAAGAACCTCGCCATCGGTTCTGCGGAAGGACCACTTGTCCTTCATTTGTCTTGCTATCTCGTCGACCTGGGACTTCTTGCGCTCAAGCGACTCGAGCTCAATCCTGATTTCGCCCACGCTAGACGGCACCGATCCAGATACAACTTTGATCCATTCCCCTTCAAAGCGCAGTGGTTCGTCGTTCTCCCAAAACCACCAATCTGCGTGCCGAATAGTCAACGTGACGACACGAGGGCGAAGCTCTGGGGTGGTCAGCAGCTTATGAAGGTGCCCACCCTCAATCATGAACATTTGCGCAAATACATGGAGCCTTTCAATCTCAAAATCTCGCTGCTGCTGGGCCCTGATCGTGTGCAGACTAAAGGCGAGCTTTGCCAACTGCTCGTGGAAGCGGTAACCTGGCGGCGCTCTATGCTGGTTCCCCACGACCCAATGGACCTGCTCACGGAGGAGGAACGGAAGAAACCAGCATTCGAGATAGATGGCCCGGCATGTCTGCAGCAGCGCCGTGTCGCTCTTGCGGGGTGCTAAGTAGGACGGGCGGGTGTAGAGAGTTGATGTACCATAAGCCCTATCTGGATCGGGGTCGGGGTAATCTGTCAGTGCGTAAGAGAATATTTCATATCGGATCTCTGGTGGTAATTTCTGGAGAAGAAGTGATGTCATCTGGGGATCTGGGCATGCTTTGGCCAGAATTCGCTGGTGCAGTGCGACGGACGAGGATGCCATTTCCACAATGGTGAAGGAGATATGAAGTAGGATATAATTATCGATGATTTTTCCCGATGATAAAAAGTCTCCCAAGTTGGGTAAACCGATGACTGAAGATACTTAGGCAATGCCGGCCGCTTTTCAATGACTTTGGCCCTGGACGATAAGTAAGCCTGATGAAACTCCAGGCAGCAGCGGGGTTTATTAACGCTCCCGGTCGCCTCCTTTAAGCAATAATGCACGTATAGAAATAGATGAGTGCCCTGGTGCAGGATTTCGTATTGATTACGTCGTGCATTTCATCACGTCTAGTATGTACCTTGTACAGCGATGTACAAGTACCTACCTTACCTACCTACGCTGCAGTTCCACGTGACCGCACTGTTGGTCCTCGATACTTAAAACCAACATGAATTCCCATTCACGCACAATAAGGAGTATCGTTAAAAATTAGCAAAATAAATCAACTTCTTTCTCATCATGGGTCCAGCCCCAGCCTCAATACTTGACCTCTCGCCGGAAATTCTGGTTCAGATATTGGAATATCTATGCCCACACTGCTCGGGCGAGGTTAAAGGCACGGACACTCGAAGCCTGGGAACTCGGGATTCACGCCTCGTGGAAGCCTCACAATCCAACCTACATGGACTCTCGACATCTTGCAGGAAGCTGAGAAATATTGCACAGCCCTGCTTATACCACTACATTGTCCAAACTGAAAACGCCAGGTTGATTGCCCGTACTCTTCTCCAGCGGCCGAGCCTTGCGCAAACAGTTGAAGGGCTATCCATCACTGCCTTGGACTTCAACGGTGAAGATGATGAGACCCTCTCAGACGAAGATTTAGCGACATTGGAGGTAGGGATATGGCATTATTCCCTAAATAAACTGGTCAGCTAGCTAATTCAAAGATAACTTACCAGTTGCAGATGCAAACAGTTAGCACGGATGCCCTAGAGAACGACACATTTGAGCGAGAAAACATTCTAGGAATGTTGATGCTAGGCCATACCCCCAATATACAAAAGCTCTCTGTGTTAACAGATTCCTTCATCCCTATGATGTATTATCCAGACGGGGCCTTATCTTGCCTCACAATACTCCGTGCTAACTGCGATGACACTGAAAATGGGTTTGGCCTATCGGCTCTTGCGGGCATTATGAGGGCCGCTCCGAATTTGAAGACATTCGTTGCAAGTAACCTTGTCAAAGTCTCTCTCGAGGAAGGCGAAATATTTAGTGAAAGCGTCACGGAAGTTAATATCGCAGAAGCCGCAATATGGAAAGAGGATTTCGACATGCTAATTCAAGGGTTTCCAAGCCTTCAAGTCTTCCGCTTCGAGACTGGCGGAGACCGTGCCAATTATATATGGTGTGCGAGCCCAGCTGATATGGCAAAGTCTCTGTTAGCTCGCAAGGAGACACTGAAGAAACTTAACCTCAGCGTAAGTGCTGAATTTTTCCCTGACGGGAAGCTAGAAAGGGGCGACATGATCGACGATTTGTCTCGCATGACAGCTCTTGAATCTATCACCCTCAACATCGACTCCATCTATACCGAATTTGGCGCCGACTTCTACGATAGTGATTCCGACGACGACTTTTATGAATATGGTCCATCTCTTATTGACCTATTGCCAGAATCCGTCAGGGTCTTGGGCATCGTGGAACCTTCAGATGTTGAAGACGGCATCATGGAATTAGCTGCTTCTGCTCCTGAAAGGTTTCCACTGCTTAGAAAGGTCATGCTCCAGTACGTGAACGACAATATGTACATGGCGTTCAAGAAGGCATTCAAGAAGGCAGGGATAAAGTGCGTTAAGTCCAAACGCTTGGACCTCATCGTACATGCATAGCAGGTCCTGCATTGTTGAACAAAGATACATATGCCCTAGAACGTTACCATTATGTATATTCCGTAACTTTCATATAACATCCCTGATGGCGGACTGGAAAAGAGAGGCTACTTTATAGGTTCGGTGTTTCAAGAATCCAAAGGCATGCATCTGAGATCCATGAACACAATGTCAACTACAATAGAGGTAGATTATTTTGGCCTGATTCAATCTATCTCCCGCACAGACACACTTTGACAACGAGTGATAGTCAAGGTCACACAATACGGCCGCAGACGACCAGAAACACTTAATTTGTCCATCTTGCAGGAGAATTATCTGCCATAATGCATAACCGTTGCGGCATCTTGATTTTTAGTCTGTCGTGACTTTTTCTTTTCTCATCAGTCTCGATGTTAGTTTCACAACCTTGAAGGTCGATCATTTCAGCCCACCCAAGAAAACTCAACCCATCACTGTCTATGACCTACTAACCCCCTTTTGTTGCCGGAGAACATTGAATTGTTTCTCACGTGAGAATTCAAGGGTTAATCCCAGCCGCAAGAAGGACTCTGTGGCAAATTTATGTACCAATAGAGGAAGCTGAGTAGACAACAGCACAAGGGGCTTGTTGCTTTCTCCTAATTGAGGTTTAACTTGGATCAAATCTCATATTTTAACTGAGAAAGAAAACAACAAGGTCATCAATTACGTCGTACAAGGATCAGTAACCGGGTTGACACAGGCTGACCGCGCTGACCGCAACTCTGTTATTAAGTAAGCGCCGACATGTTTGCAGAAACATAGGCAGAACATAAGGCGGGGCCCAGCTTTTTACACGTCAATCCTTTTTTATCCTCCGATTCATCACTAAAAACAACACGCGATGGGCAACTCTTCTTCAACCCAGTTCCGGCGATGCGGTCTCTGCTATTTCGAGCTTGAACCGGGGACACCATACCTCAAAGACCCTCCTGTGTCCCGCCGTGCAATACCAAGATACCCACCACAAGACTGGGCCGAGGGGGCACTTGATGAGGTGGTGGTTCCTATCAAAACCGACCGAATGATAGATGTGACGACCACCCTCGACGCTTTTTTCACATCTTCACGTCGAAATTGTGGCGGTTGCGGGGCGATTGTGAAGCTCATCCAGGACCAGCTGAAACACAGTGGTTCTGAAATCGATAAGGAAGCACCCACGCCATGCAATGTGATTTGGTCGGTGCCAGACACGGGTAATGCCACACACTGCCTGCATATATCTTTTATGAGTATCAAGAATGGGAGCCTGTTCAAAGAGTTTCTGATGCTCTCCGTAATTGCGGACACTCTTCCATCCCGTGAGTTCAGCGTCGTGGTTAAACTCAGGGTTAAGACTTGCACTGATTCAGTTTCATAGCTCATATTTTCGCCAAGAAGGTGTCGCCTGGGTTTAAGTCAGGTTATACGGGATCTAGCGCTTCTCTTCAGAAGGCCAAGGGATGGGTTCAGGCATGCGACTCATCGCACAAGGCGTGCCAAGAGCAACGTTTGTCTCAATCACCATCTTTTCCTCATCGCGTCCTGGAACTCTCCCCGAACGAAAGCGGCGAGATAATGGTTCGGATAGTGCAAGGTCTCAGTACCCAAGAGCCGTATACTTGTCTGAGCCACCGTTGGGGCCCGTCAACCCTTCGCTGTCGAACGATAACAGACAACCTAGATTCACACTTGGAGTGTGTGCCGTGGACGAAATTGCCCAAGTCATTCCAGGAGGCTATATCTGTGACAGTATATCTTGGAGTCAAATATATCTGGATAGATTCCCTTTGCATCATCCAAGACGATAAAGAAGACTGGAAAATACAGGCCGCTCAGATGTGTAACATCTACCGCGGCTCTTACTTGACTATCGCCGCCACCAGTACAACTGACAGCGACGATGGCATGTTTTCTCAAACACCTGTCCTCGCGGTCCCTACCCCAAGCTCGGCTAAGCAGCAGCTGTTCCTCAGAAAATATCCAGGACATGCCTATAGTGATCTCAAAGATAGCACAGACTTCCCTCTTCTTAGCCGAGGTTGGGTATATCAAGAGCGGCTGCTTTCTCCCCGGACATTGCACTTCACCAGCAATGAAGTCAGGCTCGAGTGTCTAAGTACCGAAGCACTTTGTGAGTGTGGCATGGACTACATCTGGATAGAGAAGGGGGAGCATAATCAAATGCTTGTGGAACAGGACCCGATGACCATCGGAAATAGCTGGGATAGTATCGTCAACTGCTTCTCTGCTCTCAGCCTGACCTTTCAGTCTGATAGGCTCCCAGCACTGGCAGGTATCGCAAGGCTGTACGGAATGACTCACGGCCCAATCCTTGGGCAGTACGTGGCGGGCCTCTGGGAACACAGACTCGTCAATAGCCTGTTGTGGTACACAGGATCGGGATCTAGTGTCCGGCGACCTGCCCAGTATTCAGGGCCCTCCTGGTCATGGACTTCGACTCCTTCAGAAGCTAACTTTCCCAAGTTCCAATGCGTGGAAACTGTTCTTGATCTAGTCAAGTTTCACGTTGAGCTGGCCGGTCCAGATGAATACGGCCCAATCACAGATGCAACAAGTCTGACGCTTCGCGGCTATCTGATCACGGGGTCATGGAGGCCAGTTACCGAACATGGTGTGGAAAGGCCGCAATTCTACGCGCATGACGATGCCTCCGAATCTCACCACATTCACCTGGATTATAATTTCAGCGATAGTGAATCCAAAGGATACATACTAGAGGGTCATACAGTCTACTGCATGAAAACAGGCTTTTTAACCGCTGGGTGTCATGTCTGTTTACTTCTACGTCCGCTTGGTCATGAAGAAGATAAGTTCGAACGCGTCGGTCTATTGAGGACGGCACCGCGGAAGAGCGTTGACGACTGGTTTGCGGGTGTTACCACTAAAAGGACTGTTGAAATTTTCTAGACCTAAACAGCGATCAGGATCTACTTGTGCCATGCCGTGGGACTTTTTAAGTCCCTTCCTAAATTCCTCCTCACTATCGTGCATTGTAAAACCACGTTAATCGGTCGCGCTGGCTTTAGTGGTCCTTGTTGTAGATTCTGGGGTTGTAGTATGTCAGACTTCTATCTTGGATCGTATACTACGTATCGAGTGAAAATCTTGGATATTGGTGAAAGGACTATCCCAAGCACATAAATGGGTATAAATATATTAGTTTGAGTAGTAGAAGATATAGTCAAAGGATAGATAGATGCATGGCATAAGCCATGGGCTAATTCGACCATTTCAACATTTGATCCATCTCCTCATTCCCCTTTAGGCCTCCTATTTCACATTCTAAAGTATAATTTACCTTGCAGTGGCGCAGGTTTAAGGTTGATGTGTTCAGGGAATCTAAGCCTCCGAGTTCTGCCACCCATTTGAGCAAAAGTCCCAACTCAGCCAGGCGCCCAGGTGCCACGCGTGACTCCAGCACAAACTAATCATGGCTGTAAGAAGATAGAGTGGATAATTCTATCTCCTAAAAGGCAGTTTGAAGGTCCATCACTGTTCTCGGGCGTTGCCTTACCAGGACGTTGTATCTCATTCCGCCCAAGTCTGACGTCATCGGCGCAATGATCGATATATCGGTATATGATCATCTCCCATCAACCAATTGAGTGGCGAGCAATGCCACAGCCTGTAAGTATTCTCTTTGGGACGCTTCCTAGGCGTATCTAGTATTTAAAATCAGAGGATAGCCCGGATTTGATGATTTGGATCAACTCAGATTACTTAGTCGAATAATAAGCGCAACGATAACAATTATCCAACCTACCACGATGAACCAAGTAATTGCTACTCCATCTCCTGATTCAAAAAAGAAGCAGTACAGGTTCTCGAAACGAGGCGACAGTGGCGGCTGCAACTTTGACCCCGAATGGGGTACTTTCCAAGCATATAGCGTCAACGTCGGCGAACGCAAAATCGGCGACAAACCTTTCATCTACCTCTACAAGGGCCCTATAAATCAACCGGGTCCCAGAACCACAGTTCTAGCAGCAGGTCGACTTCAAACATCTGCCGCTTTCAAAATATACCTTGGCGATCCCGCGTCAGATTATGATGACTACGACAAGTCCCTTGCTTGGGAAGCGATGGACATTGAGCGTCCAGAATCAGCATGGTCCCTGAACTTCCCTGACTACGATCTCAGGAGAGATTTTGTATGGAAAAAGACAAAACATGTTGCTGTTGATGGCGTCGACAAACCTTCCCGCCTGTTGGCTCGGAACTGGAAGTTAACAAGCAAGAATGACCCCGACGACATCCTGGCGGTATTTACAGGCGACTCTGGCTTTTCAAGGGGAAAAGGAATTCTTCAGATCAATGTGGACTGGGGTGCCCATTTTGAACACATGGTTCTCATGACTTTAGCGTGCCAGTTTATGAAACATAAACATCCAACACGACAGGGCAACGGAGTCTTCACTCCTCCCCCTCCAGTCGGTGTGGCATTTTAGAGAGTGAAATATGAAGTGGAGTTGTGGAAGGGTGAGCAGAATTGAGGAGTCTAAGATCTAACAGCCAAAGGCATTTCTTGTACCTGTACTCTTTTAAATTCATATTCAGCGTATCAAATGTTTTATCTATACCACTTAAATTGGAATCCTTAACATATGAATAACAAAAAGATATTCAAGCCAGGGCAATAGTCCTGCCAGGTTTACATCACCCATTTGTCTAAGTATAAAGTTCGTCCCTCAATCTTTTTATTTTAATGAACTGCTTATTCCTTTTTTGCCTCAAATACAGCTGTATTGTCCTGTCAACCCACGCTTAAAGAGACAAGCTTGGTAAGCGGTAGTCAAAAAGATGCTGTATTTAAATCATTGTTCCGACTTGCTACTTAAGATAAGTGAAAAGACAATTGCAATTACATCTAAGCCTGTTCTCAACATCGAAGGAAAGGCTAAGGATACCAGCCAATATCAATCCAAGTCCACAACTAATCTTGGCTCGGAAGGTACGGTGGCTAGCAGCAACCATGTGCGATAACATAGCATTGCTTACTGAATGACAATTTCTGTAAGAGCGACACCGCTGTGCAGTGAACCTTGCATTCTTGTCCATCTATTTATAAGGGTATGTTTTAAATATCGCTTTCCGTGTGCGAATATCCGCATAGTTCGCAAGGCCCCCTTCCTTCTTCTAGATCAACACTAGCCGCGATTTCCCCATCAACGTATCGAAAATATCCCCGGTCATGCAATAGTTTCAACATTGAGCTTAAGCCATAGCGTGACATCTCCTTTGCGAGCTCACTCCCCATGCCTGCATACAAGCAGTCCTCCGTGTATTGACCCAAGAGTAAGTCAACCATTTTCTCATACTCGCTAAGGAGTGCTTCCACTATATCGTAGGGGTAGCACTTGGCTCCGTATTTGAGGAGCTTCTGGACGATGTAGATATTCCCTGATTTGATTGCGCCAAGCAAAGGGCGGAAATTGTTCAGGCGAGTTTTTTCAACATCAGCGCCGCGTTCCAAGAGGAGGTCGACTACATCGGCGTTCCCATAACGAGAAGCCAAATAGAGAGGGGTCCCTCTATGGCCTGCCCTTCTGACCGCAGCTTCACCATCGACATGGCACCCATTGTCCAGTAAGTTCCTGACGATATTTAGGTTGCCATACTCTGCAAAGCGTCTTATAAGTCCGCGGCGAAGACTGGCACTTGGCTCAGGGAGAAGAGAAGCCAATCTAGAATAAACCTCCCAGTTTTTCGCGAAGAATTGTGCTCTTTCAAGTAGTCGTTGCGTTTTCAGTTGTTGGTGAAAGGTGATGGGCTCTGTAGGGATATATTCGAAGTAGGCGGTACTATTGGGATCGGCGCGAGAGGGAGGGTATAGTGCCATCTCCAAGAGCTCCATATCTCCATTCATGGCAGCACCAACAACCCCCTGAATATCAGCCTTGCCTTTATTATGGATGTCCGATAAAGAATAATGGTGGAGAAAAGATTGAGGTCGACTGGCTTCATCACGGGCTGGTTCAACCGTATCCGGCAAACTTTCCTGGATCATTTGGAAAATCTCCAAATTGCCGGCCAGCGCAGCTGCCTCTATTGCGGACGGAAAGATCCCATCACTCTGCGTTGGGTCAATTCCTGTTTCCAGCAAACACTCAACCAGAGTCACATTGCCCACAAAGGCTGCAGCGCTAAGCAAGCTCAACTCTTGATTTCGTATATCGCCTCGGCGGACAGATTTCTCCCAACCCCTCCCTAGGGTCACTCCAAGACCAAGCCAACAAAGGGCGTCGACAGTGTCTCGCAGATCGGATCCCGTACAGCATACAGACTCTGCAATGCAACGAACCTCGACATATCGATGAATGGTCGGGTCGCGTTCATTCATCACCCTATAAGCAAGATACGAATGGAAGAACTCCTGGAAGCCATAGTTGCATCTGATAGGCCAATGCCTTTCAAAACATGAATCATGCAATGGGTGCGGTCTGGGTTGATAAATGTCTAATATTCGTGTCTCGAATATTGCTTGCTTGTACAAGGCATTGAACAGTTCTGATAGGAACAAATTAGAGGATTCAAGAAGATGACTGAAACATAGCTTACTACAAACAAGCCTCAACCTCAAAGCTCTTGAAAAACGGTCAGAAGGGTAATTATCAGACGGCTGGAAGCGGGCCTGCATAGCCCTTATTAAAATGGCGTTGAGTATTTCCCGAGGGAGCATCAGAATGGTAGGCAGATAGACTTGCATTGTGGCAAAAAAAAATCGAGGGAAAGAAACCTGAAGAATGAGTATTGGCGGAGGATGTATACCACGGCACCAGGGGAGTGATGGCGTTGTTTGGCGATCAATCATGAACCTTAGAGGTGTTTTTCTAGTCACCTAATGACGGCCACAAATAAATATTGTCAATTTCCAGTCTCACTAAATGACTGGAGCCTTAGGCAGACATACATGTGTTGGTGTTGGTCACATGCTATTGCCAGCATCTCAGCCTATCACGGCTTGGGAAGATATGCGGTTGGTTGAGAAGCAAACATACTGTTAGTAAATGCCGCGTAATCTCACATAATTTGTGCAAGACAAGTCCCGTTAAGTCCATTTCAGCTACAAATAGAATCTAAGAATGACATTTTGGATGTCATCGGTAGTTTAGTCCACGACGGCAAGCCAGCGTCTTACGCCTTGTCTTACACGAATGATGCTAGATTTAACGGCGACAGCAAGAGGTCTTTATCTCTTTGCGTTTGAAAGTATCTAGGTGGCAAAATAGAGTCGAAACTCGGGATACAAAACAAAAATTTTATCCTATTCAAAGAGTTAAACCATTAGATGTTTCTCTTGAAAACAAGTTAATACTTGAACAAAAAGCTGATCGTAGTAAGTACGTACCCATATAGTTGTATCAATTTCATAAAAAACGTTATGAACTTTTCTAAGTAAATCATCTTAAAGATGGCCAGCTCCTTCTTTGAAATCACTTAATACGCCGCTACTCTCTCAAAAGCAACACGCGGTGTTATTTTATAGTTACTGAGGGTTTAGCCGCCGGAGGTGGCACGTTTGAAGATGTTTTGAGGGTAAAGGTCTTGCAACTATGATACTATTATGGGTTGATAATCCTAACATAGGGAATCACTGCCGAGGCCTTAGCAAACAAAGTTCGGAAGCCAATTTACATTGTGAGTACCGGTAAGCTTCAAAAAGACACCAAAAGGGTTTAGAAGAAGCTGAACTTAATTCTACAACTTACTAAGTAGTAGCGGGCTACTCTTTTATTTGGCAAAGGCAAAGTTTCTTTATAATAGCGATTAACAAGCGACCTGAATATAGCAAACTATGGTTATCTTTCTCAGGTACTTATCTTCTCTTTCTTCCTTTTTTTTTGCTTTCCCCTCTCTTTTAGTGGAAATGCTAAGTAAACAATAGAGCAATTAAGTATTACCGCAGGATTCTAATTATTATATCCAATCGTAGCAAGACAATCAATAGAACGTTCTAAACCAGAGGTAGACAAATTAGCAGGAGAGAAACCCAGACTCAATACATAACCGAGGCTGATCCAATTCATGTACTAAATAAAACAAGTAGAATTCGAGAGGCTCTCTTGACTCCCTATGAACAGCAGGCAAATTTCGAATGCCTTCAAAGACTCCAGGCTTTTCACAGCGAGGAAGAAAGCAAGCCTCAACATTAAGCAAATTTCTATAGTATTACAAGCAACTCGAGAGATTAATAAGACATCATTAACTGTATTCGACACTTCATAGGTACTATCAGGTAGTTTGAGCCCCCGATCAGACCAGATTTCAGTTTTAGATGTTGGCAAAGTAATGAATGACCTATTCTATGTTCACCCAGCCCAAGACATATCAATTCGCGGGTCAAAATAATTAGAAGCACGGTCTACAGATGCTGGATCTAATAAACAAGAGAAGTTGGTTTGAAAGGGTAGATGGCTCCGAAGATATATGAGATATTGCTTGTTCCTGGCCATCTTTAGCGCCTTCGAAATCTATAGATGCTATAGTGCCCACTTCCGTAGTAACCTTCCATGTTCTTGGGAGAGAGACAGGGTCAGTCTGGCAATTGGACTTCGGATTTAAGTTCAAAAACTTTTCATCAGAAGGTGCGACACATCACCGGGCCATCCTTCGCCCACCCGATCAATCCGTGGAGATCACGCGTTACATCGGATATCCGCGTCATCATCACGGCAGCAGAACACGGAATCTCTTAAGTTTCAGTACGGTCAAAGATCAGTGTGCGTAAACCTCCGAATCGGGCCATTTCTACGGACTCTCCCAGCACCCCGACAGTTGGGACAGGGGGTCGTTGATTCATATCTCACCTTACCTAGAGACCAGAGGACCTTGTCAGGCACTCAGGCGATTTCAGTACAGCCTGAGTGCACAAATTACCCATTATCTTCCCCCGGCATTGAGTTAGGCAATTCACCCAAGTCCGACTACCTGAGAAACATGGATGATCATGTGGAGCAGCCCATTTTTACGCTGACGGGATAACTCTACCATCATGCTTGTTCTTAGTCTCTAGAGAGGACGACACTAGCCTACCCTTGCTCTCTTATGTTCAAGATTGAGAAAGGAGACGAAACCAGGCATCTTGCAAACCAAAAGTGAAACAGAAAAGGAAAACTCAGAGAAGGCAGGCGACCGGAGATGTAGAGTCCGAGATCATGCTACTTGACCTTCCCGCCCCCTGACCATAATCCGCCGAACAAGGAGTGTCGTGGGTCGACGTCTCCCGTGACCAGATTAATTCCCGGTCGTCAATGTCTCCAGAGTTCCACCTCAACTCTCAACACGACAAGGCCATCGTACTGGGCAGGGATTCGGCTAGCCGGCACATCGAGGCGGATGGAACCTCACACGAGTCATGACAAATCGAGGGTTAGGTCAGTCGATGCAGAGATTACTTCTTCGCGTTCAACTGCTCGAATCCCGAAGCCCGCCTCTTCAAAATCCACCACGGCCCTGCTCAGGGCTCATTCTTCCCGATCCCGGCGTCTAGCATCTGGCTATTTCCTAATACAGACAATAATCCCTTGTCAACTTACTGGTTTGAGAATTCGAGATGGAGCTCACCGCAAGCCAGATAATGTCCGGGACAGACAAGTCAAGCAAGCTTATCCCTCATGGGAATCCATGAGCATGTCTTACCGCATCTTGGGCGAGCCCAGCAGCTTTTTCACCTGGTGAAGTTTTGTTATTTCAGAGAGCTATATCCCTCGTTGCGTAGCATTCGCGTCTTGGAACCTTGTATCTTTAGACTCGGGTACCACATCCCAGTGATCATCATAGATGCTTGGCGCTTCTTAGCTACGACAATAGCACCGACTCTCACTATAATCGACAGTATATGTACTAACTCTGTCAATCGTATCGCCATGGTGGCCGACTCAGAGAAAGAGGTGAAGCCAACTGAGGCAAGCCAGAAAGAGGAGGAAGCAAACTCTTCACGAGAGCAACAACGCATTGCTCCAAACCCTGTGTTAGAGAAACTTATCGCGGAAGAATACACGGCGAAGCCTCCGTCAACCATTAGTATGAGCAAGCAGCCAGACAGCGAGAACGTCACAATAGTCAACGACGACGAGACCCCCCAACCAAGTAGCGAGGAAGGCGACGTCGAGAAGCAGCGCCTTCCAACGAGTGAGGGAGATGAAACTGATGATCCAAACATCGTGTCATGGGACGGCGATGACGACCCAGCAAATCCCTACAACTGGAAGAGCTGGCGCAAGGTTGTCAACTGCATCCTCATCAGCTCCCTCTCCTTCCTAACACCCCTCGGTTCATGTAAGAGAACTCGCCAACCGTTTCTTCTTCGGAAGAGATGACCAATAAACTAACCCAGCCTCAAAAAATCCAGCCATGTTCGCCCCCGGCGTTACAGACCTCATGAAGGAATTCCAAATGACCAGCCGCTCACTCGGCTCCTTCGTCGTCAGCGTCTACGTCCTCGGCTTCGCCGCCGGCCCCATGATCTTCGCGCCCCTCTCCGAGATCTACGGTCGCGGCATCATCTACCACACCACCAACCTCTGCTTCCTCGCCTTCACCATCGCCTGCGCCGTGGCGCCCTCATTCTCCTCCCTCATCGGCTTCCGCTTCCTCGCCGGCCTCTTCGGCTCCGTGCCCCTCACCAACGGCGGCGGCTCCATCGCCGACATGATCCGCCAGGAGAAGCGCGGCGCCGCCATGTCCGCCTTCGCCGTCGGCCCCCTCCTGGGGCCCATCATCGGTCCCGTCGTGGGCGGCTACGTCTCCGAGGCGCTGGGCTGGCGCTGGGTCTTTTGGATCCTCTCCTGCCTCTCGGGTTTCATCACCATCACCTTCTTCGTCTTCTCGGCCGAGACGTACGCCCCCGTCCTGCTCGAGAGGAAGACGAGGCGGCTGAGAAAGAAGACGGGGAATATGAACCTACGTTCTAAGCTCGACGAGGGCCTGCTCCCGAAGGATTACTTCGTCCGGGGCATCGTCCGCCCCTTCAAGATGCTCTTCTTCTCGCCCATCTGCATCATCGCCGCGCTCTACGTCGCACTCGGTTACGGGTACCTCTACCTCATGTTCTCCAGCCTCTCGCCCCTCATCCAGCAAATCTACCACTTCGGCACCGGCGCCGCGGGCCTGGCCTTCCTGGGCTTCGGCGTGGGCAGCATGATCGGCGTCGTCTTCTTCGCCCGTCTGAGCGACGTCTACCTCAAGAAGAAGGCCAGGGAGGAGGCCGAGCTGGCCGAGGCGGAGGGCCGCGAGCCCGCCGGCCTCAAGCCAGAGTACCGCCTGCCTCCCCTCCGGTTCGGCGCCCTGCTCCTGCCGACGGGGTTGTTCATCTACGGGTGGACGGCCTACTACAAGGTC